TAACTTCTCTATCTTTTTCTAATTCTAATGTATGGAATGCCTTCTCAATATCCGCCCACATGGCAATTTTTGGCACTCTAAATCGAATCAATATGCCCGCTATATCTGGCATGATTATTGGCCCTCGCAATAAATATTCATTTAAACTTTTTCCTTCTCGCATTTTTGCGGAGGTATCATAAACTATTCGCACCTTTTTTGTGTTATTAACTGGGTGGTGAGGCAGAAAATGTTCTATTTCATCTTTCTTCCTTTCAGCCTTTTCAATCACACCCCTTTCCAAGTCATTATTAATTATTTCCTCATATTTATCTAATAAATCTGGATTTTTCTTTAATTTATCCATGAGATTTAGAAATCTTTTATATGCTAATGAAAAATTAGATGGCAAACTGTCTCTCTCAATTTTCCATGGCCATTTCACTACATAGCTTCCATTTTCTTTTCTTTTAATCGAATTATTAAATAAATCTAAAGCGATTTTATCGTCTTTACTAACAGGATCATCCTTGACCCCTATTGTTTCTAGTGACCAATAATTATTAAGCTCTTCGTTTTCCAAAGTGTTGGAACTTAATATAGTGCATAAATTTTCTTTTTTATTTAACTTTCTAAATTTTTCACCGCTAATTTCACCACAAATTATTGGTCCTACAATTGTTTCAACTTTGAATAAATAATCGGATAAAGGCTTTATTCTTTTAAAGAACCTCCAAAAATGCTTCATCCCTATAAGCATATCGGGGACTATATTTGCGCAAACAATCTCATTTGTTCTTAAATCTGCGCACTTAAATCTCGGCATCATATTTTTATTTATACTATAAACAATTATTTCTTCAAAATTTCCATTATCAAGAAGAACCTTCAAAGAATAACACGAAGTTTTCAGCTTTATTGGCTCTTTTCTGAAAAATGGCACAACGCCTAATTCTGTCTTTTTTAATTTTTTCAATTTTAATTTCTCAACTATTTCATTACATAAGAAATTAACCGTTGCTCCTGAATCAAAGAAGCATTTCACATTTATTTTATTATTTCTTTCTTTTAACATTAAATCTGCTTTCATTAAAATCACATTTCCTTCAGCATTATCTTCATTATTTTGTATGTTTTTATTTATTTGATTAACACTTTCATCTTTCTTAATCTGTCCTTTCTTTTCTTTTTCAAACTCTTTTGGTTCTTCTACTATAGTAAGTAACTTTTCTGAAGTTTCTAGATGATTTACTTGCTCACCTTTTCTAAAATCTTTTTTATTTTCTCCATTTTTATACAATTTCGGACATATTAATTTATTATGCCGTTCTCTACAAATATTACAATTTATTCTAGAAACACAATTTTCCACTGTATGGCCCTTTCTTAAACAGATTAAGCAACGATTTTGCTCTGACAAAATTTTTGTCCTCAGATATATCGCTTTTATTATTTCGCATTTCTCAGCGTGATGATTTCCATGACAAAAATAGCAAAAGATCTCAAACTTCTTGCTATTTTTGGCCTTATCATCACCTGATTGTACTGCAAATACACGATCAAAATTTTCTTTTCTAAAATTAACTTGCTTTTGATTAAATCCTCTATTATTACTCCAATTATTTCCAAACCTTTGTTGACTATAGTTAACACTCTTAGAAAACGTTTGAGCACACCTTTGTACTTCTTCTCTAAGAGTTACTATCTCTTCTAAACCTTTTCTTAATTCATCAACATTCCAAGTCTCTTTTGTCTCTTTTTCCTTTTTTAATAATTCTAAAATAATATTCTTTGGCAATTTATTTTTAATTGCCATCATAACTATAGATTCATCTTCGACTTTTCCCATCGCTGTGAGGGATCTACAAATTCTTTCAACTTCCTCAACGTATGAACGAAGGGAATAAACAGACTCATTTGCCACAGGAAGGCTTATCAATTCGGCATGAAGCGTATCTCTTATAGCTCTTTCATTGCCGAACTGCCTTTTTAATGCGTCTTTCAGCGGTTCATAATGTTCGGCTATCGGTCGATAACCCAAAACCGCTCTCTTGGCCTTTCCTCTCAAGCACTGTATTAAATAATGTGCTTTAAGGCCGGGATCAATTTCTAAACTGTCAACAGTCCTACTAAATGATTGCCAAAATTCTGGCCAAACAAGAGGATCTCCATAGAACTCAGCTAATCTAGTTCTAGGCAAATGTGTAGGAATATTATACTCATTCCTACGAACAAAATTCTCATTTAAAGGCGTCTGCCCTTCATTTACAAAAACTTGTGGCCTTCTTGATTGATTCAGTCTATTTTGACCAACTCCCAATTCCTCTGAAAGATCGGATTGAGTACTGCCGTCTTCAGACTCGGCCAAAACAATATCAATATCTGCAATTATTTCATGCGCGTTTTCTATCCATTCAGCATAATGATGCTCCAATGGAGCAAAGTTAGCTAAAACCTGTTCTTCCGCCTGTCTTTCATTAACCGGAAGTCCTCGAATATAATCTTGCCACTGATTGGCTTTTTCTTCAAGACGATTTACTATACGTCGAACTTTGACTAATCTTGTCCTTAACATTTCTATCCCTTCGGCTGTGCGCTCTTGGGCGTCTAAAACTGGGCGAATCTCATCAAAATGTTCGCGCAAACGAGTTATGGCCGGCGTCATGGCTTGCCGTATAGTTCCCGACATTTTTTAAAAAACTATATATTTAATTATTTATTTTATTTTCCAATTAAAAAATTTAACGAGCTTTCTAAAATATAGCTCTTTCAATAATCTGAGCCTATAGCTCTTTATTCTCTTTTATTTTTAAATCTCACTCTCCCCTCTTCGTAAGGGTCCGTGGCACCAAATGTAAAAAATACTTTTCCTCAGAGAGGATTTTTCTTTTTACCTTCCTATTTAATTTATAGGGAAAATATCTCAAATTAATTATTCACACAAAATAATTAATCTAGATAAATAAACAAATAAAATTAACACAAATACACAGCTAAATCTTTATCTTCAAATAAAAAATATTCACACAGAATATTATAAAAAATGAATATCTCAAAAAGACATTGAAAAGTGAAATTTCTGCCTACTTTTTATAGGCAAAAATTTCTATGATAAAAATGATGCAATGTAAAGTACATTGCAAAAAGTACATAAAAAATTGTCAAAAAAGGAAAAGTGACTCACTGAGTCACCGCACAAAAATAAATAAAATTCCACAAAAATATAAAAAATATTTAAAATCTTTAAATCTTTAATTCTTCAATTTCGTCATCGACATTATTTTTCTTTCCTAGAATTTAAAATTTTTTTGGGTTTTTTTTTTGAAAATTAGACTATTTTCTATTCCCGAATATTTTTTTCTCAAATACCCTCTCATTTTTCTAAACTATTTTCTAAAAAATTTTTTCATTAAATTTTTCAATTAATTTAAAAATATAGCAGAATCATGGCATCGCCCTCTCTCTGCTGTCCACGAAGAAAATTTTGAAGAGCCAAAAATAAGCAGCACTTCACCAAAACAAAAATTTAAAGGAAACGAAAAAACACAAAAAGAAAAAAGAAAAAAAATTTCAAAAAAATTTCCTCCCCAGCCAACAACAACTTCCTTTCCTTATAAAGAAATGGAAGGAGGAGATGGATGGATGGTGACAAGACGGGGAGAAAATTCTTTTTATTCGTCTTCTTCTTTTGCTTTGAGGAGAAGAAATTTGCCTTTAATTGGGGGAATAATGATTTTTATTTTGTTTATTTAAAAATTTTTTTGGTAAATTTACAGGAAGTTCGTTTAAATGGTCTGTCCCTAGAATACGGCCCTGGGACTGGAATGAAGGGATTGAGGTGTCCCCTACCGTTAATACAGTCGGACCTCATTATAAGATATCCCCTTGGTGAAATCGTCTCTTATAAGGAGGTTTTCTTAAATAGAAGGTATCACTTAAGTTCACCCACTCAATGGCTAAAATAGAGGTGTATATCTAGTATATGAGATCCGATTGTAATAATATTAAACCCCATTTCCGGTGTGTTAAGTTTAATTAAAAGCTTTTAAAAAATAATTAAATTTAATTCTTTAATTTTTGCCCCTAATCTTTAAATCCTTCCTATAATAATTTTTTTGTAAATTTTTGAAAATTTTTTTCTCAAAATAAATTTAAAAGAATATCTATAATTTAATCCTTTAATTGATCTAAAATAAATTAGAATTAAATATATTTTCTCTAACACTCTCTTCTTTTCCTACACTATTTTCTTTTCTTTGACATTTTTTTAATTTTTAGGTAAATTTTTGTTGCCATATTTGTCCCATTAATTTTTAAATTTTCTTTTTAATTTTTAATAAAAATTGACAAATAAAGTTTCTTTTTTTTTCTTCCATCAATTACTTAAAATTACAAAAATAAATATATGTATTTAAATTTTAAAAATATATTTCCCCTAAAAATTAAATATTCAATAGAAATCTCGATAATATATCACCCTCAGTATTCTCAATATACCGACATATAATTAAACACAACATGTGATCGGGGGCCATATCAGGCCAAAACACACCTCTCGTGTCCGAACTGTGTCGACGTATAAACGAGTATGAAGTATGGCTGGGGTGACTATTAACGGGATTCCACTTTAAGGAAAATTCTGAAAAATTTTCTAAAAATATTTTTTAGTGGAAGGATAGTTCACCAACAATTCACCGTATGTTTCGTTCGGTGAATTGTCCATTTATGCGAATTGTAATTTGGTAAAATGTCCTAATAATTTTTTTATTTTCCAGAATTTCTTCATTTTCTATTTTTGTTTTTCAAAAATTTGGCATTTTTTTTTGTTTTCATTTTGATGAAAAATGAACGTCAAAAAATATAAAAAATAAAATGATATAAAAATGCCCTTTTATTTTCCTTAAAGGGATAAATGGTTGTCCTTGGAGACAATAAATAACCAAAAAAAGACGTTAAAATGGTTGCGAGGCATTCTCTCTCTCTCAAATTTATTTTTTAAATAAATCCAAAATAGTTTTACATATTTTTTTATTTTCTCTCACTGTTATATTTTTTGTATTTTTCTCTAGCATTCTCTTATTTTTTAATAGTATTTTATTGTTTCTCTTACCAGCTTCTTAAGATTATCCCACTTAACAACACTAAATTATCAGCTTTAGTAGTGATGAGTTTGGATATACATACAGGGTGACCAGAAAGAAATGGGGCAGCTAATTTATTGCATAACTTTATCCAAATTAAAGATAATTGGATCAAATCAAACTTAAATGATAGAGAATAAAATAAAATAAGTATTTTTGAAGTACCCACTTTTTGCTCGGATACAGAGTTGAGGGCACGTGGAAAAATTTTGGATAAAAGTTTGCACCACCTTTGGTGCGATTCTCTCCCATTCCCGAGCGAGTGATTGCCGAAGCGACTCCACACTTTTGTGTTGGTTAGCGCAGATATTTTTGGCAAATCTTTTTTAAAATTTCTGCCAGCCAATCTCTTTTTTATTCTTATCTTTCTCGTTCCTTCTTTCTCCCCCTCTCTCTCTCCCCTCCCCTTTTTTAAATCTTATTTCCAGCATTCCCCTTAAGCATTTATTTAATTCCTTCAATTTTTAACCAAATAAAAATTTTTTAAATTTTATTTTAAAATTAAAACTTTTTTTTTTGCGTGGACGGAATAAACGACCATATCTTTGTCGAAACTTGTTAGATTACGTTGATTTTGGTGTCATTCGACTCAGCTCGTCGAACAAAATGAGTACCTCCCCCCTATGGTTTTTCAATTTTCAATCACGATATCTCGGTCCCCTATGCCGGACCAACTATGTCCACTCCTAGTTCGACTCAGTTTTCCGAGCTCTTTCGAATGATATATAATTTGTCGAAATCGGTTCAGCCAAAAAATCCCCTAGAAATTATAGCAGAGGTGAAGGAAGAAAACGTCGAAAATCCCAATTCCGATTCACCTCTTTTGTTTATAGAACCAAAACCTCCACAAAAAAATGAAAATATTTATTATTATTTTATTAACACTTTTTGGAATTGTTTTGGCTGGAGATGCTGAGGACGGCCTTTCGAAAGTTGGAAGGAAAGTTGATGAATTTGGACAGGATGTTAGTGAAACAGTTAATAAATTGTCTAAAACTGAGGTAAAATAGGGAGAAAAATAAATTTGAAAATATTTTTTAGGGAGGTCAGATTTGGTGTCCCGTGCCGGCTGTGGGCACTCGTTGCCCTGACAGCTCTGTCTTCCATTACTTCCGTTGCTGTGGGACTTTGAATAATGGTAAATTTAGAGATTAAAATTGACATATATTTATTAGAGTCTTACTCCTTTATAAGATGCACCCTTGGGGTCAGAACCTTTTAATGGGGGTGGGGGGGGGGGGGGGGTCGAAATTAAAATAGAGGATACAGTTTTTTCTGACTAAAAAAGTATTTCACAATGAGATGTATCTTGAATAGAAGAGTATCTGGTATCATGGGTGTATCTTATAGTGAGGTTTATAAGCCAGAGATCGTGCCGATCTCTGGCTCTCGGAGATTGACTTGGCCATCTCTTTGGTCAAGTGGATAAGAGCGCTGACTACAAAATCTCAAGCTTAGAGATCATGGGTTCGAATCCTTCCATGGAAAATTAATTTTCTCTAATTAAATATATATTCTAAAACATAAAATAAACATTTAAAAAATATTTTAGACTTCCCTCAAATTTTTATAAGGGTTTATAACACTAAAAATGACCTTATCAATTAATTCTTTTAGAATGTTGTCTCAAATTACAAACATGGGCTTTTGTTCTACTCGTAGCTGTTGGCGTTTTGATTGCTTCTTTGATTTTGCTTAGCGTTATACGCTGTGTTTTTTGCCGGCGGAAATAAATTTTGAAAATTGGAGAATTTTTTTAATTTTTATTTTTTACATTTCTTTTAAAACCGCTAAATAGGCCAAATGGGTGTGTACTGTCTAAACCTTGGAAAAAAGAAAAATGCTTATAAAATTGATAAGATTTATTCTGATTGGGCAAAGAAAGTTATAGTCGATTATTGTTGGGCGTTTACTTAACCGTGCTCAATTGGCCTAGCTTATTTCTTAAACCAGTTGTATAAAGTAAAATTAAAAAAATATTTTTTTTAATATAGAAATTTTTTGTAATTAATTTAAACATAATTTTATTTAAATTTCATGTATGAGCAGTATATATATAAATATAACATATGTAAATGCTAACCGAGCTTATGGTTTAATGGTTGATGGGGTCGTGGATTCGAACCTTTCTGTGGAAAATTATTTTGTACATAAATACTAAACAATTCTTTTTAAAAATTTTTTGGAGTTTATTAGGGAAAGAGGGCATTTGTTAGAGCATTTACGATAATTAAAAAAGTGTATGACAAGAATAAAATATGGCAATACAGACGGGAGAATAATTATTATCTCAAACCTCAATTTTACATAAACCTTTGGGTTAAAAAAATCGTACACGATTCCCCATAGGTGTATCTACATAAAAATGAGGTTCATCTATTTATGAAAAAAAATATTTAATTTCTATGTAAATCCCCCCTCAAAATTCTTTTAAAAGTGCGCTTAAATTGTTGATTGGCAGCAGCATAACAAAGTGGGTTTATTGGTGAATTCATATAACAAAGAATATAGCTAACTGTATATAACGCTTGGAAACCTTTGAAAAACAAAAATTTTTTCAAAACAAAATTTAAATTACCAGCAGAACTACTACAACGTTCACAAAATCCATAAATTGTAGCCAAAACATAAAAAGGAGTCCAAAATAAAGTGAAAGTACCCAAAATAACGGTAATTGTTCTCAAGGCTTTTCTTGCTCGATTTTCAGAACGGGATGAAGAACCCTTTAAATAATAAGAGATTAAAAGAGTTGGGGAAAGATAAAATCTGATGAGTTGCTCGTATTTGTACTCAACTTAAGCGAGATATTGAGAGTCAATTGCTAAAAGCTCCTCTAACAATGCGTTCAAATGCTTTATTGACAGAGCTACTGGAGTAGCTCCGTCTCTTCTGATTTACATAACTCTTGAGAGTAAAATATTTCAAAAATGGTACAAAAATGGAGTTCTATTACACAATATACGTCCAATCGACTTTTATATGAATGATAAAAATATGATTGGACGTATATTGTGTAATAGAGCCAAAAATGTTCTTTGGATAAAGTTCTCAACCCCGGCTTTGATACAAAACTTATTTGAAGAACTAGATCCACAAGCATCTCCCCATATAGTAGTGAGGTATAATTCAACTTAGCTCTCATCAAGACGAATCGAACGAGTATCAAAACCAACTTTTACCTCCACCTCCTTTAGACTTACCTTAGAAAACTTTCTATTGTGAGGTTGTCCTTTTTGTTTCTGTTGTTTTCTTTTCTTTTCACTTTGTGTTCTTACATTCCTTCCCCCACCCTTAGCAGCATCTACCCATTTCCTTAATCCACCAATTCCTTCAGTAAAATTTGCAGTTATCTCTCTATGTATATTTAATTGTGTAACTGTTATTACTGATGGACGAATTTGAAGTTGAGGAATTTTGTCGAAAATTGGTAGAGCTTTTTCTTCCTGCATTTCAAAATGGTAAAGATAAAAGATATTTAAAAGTTGTAAAAATTTAGGGGGTATCTGCCTACCTGGGACAAGGGACCGCACATAAAAATGCTTAAAAATGTTATAAATATGGACTATATATTATTCGAGAGAGCTTGTCGAGCGGAGTCAACAGGCCTGTAACACAGCCCTATCAAGTCAGAATGCGAGGATTTTAGCGTCATTCGACTCAGATCGACGAGCTTTTTCAAATATATAATTTCCCATACATATTCATGACATTTTTAAAAATTTATGTGCAGCCCCATAACAGAAAAGTACCGCTTACCTTCATTAAATTATCAACATTTGTTTGGTTATTACACCCTCCATTTAATCCATTATTGAAATCTATTGGAATAAATGTTTTTTCTTCTTCTTTATGTTGATTGGGAGACGGCACAGAGTGTGACCGGAAAGAATTTGGGCCAACTTTAGTTGGCATTTTTTCTTCTTTTTCTTCCTCCTCTCTAAGGTCTTTAGGTGTAGACAAAGCTGATGACTGTGCTGATTCGTCAATAAAAGGCACTCGATCCCCAAAATCAGGCGAAAATGCTCCATCACCTCCCTCACTTGAATTTTCTCTTTTTTCCAGAATTTCTTCTTCTTTATGTGGGGATAAGGATTGTGATTGTTGTTGTTCTAAACTATTAGATGTTTCGTTGTTTGGACCAAGTAAAGTTAGAGAAGTTGATCTGTTGGAAAAAATCTTTATAAGAAGACATGTAATTTATATTATAGACAAAACTAAATATAACTCTTGGGGACTAAAAGAAATGGGACTAGAAGGTGTACATTAAATAGAGGGTATAGTTCAAACGCTCACCACACTCTAAATAAAAGCTCATTTTTTAAAAGTTTATCTTAAATAGAGGGTATCTAGTGTATCTATTGGGTGGATTGAGCTTTTCGAATGTATTTTGTGAAATCCATGGTCATTATTAAGCTCGATGAAAGAGAAGGCAAAGTCATCACTTCAGTAGCTCAGTCAGCAGAAAAATTGAAATATATAGTTAGCTAAGCTCTTTTGGCAATTAAGTAACGGTCAATAGAACACATGTCCGAGTCCCTGTCCGAGTGATAATTTAAAAAATTTTTTCCTCACTTATTAGGTTCAATAATATTTTGTTCTTTATTATTAGCATTAATTGATAGTTTTTTGGGGCATTTTTCTTTTGCATTAAGGCTGTCAGCTTTAGAACTAGCACCATCACTTGTTGAAGAATTGACGCCATTTTTTGTCCTAAGTGATAAAAGTCTGCCATTTTGTATTGCGTTTAATAAACGGGTTGATGCTCTTCTAAATGGTTTGCTTAAAAAGGAAAAAAATTTTGAATGATTTTTGAACATTTTTAGAGAGATGGGAGGTTAGTATTTTCGGCCGGACACGTTCTGCTGTAGAACACTACCTCGGTAAACGCGGCGGTTTACCTATCCGCAAAGAGATTTTCTCTCATTTTTTAGACATCAAGAAAAATGGGGGCAAACAAACATAACCACAGGATTCGGCTCCGAATTAGAGTATACTATATACGGTCCAATCAATCCAAACTCACGTTTCAGAAGAATCCAAAGTTCCAAGAGCTTCAGAAAGCCCAGGGCCAAGTGATTGTTCATCTCTAGAATCTGGCCTAATAGCTACTTCTTGTCCCCCACCCTCTCCTCCCCTCATTTCAGCCAAAATAGCCAATCTTTTTTGTTTTTGATCTGATTTAGATGCTAATTGTTTTGCAGCAGAGTAAATACCATAATAAAGATAGAGCATTAGTATCAATGTTGACCAATAATATGAAAGATACCTAAAAAGAGTTTAGGAAAATAAATCAACCCATTTGATCGCCTCTTGGAAATATAGGCAGGTGATTTTTTGGAATCTTTCAAAATTTAATCAAAATTTTTGGAAAAATTAAAAAAAATTTTTTTGAAAATTCTTTTAGGCTTATCTGAAAGCTAATAAAATTTGCTAGAAGATAGAAAATAACCATCTTTCCATGGTGGCGCTCATCCTAGAAAAACTTCTAGACAACAATCATTATTCTAGCTTCAGGAATATATTTAATATTGGGTGTATCTTATATCGATAGTTTTACTTACATTCCAGCATTCAAGTAAGGATTAGTCATAAATTGTACATAACATTCGTCTTCCCTTAAAATACGTCCTTTACCCGAAAACCATCCATAGCCAAAAATTGATATTGAAAAAAGCACTGAAGGCAATACCCAAATAGCAGCAATAATTAAAAGTACTCGACCTTTAGTTCTCCAATTACGATAAGCAGCAGGGTATTTTACAGAAAGATATCTTTAAATAAATAAATATTATTTAATCGTTAACGTTGATTAAGAATTTAAAAATCAAAATTAACATATAAAAATTAAATACCCAACTCATCTACCTCAAATTATAACTGAGGAATTGATCAATCTCTTACAGTTTCTTCTTAACATGATTTTAAAAACGTTGATAAGGCTTAGGAGGGGGGTAGAGATGTTTGGTGGAGGAGCTGTGGAATTTTAATAAGTAAAGATTTAGGGATCATAAGCCAGTCTAACCATAACTGAACGTAAAAAATCACAAAAGATTAGATCCGACTTTCAACTCATCTACCCTAAATTTTACCGTACGAGTTGATCAAATTTTTTTGATTTTTTATGTTATTAATTGTACCTACCTATCAGCAGTAATACCCAAAACAGTATAAATTGAGGCTAAACAACAAGCATAATCTACAGAAAGCCATAAATCACAAAGAAAAGCTCCAAAAGGCCAACGTTGTCCATTAATTAAAAAATATGTATATACAGGTATTCCTTCTAATCCAATTATCTTTTTAAATTAAAAAAATTAAATTTATAGAGGATATTCAATCTGTGTCAACAACAAATATAATAATTCTCAATAAAAAGTAGGTACCTTTACGCGTCCAATCAAATTTTATGCGTGTAGTCACATTTTTTAAGTACCCGGTTCTTCATTTTAGACCAATGGTTCGGTATCGGCAAGTGTAACAAAACTCTGGGTAGGATTGGACGCGTAAAGGTGCCATTGAAAGCGAAATCTGGACAAGAACCGAAAAGTATACCCAATTCATCTACCTTATGTTTTAGCGGGAGCGTTGATCAAAATTAATTACCTAACTTAAAAATATGTACATATATACCCAACTTATCTACCCCAAATTACAACGTAAGCGTTGATCGAATTCTGACATTTTTTCTCAACAAAAAAATTTTTTAATAAATTAAATTATATGTAAAAATACACATTTTTCTTCTTTTCCCCTCTTTTCTTTTTTCAATTTGTTGCTTGTATTTTTATTTTTTAACAAAAAATCTTTCTTTGGGTCAAAAACTGATTGCTAAAAAATTTCCAAAAATTCCTCTGGGATATAAAAATGGACGGAAATAAAAATATAAATTCTGATTTAAAAAATAAAAGGTCAGAAAAAGAACAGAATTTTTATTTTTAATTCTTTAGGGAAATAAAAAAAAGTTGTTGAATGAATGAAAGAATATATTTTTGGTTGATGAAAAAAAGAAAAAATAAAGGGAAGGAAGCTATTTTTCTTAATTTTTATTTATGTGTGTAGGCGTCTAAATTAAATTTTGGCCGGCCTTTTTAGATGATGTTTGGGTTTGGATGATGTTTTGTGTTAATGATCTGAAGAAGAACATCTTTGGGGTTGTTTTTATTCTCTTGTTCTTCCTTTACTATAATATACCGAACTCGTCTACCCCTAATTTTACAGAAAGTGTTGATCAAAATCGTTTATTTTTGAGAAAATTAATTCAATTTGGCCGGCCATATTGAATTGGGACTTAAACTCTTTCGACTTCAAACTATAAATTTATTTAATAAACTCCATAATTCTCAATTTTTTGCAACATAAAAACAAAACATCCCCCCCCCCTTCTAGTCCAGTTTTTACTCGTCGCATATAAAAATCCCCCCATATATATTTTTCATTCCCTCAACTTAAATCTTCCATAAAAATTTTTTCTCGTCTCTTAAACATCTCTCAAGAGAATACTTAAAAAGCTTTGGAATTAATTGCCCATCCATCCCCCTTTGAGGACAATCGATGTTTTTTTAATATTGTCTCTCTTATTTTTGAATAATCTTTTCTTTTCTCTGTTCTTTCCTTCCTCCAAGTTCTTTTGTTTTTATTTTTCGCGCTGCGTGAAAAAACAAAAAAACAATAAAAAATATTTATCGCAAAAATTGACTAAATTTCGGCTTTAAAAACTTCGTACACAACTCAACTACTCCAAGTTTCAACGGAGAAGTTGATCAAAAAAATTAAACAAGAAGGGAAATAAAAAACCAAACTCATACACTACTAACTCACCAAGAACTCATCTACCCCAATTTTGAAAGGGGGGTCCACCTCCCTCTCTTAACATCTCCCCTCATTTTGTCATACAAAATCAAAATGTCCCTAAAGTTTTAACTCTCAAAAGTTCAAATTACCCGAGGAGGTCAACTTCAAATCCTTTGAAAAGGAATCCATAACCGGGTCCCTCATCTTTCTTAAAATTATTGCCAACCTAATCAATTTATTCATCTACCCTACTAGAAAGACTAATATTTTTTTTAATATTTTCCCCCTTTAGCTACTACTTCCCTCTAGTGATGCTCGGGTATCCCGATCCCGACTCCCGACTCGGGAAAATTTCCCGAGTTTTTGGCCTCCCGATCCCGATCCCGACTCCCGGTGTCAATTCCCGAGTAAGTCGGGAAATTTTTACACCCCTAAGAATGGCTTTTTTGATAAGATTATATTTTTATTTTTCGCCCGCGGCACAAACAATGAAGAAATCTGGCTCCTTGGCCTTTCAAAATTGTAAAATTTTCGCCTGTGGCGCTGAAAATGGAAGAAATCTGGCTTATTTATCCACCAAAATTCCCAAAATTTTCGCCGGCGTAGGGGTCTTACAAAATTCCCAAAATTTTCGCCTGCGGCGCAAAAATTGGAAGAATCTGTTAAAAAATATGTGAAATCGAGGGGTTGGCGCAAACAAAGGATTTGAGATTAAGATGTCTTTAAAATTTGATTAGCCACAGGGTATATCGAGCTGTCTGAGCAATACCTTTTATTTAATAGACCGCTGAACTAATTCCGCTAACCCACCTATATCCTTGTTAATATATAATGCCCTCTTAATCAACTCTAATCGCTCTATATCCTCCTCAAAAATTTTTAAAATTACACGCCTAGGTTAAAAAATCTGGATTTTTGGCGTCGAAGGCGCCAAATTTTTTTTATTGAAAATTCCCGACTCCCGATCCCGACTCCCGAGGTCATTTCCCGACCCGACTCCCGTTTCCCGGGTTTTTTCTTCTCCCGAGCATCACTACTTCCCTCCATCATTTTCCCCCCAATTCTTTTAACATCTCCTTTTTCCTTGCTACTTTAGCCCCCCCCCCTCATATTTTTGAGCATTTTTCTCCCCTCATTTTTTGTCATAACAAAATCAAATTTAATCTTCTCTAAGAAAAATACTTCTGGGGAAAGGAGAAAAAATGTCACAAGCAAATTGACTTAAATATTACACATAAACGAAAAGAACGGAAATGAAGAGGGAAGAAGAAGAAAGGGAAGAAGGGCTTTTGTGTGTGCCAAATAAAGTGCCAAAGCTCAGGACCGATTTGGGCATCCAAAAATTGAATTAGTAGTTACAAAATTCAATCAAAAATATACCACAAATATATACATATACCCAACTCTTTTCTACTCCAAGTCTTAAGGGAAGCGTTGATAAACTTTTTTTTAAAAATTACCATAAAAATTCCCAATTTATTTTCATTTTACATATTTTATTTTTTTTATTTTTGTTACTTACCAAATCGGAAACAGCCAAAGAAAAAATAAAAAAGTTGCTAGGTTGTCGAATTTGTCGGTCGAGTAAAAATGAAAGTAAAACAACCAAATTACCGACAACAGTCACAGCAGAAATAACGGCCATTAAAAGAACTAAAAGAATTTCAGACCAAGCTAAATTTAAATAAATTGTTGTTGGTGCTGTTTGTGTTGTTAATGTTTCGGTATTGTTGTTCATCTGCTGCTGTTGTTGTTTTTATTTTTGTTATTAAAGAAGGCATTTAATGGATGAAGAAGAAAAAGAAAAAACATGTAAAATTAATAAAAAAAATGAAGGGGAAAAGTTTTAAAAACTGAAAATTAAAATTTTAAAAATTTCCAAAAACTTAGGGGGTTATTAAAGAATTTTTTTAAAAACTAATTAATTTAAGGGTGAAAAAGGAGGATCCTACCAATCCTAAACGGAAGCGCTGATAATTTAATTAAAAATTTCAAAAATAAAAATATTTTTAAAAATTATGAGTACAATTTAGTCATCCATTTTTGATTGTCAAAAACGAAAACAAAAAAATAAAAGGGCTTAAAGAAATATACCCAACTCATCTACCCCCAAACCCCCTTTTATTTTTTCCAAACACCTCCACTCTTCTCTTTATTTTTAAATTCCTTTAAAGGGTCAAGTCTACCTCCTCCAATTTCAAAAACGAATTAAAAAAGTCAAGGAAAAGCTTAAATTTTACTTTAAAAAATAAAAAAAGGCTTAAAGTGATTGAAAAGGAAAAGAATATTTTTGAAATATTTGGAGGTTTAAAAATAAAAGGACAAGGATTTAAGGGGGAAAATGCTGACTGACTATTTTTACTATTGGAAGGAAGAAATGACGAAAAAAATCTACCCATTTTTCATCTTTAAAAAATGGGTACCCTTTTGGGGATTTAATATATACAAGTTGCCCATTCATAGGCGTTTTGTCTATGGACGTTTTGAGGGGTTTAAAATTGTTTTTTTAATTTCAAATACACCAATTAGATTTCTCATTCATGAAGAGAAAAAACACAAGCCAGTCTCTACTACGAACCAGTGTTACTCCGGCTTCAACATCTTTTGAACCTTGTCAGTATATATATGTACACCGTATCTCCTCATAAATACAGCCCTTTTAGAGAAGGAATGAATGTGAGGAATTAGTGAAGATATGAGACGTTGATTTTTATAATATCCGTATATACTCAAAACATCTACACCCAGTTTTCAAAACCCCCAGTTTTACACGAGCCGAAATATCCTATTTTTATTTACCTATTGGAAGTGTGAAACTGGATAGGAAATAGAAATAAAATAAAAAAACTTTTAAAAATAAAATGAGAAAACAAATTTGTGCAAAAAGAGACAATAAAATCTGTGCCGTTCCCTGTTTCTTTTGGTCTTTCATCTTTATTGAAAAATCCCTAATAAACCTTTTTTTCAAGTGCAACATTTATTTTAAAAAAGCTTACTAATAAAGCTGAAGGGATAATTTTTATTTCCTAAAAATTTGCTGAAAAATTTTTTACACTTTTGAAACATAGGGTTGGCTAGATACAAAACTTTGGAAGATAACTTTAAAAAATTACTGAAAGAAAAAAAAGCGTAAGAACGAGTAAAGATAATCACCGGAAATCTGTGAAAAACAAACACATTTAATTTTAATGCAACCTAGAAAAAGATTGAATTTTATAGTGAAAAGTGACATTTCATCCCAAAGTCAATGAGACGGGAATTACGTACAGGATGGGCAATGTGGACAATGACAATTCAAATTCCCCGTTCTCATTTAGACTTTTGATTTAAAAATGGACATACCCAACAGGGATGTCACAGATTACCAGACCCGACATTTTTCTTCTTATGGACAAAAATAATGAAAAATAACGAGTAAAATGTGTAGTGGCAAAAAAAAAAGTTTATGTAAAAATACCTCATTCTCTCCAGCCTTTTTTATTTTTTTTGAGAAAATGGCATTCTCTTTTTTTTATTTTAATATTTTTCCTGCCCCATCTTTAAAAAAAGAGTAAAGGAAAAAATAGTTTTTTAAAGGGGAGGAGTTTATTTTTTAAAGGGAGAGGAGATGAATGAATAAATGAATGTAAAAAATGTGATTAAATTTAATAAAATAATATTTTGTTGTTGTTGCGGAGAGAAAAAATTTTTTATACCCAACTTATCTACCCTATATTTTGATTGAGGCGTTGATCAAAAATTTTTAAAGGTTCTTCAGTTAAAATATAAGCTAGATGAGTTAGGCATATTCAAAATTAAAGGATTCTCAAGAATAAGTCAATGGGAGAGTTAAATACTAGAGACCTGACGAAAAATCTCGATTATTGAGATTCTTGTTTGAAATCTCGTCTCTAGGTCCGGACTCTAGAAAACCCAAAAAAGATTCTTGGGGTAACCATGACTCTACTTAGGACATCTCCACTAGCTCTGCAAGGTTATGTGGTTTCATTTTTGCTTTATCGACTAGGACTGATTAGCCTCTATTTTTTAGCTCTCTAAAATTGGCTCTATTTTCGATAAAAAAAAATAAAATTTAGAGAAATTTTTGACCAAATACATTGTCCGATAAATTGTTTTTCTTTAAAAATAAAAAGAAATTTATATATTTATTTTTTTAAAAGGTGAACTAAAAATTAATATAATTTTAGAAAAATATTTTTATAGAATGTTTAAAAAGTTTTTTAATGTATATCCCCCGTTATTATTCACATAAGAGAATTCGACTTCTTTTTAAAAAGAATCTCAAATATGGAGGAGTAGGAGCAGACAGGGCAGTTCAGTTCAATACGGCTCGTTGTAATTTCAGTCAAGACCCTGTAACTCATGAAGGATGGCAATTCTTCAAGTTCTTTGTACCCTTGGATAGAGAACTAAAAAGTCTACAACATATCAAAAAAATCAGAATTATCGACAGATTGATAAAAAAAAGTTATGATATAAAAACTAACTTTTTCAAGAAAAATGTGATTTTTTGTCACTTTATCGAACATAACTTTTTATCAATTAACCTACAATTTTGATTCTTTGGTATATTCTAGTGCGTTTAATTCTCTATCCAATGGTACCAAGAACACTAAAAATTATACTCCCCTTCATAAGTTATAGGTGCCGGGAATGAACAGAAGTGTACAATAGAAGGAGAGGAGTAAGAGTACGTACAGGATTTTAGGGATTCCGTCCGAAATCACGCGGTTTGAGCCACAAACGGGATTACCGGTAAAAATCCTGAAGATCCCGTCACGTACGACATTATGAAAATCACATTAAGCGATCCCGAGAATGCGATTTTACCGGCTTCGAGTAGAATAACATTCTCATTTATGTATTTTTGTATTTAAAAATTTTATGATATACTTTTATCGTTCAATAAATCTCTTTCAAAAAAGCAAAAGCCATGCCAAAATAAGAAGTCCAATGTACATAAACATGTTGGACAAAAATTGTTCTTCTGCTTGTTGAGGATTACCTGAAGAGCTTTTAAAGATTAATAGTTATATGAATATGGGGTTGTTTGTTTGGTTCGATTCTTCAGTTCAATATTAGGTGAACTTCCTAGAACCAAAAATATTTTTTGAAGGGATAAGGGAGGAAGAAAGAATGTATAGGAGGACAATGATCTTTAAATTTTAATTATAGTTTACTGGCTATTAACCGGTATCCCCGGTTTTCGGGTGTGACCTGTTTTCGACCTTATGGTTTTCGTTTTCGGTTAACCGCCCGTGAACAACCCTAATTTAAATAAATAAAAAATAAACTGACGATTAGCTTCATTTCGTCTATCAACACCTCCGGTATTAAAAAAGGATGCAAAAAAGGAGATAGGAAAGACGCCTATTCCCAAAGAAAATTGAACACCTCCATGGCCATTATCTCCTCCCCATTGAAACATTCCAGGAAAAGACTTTAAAAAAAATTTTTTTAATTAAAAAAATTTAAAAAAAACCTGAGGAGTTTCTTCTGTTCGTTGCCCTTGTGGACGTGGTGGAACTTTTGTGCGTGGATCGGTGTCACCACCTCCTCGTCCATAAAGTGGAATTACCTTAAAAATTTTTTAAAATTAAAAAAAATTAAATTAAAAAAAAGGTTAGTGGATTTAGAATTGGAACACCAACTTATCTGGCATAGAGTTAGTCTAAAAGATTTTTCGTTTTTTAATTGAAAAGAGTAGGGTTCCGATTTATCGTTCTCAAAGTCCGCAAATTTTTATTCGCACCTCTTGTTTTTAAATATTCTGTAAAGGAAAAGGTGTAGGAGTGCCTAGGAAATTCCCGGATTCGATATCCGAACAGAAAATTTAATTTAGACCCTGTTTTGGAAAAATAATCGAAAAAGAAATTAATGGCCTCTTTCAAGTTTAAAAAAATATTTAAAAGATACCCGTTCTTTACTAATTGCAGATTTACAAACGGGGCAAAGCTGTCGATTTGGTCGAGTATCTAACCACTGGTGAAGACATGGCCAGCAAAATAAATGTCCACACATTGAGACAACCTTTTAATATCAAATTAATTTTAAAAAAGTTAAAAGAAAAATAAACCGCATCTTTAGCCATTTCCAAACAAATGTTACATTCAAATCTGTAAAAGAACAAAAATTAAAATCAAAAGGAAGTTATTGGCGGTTTAGAAAGTTACGAAGAGAATTGGCACGGCACACCCCTTGTGTCCAATCAAGTATTACTAACATGAATACCAAGATTTTGACCCCTACAAAATAAATGAAAGTCAAAAACCTTGAATTTTGATCTTCTTTTTGCCTATTCTCTTCTTGCTCTACATGATTTGATGTACTTTCATTATTATTGTCCCCCGGTGAATTCTCATCATTCGGTTCTAAATTATTACTACTAGATGATTGAACAGTTGAATCATCTTCAGGTTTTTGTTGTTGTATATTATTATTGTCGGTACTGAAATCTTGACTCATTTTAAATTTTTTAAAAAATTTTTCTGAAAAAATAAATTTTTTAATTAAAAAAATAAAAATTAAATAATGAATCCAAACGTTTAATAAAATTAAAAAAAATCAACAAAAACATCATTCAATTTTTATCAAAAACAAAAAAAAAAATAAATTATGTAAAAACATAAATATTTTCCTTACTTTTTTTCTCTTCCCACTCAGTCTCTCCTCATTTTACAAACTATTTTTTTATCTAAAATTTTAGTCGCCCCAGTTAGTCGCGTGGAAACATGGGACAGCTTTAATGATTGTGTTAATCAACGAACCATTTAATACCCTAATGAGTCATTTGAGAAGAGTCTGTGTTTCTCACTCCACTTTTAATAAAATAATCAACAATTTAATTTATTAAATATGTAACAAATTTAAGGCAAAAAAATTTTAAACAGTGGGAGTTCTCTATAACGTCAACGTATCCCAATCACTTCCACCCCATACTTAATTCGGTCCCTAGGAATTTGGCCATCATTTCCCCTCTTATGTCAGCAAAACTCACCCCAATGATGACGTAATAGAGATTCCTCATCTGAAAAATCTTTCCTAAAATCTAAAAATTTTTAAAAAAATATTCAAAACACCATTTTCCCTCTCTATCTTCCCTATGTTTGTATTACATCCGTGTATTTAGCTGTTTGAAGACGAGGCACAATATTCATACTTTGAAGCTCTTGAAATAGTAATTTACATGCATATGGAATTTTAATTTTAGCCATAGAAGCTGAAGATTTCTTGCAGTATTGACACCAACCATCATAGCCCATTAATCCACATTCTGTACAAACTTCGACCTAAAAATTCGAATTATTTGTCGGGGAAAAACACCGTCAAGTGTCAGTCTGCAAATACGGGTCCGAAATGTCGATTCGTAAATATCGTTTAACCATATCAGTTTACGAATAAATTGGCCAAATATCATAATAAAAACCCATCTAGTTCTTAAATTCATCAAAAGTTGAGGCCTAAACTTTTCCAACTCTCATATGATTCACACCTAACCCGGTTCCCCAATAAAAATTTTTAATACCGCAAATTGATCTGAAGAAACCATTAATCTTTCAGTTAATAACATTGAAGATCCATAAGCAATTAAACAATCGCGTTCCATTTCACCAAGTCGTAAACCGCCTTCTCTCGCCCTTCCTTCAGTTGGTTGTCTTGTAAGAACTGCTCTTTAAAAGAGAATTTTTTAACAATTATAAGGATGAAGAGTGATCGGGTAGCATATTGGGGATTTAAAATATATTAAAACTGAAGGTAAAAGCGCACACACCGATAGCGGTAAACTTGTAAATGGTAAGCGACATGCCTAACAATAACTGCAAAGAGAGGTCAATGCCTGCCCGTGGCTAAAGATGCCTGCTTTTATCCCTCTCAAACAAATTTTCAAAATATTTAAAGAAATTTTTTTTCAAAACCTTGGTCCTTTCGATCTAGCATGCATTTTATCTATCACCATATGCTTTAATTTTTGATAATAAATTGGTCCAAAATAGATATATGCAGACATTTGTTGACCAGTAATTCCAGATGTTAACATATCTTTTCCAAGAAAATTATAACCAAAATTTGCAAGGTTTTGGCTTACAGATTTTACCTAAAAATTTTTTTAATCTTATTGAAAAAAATTTTCTTTCCTTACATCATCACCACCAAAAGCTGTTCCATAATGTAAACGCCATTGACGTGGCTCTCCCATTAAAGCATTCTTTCCACTTAATAATTCCATTAATTTACCAACAGTCATACGACTTGGATAACTTTAAAAAATATTTTAATTGGTATTGTCAATAATTTTATTTGAAAGAGTTGCGGGAAGATGGGGCTGTTCGGATTCCAAGGAAATTATTTCAGTTCATAACAAAAAGAGGGATGTGGGGACGAGATTAAAATGAATCTAACTAGGGAAACAGGAAAAAGTCTTCCCACATAGACCCAGTTTCCCGTCTCCCGTAGTTTAACATACCACAAATTCCCATAAAATCAATCCCCGTCCCGAAAGGCGCATCCTAAGGTACATAACAAATTCCTTGCCAATTTTATTTAAAGAATCCCTTCTTTTAAAGCTCAAATTTTTAAAATAACCTATTAGGATATATTTCCTTTAAGATGATTAAAAATGTTTACCCATGAGGATTCATAATTAGATCTGGGACAGTTCCATTCTGATCAAAAGGCATGTCTTGTTGTGGTGAAATAAGTCCACAGACTCCCTTTTGACCGTGTCGACTGCTAAATTTATCACCCAATTCTGGTCTTCTAAAAAATTAAAAAAAATTCAAAAAATTTCTCGAACCTCCCCCCCCCCCCACAAACCTGCATTGGGCAATCAATACTTTAACTAAATATTGTTCTTCTTCGTTACATGTCAAAAGAACTCTTTCAATAACTGCATTCATACTTCCACGATATTGGATTGATACATCTTTAGTCTCAAAATTATGGTTGAAACCAGTAGCGCCTGCCGTAGGTATTGTGTCGCTTTGAACTACAGGCATATATTTGTTAATTAGAACCTTTAAAAAGAAATATTCGTGCAAATTTAACGAAATATTGGTAATAGTATGTAGTAGTAATATGTGGCATTTTGTAAAATTCAAGGGACTCACAGAGCAAATACCAAGTAAGGCACTAAAAACAACCGTATGATCACAGACTCGATTACTGTAGATCCCGAACCCAACCAAAGATAAAAAATCTAAAAACAAGCATTAAAACGGCAATATGGTTGGACCCACAGTTTGGAGTCGAAAAGTTCAGGATCGGGGTTTATAGGGGTTGCGAGCGTTTGGATCGGGTTCGGCAAAAATGTTTTGGGTAGAAGTTGTTAGCCAAAAAAAGGTCGGGAATAAAACTGTTATTGTCAAAAAATTATAACAAAATAAACCTGTCTTGGCATAACTTTTGCACCAGTAAAAACAATTCCTTCATTATCTAGAACTGAATGTCTGAAAATTGGTTTTCTGCTTACAGCATCTAGTGAAGGACCCATAAATTTGTCCTAAAAAAAGAAAAAAAATTCAAAATTTTTTTTTAAAAATTTTACATAAGTTTGATTTGGATATTTTCGAGCATTTCCTTTAGCAAAACGATAAACCATACAACGGCCAAATCCTCTATCAAGAGAAGCTTTATTTAAAACTAATGCATCCTCAATGTCATAACCACTAAAAGACATTACAGCAACAATAGCATTTTGACCAGCTGGTAATTTTTCAAAATTGGATAATTCGAGTGTTTTGGTTTTGACTAAAGGTTTGTGAGGATAAACCAATAAATACATTAACTGTAGAAAATTTTAAAATGAAATTTAGAAACTAAATACTTTAGAGCAGGGTTCGGATTCGTACTTATTTTGGAAGTACAGTACTTACAAATCGCCCTTCGTACTTCCAAAATTAAAAATGTACTTATTTGTAAGTACGTACTTACAAATAGACTTTTTGGTTAAAAAATTATTTTTTTTACCTGCGGTGCAGAAAATGGAAGAAATCTGGCTTAAGAACCTCCAAAATTCTCTAAATTTTCGACTGCGGCGCAAAAAATGGTAGAAATTTGGCTTAAGGACCTCCAAAATTTCAAGAATTTTCGCCTGCGGCGCAAGAACGGTAGCCTTTTGTAGGGTCTTCGGGACCGCTAAAAATTTTGAAAAATTTTTTCGTAGCGTACTTATACTTTGAAAATTTTCCCCCCTATGTACTTACATATTGAACTTTTTGTACTTACAATTAACATTTTATCGATCCGAACCCTGCTTTAGAGCATGAATTAAACTATGTGAAAGAATCAGGAAAAGACTAGTCCTAGTTCAGAGGGGAACGGAAGGGAAAAAATACATGTCCTCAAACATTCCCTCCAAAAATATTTTTGTAAAAAATTCAAACCGTATCAATCCTTTTCTGTTGGTTATAGCCACAACTCCCCATTGCTTGTTTACCCATAGCGCATTGATAAGTATTTCTTGGACTTTGATTGTGGTGTGGATAGGGAATAAGGCCTGCCACAACCCCCAATAAAGTGAAAGGCTCAATCTAAAAAATTCCAAAAAAATTTTCAAAAAAATTTTTTTACCTCAAGGTGTGTTGTTTGTGAAATAATTTGATGCTCATAAACGGAAATTCTAGCATTATTAATTTCATTTACATCTAAAAACTCTAAAACGCCTTCGGATATTAAATTGTCGAAAGTTTTTGTTCCATTCTTTACAGCCTGAAAACAAATAAATATTTTCATTGAAAAGTTCGGATTATTTTTGCGGACTTTTCCTTAATTCTTTCGGCTTGCGTTTTCCGTTTAATTATCAAAAAAGGGATTGTTTTATTCAAAGATTCTTTAAAAAATAATCTTTCCCATAGGTAAAAAAGCAGTTAAAAATCAAAAGCAATGTATCGTAACCAAACAACGAGAGATGATGTTCTTAATCTGGGAATGTCGTAATGCTTAAACAACGGGCGGTGATGATGTTCCTAATAAATGTTTAACATTTTGGTATTTACGACGTCATCCCTACAGTTTGGCATTTCAGCAGATGTTGGGGGGTTTGTGTAAGTAAATAACAAAAAATCGAATATTAAATTAAAAAAACCTCAATTTGTGATTGTTTAAGTAAAGGAACACCATTTTCAACAATTATATAAGGTCGACACAATCTACCTCCATCAGAAGCCAAATGAATTGAATTTGCATTTTTACTGACAGAAACAAATGGATTTAAAAACCCTTTTCTTCTCATCATTTTAATTGTAGACAAAATATTTTCAATATCATCAGTTATTCCAACAACAGAACCATTTAAAAATATAAGACTATAAGCTCTTTAAAAAAATCGAAAAAAATTTTCTTTTAATTAAAAAAAAACTAACGGATTATGAATAACATTAAATTTTAATGAACGTAAATCTTGAACTCCACAATTGTATAATAAACCAAGTATCGGCTAAAATAATAGATGAAATATATTTTTGATAATATTTTGAGCTATAAGAATAGTCAAAGGTGCCATAAATCAGAACAGGACCAAATGTCGGAACTCGAAAAAAAGACGGAAATAGAAAAAAGTTGAAAACTAATTGTAAATTATGCCCAACCTTTATTCCAAATGTTGTAATTGAAAAATTTCTTTAATATTTCCTTTCTCCTCAAAATTAAAATAAAACGTAAACTAACCGTTTCATCGCTATCTGTAGTTATATGGCTTAAAAGTGCCAAATTCTTTACTAAACCACAAGATTCTCCTTCGGGTGTATCTGCTGGACAAATTATTCCCTAAAATTAATTTTTATCAAAAATCTCAAAAAATAAACCCACCCATTGTGAAGACTGAAGTGAACGAGGCCCAGAAACTTTTCTTGTCTTTTCAAATGTTGAATTTATTCTTGTCATCATACCCAAAACGCTAATGTAAGAAAGACGGCTTAAAACTTGAGTAACACCTTGACGTTCCATTCTTTTTTTAAAAATTTTAATAAACAAAAAATTAAAAAAAATACCCGAAACGTCTAATAGTCCAATTTCCAGTTGCTAAAGCATTTATTAATCCATTTGTAATTAAATCCTTTAAAAAATATTAAAATAAATTAAAAAGTTATTAAAATTGCAATATAAAATTTTTAAAGAATTTTAAAAATTACTGAAATTAGAGAATATTTTTTTAGTCCCGGCTTTTTCGAATGAAAACAATTTCCAGATTCGCTGAATCTAGATAGTTTCAGCGCCAAAACTTAAATAATTTTTTCTTAATTTTATGTCAGCAATTATCGAACCGTCATTTCAAATTTAAAAAAATTACTTGTCTCATGTGTCTAACAATATCAAGAGGAGCTGCCAAATTTTTACCCAAATGGCTGTCTGTTATTCGTTTTAATTCACCATTAAATCTAAAAAATTTTAATTGAAAATTTTTTCCTTACAAACGTCAAAAATCTTAAAAATAAAAAATTAACCTTTTAAACAAATCTTCAAATAATAAAGCCAAAAGAGAACCAGCAAGTTCTATTCTTTTGTTACCATAAAAATCCCGATCATCAGCATCACAAATGCCTTTTTCTGCTTGTATAAGTCTTCAAATTTTTTTCAATTTTTGAAAAACAATTTTTTATCAAAAAACCTCCTAATCATTAATCCAATATAAATTGCTTTCATTTTCATATTTCCTTCAGGCGAAAGAATATGACATATCATTGAATTACTTAAAAAATCCAAAACGTCATGTTCTTGAGAAACTCGAACTCCAATAGAGCCAAACGTTTTTCTTCTTATTCGTGGAATTAAATATTTTATGGCATCGGCACGCGAAATTATATTGAGAAGAGCACATTCATCAATTGTTGGACCTATTGCTGCGATGTATTCTTCTTCGATTCCAACAGTTGTTGCAATTAAGTGATCAGATTCATATCCCATTGCCTGAAATAATTTTTTTGGACTGGTCAAATTTACGAGTCCAATAAAAGATTTATAAAGCTTTATTGGACCAAAAAGATTTATTGGACACATAAAGCTTCAATGGACTCGTCAAAATATAATTATTAAAATCCCACTTAAAATATTAATGGTAATTCGAAAATAGACTCGAAATGATCAGTCGGAAGAATTTTATCAAAATGAGAACGTCTGACCATAAGGGACAAGAACACAGAATAAAATTTAATGTCAAGTCAGAAATTTTAAAAAATGTCAAGAGCTCAAAATGGTCAGTCAGCAAAATTTATAACTATGAAAGATGTATTAGTACCGAAAACGTTTTTTAAAAAAACCCCCCATAGAAAAAATTAACCTTAAAAATAATAACAACAGGTATATCATCTGCCAATTGATTGTGTTTTAAGTAATAACGTCCCTTCTTTCCAATAATATAAGTTTTGCTTTTTCTGTCTTGACTAGTACTTAAAACTTCACAAATAAGTTCTTTTTTTGAATTTCTGTTAATCATTATTCGATTTCTTGAGATTTGCTCATGCATTAAAACTGAAAATAAAAAAGTTAAAAATGGTAGAATTTTAAAACGTAAAATTTTAATAATTGTTGTGAGCTCAAAACAGTCATCAAAAAGAAAAACTATTAATAAGTATGAGTGTCTACCGATCGTGTGGCAGGAATATTTTGTCCAAATCACAACAAATAAAAAGAAGGCAAAAGAGAGTAAGTTTTCAACTTTCCACGAAAAATTTTTTGGATGGGAAAAAAGGATTACCGAACCGGAACGACACGAGCGATGAAGAATTTCTAAATTCATTCAGGATATCTGAAGAATTTACTGACAACCCCATTCCAAATACAAAAACTAAAATTCATACCAACTTTCTCCGAACCCCTCACAACAAAATAACCGCCAGGATCATAAGGGCATTCACTCGCATGAGCCATTTCCTCTTCAGTAGAAAGTTTTGAAAGAACACAACGAGAAGAACGTAGCATTATAGGCATTCTTCCAATAACAATATTTTTGCTTACAACTCGCTGATTTCCCCTTGTATATTCCACATTAACGTATATTGGGGCAGAATATGTCATATCTCGAAGTCGACATTCGTGTGGAGTTATTTTTTCGTTGATTATGTTAAATCCTTCTTCGCTTGATGGCATTCCAACGTTAATGTCGTTATATCTTTAAAATGAGAATTTAGAGAGAGTCACGTTAAAAACTACCCCTTTAACTTCAAAAATTTTCTGACTAATGTAATTGGTTGGTAAAACAGTCATTTATATATTCTAGATTTTAAGTTTGTCCGCAATTTAGTGATTTGTCCGCAAAATGTCTGAAAACTCAAAAAACAACATAAAAGGAAAACTTTTATCAGTAAATGTCGTTACGTAAAACAAAAAAAATTACTTGAGATAAAAGACTGGATTTGCATCACTTGTAATTTTATCGTTTGCTTTTACAATATTTTTGATTTCAACATCAACAAAATAATTGAAACTTGCAATGTGCTAAAATTGAAAAAATAAACTTAAATATTTATTAAGATTAGAGTTGGAACTTTTCAGACTGCCAAGCCCGTATCCAGGGTTTTTCAATTGTCCTGCTCACAATCAGAACTCGGAAATTTAATAAAAATCCGGGTTTTCAGGAGTTTCAAGGTTTTAACCCTGAATACACGGTTTAGAGAAAAACCTGAAACCACGGTTCTGGGCCCAGCTCGGGTCTGAACCCTAATTAAAAATAAAAAACCTGATTGAAGAGTCCTTTTGTTTTTAAAAATGATGGAATTAATGCTGCTTTATCTGATAGTATTTTATGTGAAGCTTGTTCAGTTGATGTCATTTATGATAGATTATAACAAAAAATAGAATAATTCAGCCTGCACAATCAAAAATAAATTTTAAAAAATCAGAGAAATTTTAGGGAAAAACAAAACAATGCAAAATTCGGGGTAGGGGAAGGCTTATTGTTATCGCCAATTTATAGACTTTAGTGGCGGCACACTAGTGACTCCAATCGCCCAAAATGTCAATTTGTCAACTTAAAAATGACATTTCATCCCACTTCAAAAAATCGATATTTTTATAAAATTTTGTATCGATTTTTAACTTTAAATTTTTCAAAAAATTAATTTAAGATATAAATTTCAGCAAATTTATCATTCAAAATTCCTCGTTTTACACCACTTAGAGCTGCTGTTCCAGTTGGCTTTGTTGTTGCCCTCCTTTTTTGGAAAATTTCTGAATCGAAGAAATATTTTGAATCTCGTTCCAAAGAATTTAAACATAATTATACTTTAGAGGATTTAAGCGAAATAAAAGATAAATCTCAAAATGGTAATGCCTTCAAAGCAACGTGAAGACATGTATGGTTTTATTAAATTTGATTGGGGGGTTTTTTAAAATGATCAATTTTAGGAATCAGGCTATAGTCGATTATTTAGAATCTCATGGTTATAATCAAACTGCTTCAGTTTTTAGGCAGGAGGCTAATGTTGTATGTTTAAAAAATTTTTTTTATAATTTTGATGCTTTTTGATTTGGGGGGGACACAGCATCTTAGACCCTGGCGTATGAATCTTGGTTAAGACCTGGCTTCTCTTGTATCAATGGCAGGTACCAAGCATTTTTTGAGCTTCTTGGGTTTTTCTTGTGTCTGGATTCATGTGCCCTGCGGTACATACTCCGCAAGTATGAATTTTGGTTAAGACCTGGATTCTCTTGTATCTTTTGCGGATTCTTTCGGCTTTCAAATTTTCATTTAAAATTTTTTGAAAAGGATGAGAATGCTGATCCCGCACGTAAAGCACAATCAGCTGGATTGCTTGAAAAGAAGTGGACACTTACTATTCGCCTTCAACAAAAAATTTTGAATTTGGAAGAAAAATTGAAGCAAGTGGAAAAAGAGGCCGTTTATGGAGGAAGTACTATATCGAGGTCATTTTTCTTAAATTTTCTAAAATTTTGTATTTTTTAAGAGATAATCGAAGAGTTCAGGAGGATTGGATTCCTCGCCCTCCTGAAAGATATCAACTTACTGGTCATCGATTGCCTGTTACTAAAGTGATTTTCCACCCACTTTTTAATCTTGTTGCTTCTTCTAGTGAGGATTGCACTATAAAGGTTTTTTTAGTTTATTTTTTCTAAGATTTTTTTGAGATTTTACTATTTTTTCTTTTTTTAAATTATGTGACTAATTCCGAGTTTTGCTTTTTATCCTAGTTTTCTTTTTACTCTTTTTGTTCCCAATCTATAAAATAAAGTTTTCTTTGTGAAATAGTTAACATTTATGAAGTCTGACCATTATGAGTTTTTGAGGAGGTGGGAAATTAGGACAAAATTGGGAATTACTTGTATTTAAGGTTTGGGACTTTGAAAGTGGCGAATTTGAAAGAACACTAAAAGGGCATACAGATACTGTTCAGGATATTGTTTTCAACTCATCTGGAAAATTGCTCGGTATAATTTTTTCTTCCTCTTTAAATTATTTTTTAATTTTAATTATTTTCAAGCTTCATGTTCTGCTGATATGAGTATTAAAATATGGGACTTTGTCACTACTTATGAATGCTTAAAAACGTTGAAAGGGTAATAAATTGTTAATTTTATTCTTTTTTTAATCCTTTACTTTTAGACATGAACACAATATTTCTTCTATAGCATTTCTTCCAAACAGCGATTTTATCCTTTCCGGTTCACGTGACAAATTAATAAAACTTTGGGATGTTACAAATGGTTATTGCGTCCAGAATTTTTCAAAACACGCAGAATGGGTTCGTGTTGTTCTTGTGAATGAAGAAGGGACTTATTTTGCATCTTGCAGTAGTGATAAGGTTTTTTTCTATTTTTAAAATTTTTCTGAAAAATTTTTTTAGTCAATTATTGTTTGGTGTCTTGCAACAAAGACACCTAATGCTACTTTAATTGGACATGAACATGTTGTTGAGGCACTCCATTGGGTTCCAGAAAAGAATTGCGGGCAGATCCTTTCTTCTGAACAGTCTACTATGCAAGGTTTTTGTTTTAAAAATTAGAACAGATGATTCCGCTTTCGGTTTCCTGTCAAAATTTTTTGTCCTGAATTTTTGTCCTGTTTTTCGGTAAACCGAAGGATTTGGTGAAACCGACAACTCTTATTTCGAGACTAATAATAATAATTAGGGGGGCACATTTATTTCTCCCACGAATTGCCTTAAGCACTTTCTCACATGTGTTTATGTGAGGTGTTTTGTTCTTCATTTAGATATTTTCCTTTTAAAACAGGAGTAAATGGAAAATCTGAACAAACAGTTTTATTGCTCATTTCTGCTTCTCGTGATCGTTCAATTAAATTTTGGGATGTTTTTGCTGGAACTTGTCTTTTTTCATTAATTGGACACGATAATTGGGTTACTGGAATTAAATTACATCCAAACGGGAAACTTGTTGTTTCTGTTAGTGATGATAAAACTATTCGTGTTTGGTCAATAGAACATCGACGCTGTATTAAAACTATACAACAGGCGCATGAACAATTTATTACTTCAGTTGGTCAGTTGTTTTTTTTATTTGTTGGGTTTAAGTTTTGCTAGTTTTTCGCGAAACGGAAAGTATTGAATTCCCCCTTCCCTACCCCCTGTTTATGTGCCTGATTTGAATGACAAGCGTTTTTAAATTTTAAAATAATCATATTTTTTCAGATTTCCATCAAAAACTACCGTTTGTGGTTTGTTGTTTTTTTATAATTTTTGTTTAAAAATTATTTTTTAAGGTGACTTCTAGTGTTGATACAACTGTCAAAGTTTGGGAATGTCGTTAAAAGAAAAACATACTATATGGACATCGAATATGTCAAAGTTCAAATATCCAGTCTCGATAAATGTGAAAAGAAAAAATGGTGCTTTGCTTACAAAAATGTGTTTGAATAGTCCCTTTTAGGCGAATCTAAATACCAGAGCTTTTGTCAAAATTTTATTTACTTGTCAAAAATATTCTTCAAAAAGGATAAAAAATAAAAGGTTTATTAATTTAAAATTAGTTTTTTTGTTTGAAAATTACCGGGAAATATCTGTCAATTTTATATGATTTTTTTCTGAAATTTTTTATGAACCTTTCTTTTACCCAGATTCATTAAATTTTAATAAGAATTCCTTTGCAGTTTTTACATGGATTACAAAAGCTCTGGTCTAATTCTAAAAAATATTCCACATATATTAAATTTAATTGTCCCCTTTTATTTGTCCGCTATTATTCTTTACTTTTCCTTTCCCATTCCGAATTAGAATATATAAAAGTGGTTGTTGGAGACTTGTTTTAACCGAAAACTGTGTGAGGGATTAATAACCAGCCTACAACAATCCTAAAATATACATACAATTTTTGTTTTGAGACAACAATCTTCCAAAAAAATATTTTTCAAATTCTCTCTTTATCAAAAAATATATACAAGTTTTGACTAATTTTTAGAGTTTTCTTTTTTTTAGTTATGTAAGAAGGAAACATTCCTTTCTAAACAAAAACTCTAAATTAGTAAATATCTCTCAAAATTGTAACGTTTTAAAAATAATAAAGCTTTTTTGTCGCACTAAATTATAATTTATGTTTTTCTAAAGTTACAGTTTTTAGCTAATATTTTTACCATTTGAATACTTGTGTAATTTTTAATTTTTTTCTCGCTTCGAACCTCGTTATAACAACCTCCTTGGGGCTAAAAATCGAGAGATGTTCTAGTATTGAGAGTATCTTAAACAGTCAGACTTTACTATAAGATACACCCCCTAAACAAGATACCCCTCTATTTAATAAATGCTTTTATTAAATTTTGGTTGGCCATTGGATGGGAGAAATGATCGCAGTAAATTACAAGTGTTTTAATGCGATCATTTTTTATATCCCTCTCTCCTCACTCAGTTTGACTTTCCTTCTTTATTCTCATAAGTCTCTCTATTTAAGATACACCTCATAATAAAATACAATTTTTCAGTTGCAAGAGTTTATTTTATAATGAGGTTCTCAATTGTTTTTTTTAAATAATTTCTAGATTTTATAGAAATGATTATTCCAAAGTCACGTCGACCTCCTGTAATCATTAGAGATGGTCGACAAATTAAACCTAATCCTCTACCTTGGGAATTGAAAATTTCTAGAGAGCTTTTACTTGGCAAAGTTAAAGTTTTGAGTCGTATTGGCCTTGAAAAAATTCCATGTCTTCATGTTAGAGTGCCTTTATATACGTAAGTTTTGTTGGGGGGAGGGGGGGGGGGGCAAAAAAGCCGAAGATTTTCTGGTGCTCTATCTACATATTTATACCAAAAAATACAAGTTTTGACTTACATTTCGGTATGTTTTCTTTTGAGTTTCTTCCCCCAAAATAACTTTGTTTTTTAATAAAATAAAAAGTTGCAACTTTTGCGGACAAAACTTGCGGACTTTTCGGGGCATACGGGAAAAGAAAGAACCTATCTTCATTTCGCCTTACAAATTTATTTTTAAGGTTTTTTGAAGTCACTCGGATTTTTTATCGAACATTTGAGCTTTATTGGGCTTTGGATCCTGAAGAAAAATGCAAATTGGGTGATGTTGTTATTATTCGAAAACTTCCTGAAGAGAAAAGGATTGCTTCTACAGTCCCCTATTTGATTGAAAAAGTTGTTTTTGAACATGGAGCACGTGTGGATCTTCTCAGCAAGGTTTTTTGCTTAATACTCGCTCTTTTTGTTAGAAATTAAATTGTATTTTGATTAAATGTTTCGCCAATTCAAAAAATTTTTCTGTTGAATCTCTAGTGGAAAATTCCGCAGTCTTGATGATTCTAAAAATAAATCTTTCGTCGTTTTTCCTTTATTTAATAAAATTTTATTTTTAGAAACGTAATTTTGAAGGAATTTATGAGGATGAAATGAATATTCGAAAACAGCTTGTTGACGAAGTTTATAACGAGCCATTAGCTGAGGTTTGTTTTTTTTTATTTTAAAATTTTAATCTTTAAATTTTTATTTTAAAGAAAACACTCTCCTATGACAAGAAAAGAAGTTTAATTAAGCAAAGAATAAGGCAAAGATTGAATTTGTTGAAAAATGATGAAAATTGAAAAAAGTTTTTTTAAATTATTGTTAGTTGTTTTGTTTGGTTATTTTTTGTTTATGTTTCCTAAAGTTTCCAAGTTTTTCTGCAAATTTTTTGTCCGCAAGTTTTATCAGTATTTTATCCAAATAATCCCCTTTTGCTTGTGTCTTTTGGAAGCTAAAGGAAAAGGACCAATTGTGTTTTTTGATTTTTCCAAAATTTGATAAACTTTGGTTAAATTTATTTATGAAAAATTTTTTTTAATTTCTACTAGTAGCTATTTTCAATTTTTGATTTCTTTATTTTTAAGAGTTTTTAATTTATTTTTTTAACTTACAATTAGATGGAAGTAAGTGAGGAAGTATTTCGACCACGTTTAATAGACACTACTGAATATGTGAAAGCAAGATTAGATCAAATTGCCGAGCTGTTAGAGGTTTTTTTATTTTATTTACTGCTGTTAATTGATGGCTTTTGTTGAGCTTGGTTTGATGATTTTTGCAGAAATTTTCAAATTGATTGTTTAGCGTCTCAACAAGGTGTCTGATTACCCAACCCAGACTTTTCGAACCGAACCTCGACATTTTCCTAAACCATCTCATCCCTGGTCTCCACTAACAGGCCAGAGAAACTCTCCACTAACAGGCCAGCTTTAAAAATTTTCAAATACTTCCAGTTTGTAAGGAAAAGAAGATTGGGTTAGCATTTGAATGTTCAAACAAGGGAAATAAACGCAGATGCGGTTCATGTTCAAAATTACCGGACCTTAACGTGTAGGCGAAACTCCTAGCAAAAATTGGCAAGAGGTCGCGTTGTTCGATTCTTGCCCTTTGGCGGTTTTTTTGCTTTTTTCTCTTTGTCTTTAAGTCAGTTTTCCTTTAAAAATTTTATTAAAGGTTGTAAGTAGCAATGCCGGCGGTGACGAAAGCACATCTGCACCCAGAACCCTTTTCCAAAGATTGCCGAGACATATGAGGAGAAGAGCAATGTCACACAATGTAAAACGTTTGCCAAGGCTTTTTAGGCCTGTTGATGTTAATTTAAATAAGAAAAAGAAGAAAAAGATGCCTAGTCGTATTTGGAGGAGAAGAGCTTCTAGGCTTATTAGAGTTTGTTTTTAATTTTATTTTTTTTTGGGCAAAATTTTTGGTTTTGGTCTATTTTACGTATACTTTTTGCGTCCATAAGGGTGTTTGACGAATTAAGATGTGACAATACTTACTGGCTTTACCTCAATTTTAGATACGGTTTTTAAATTTGGTTAACCATAGAATAAGTGGGGCATCTCATTATAAGATATTTTTTAGTTGAGGGTTATTTAAAAGTTAGTTTTGACTGTTAAAAAGGGAAAATGATGATACTCTCAATTTACTGTACCCCTCATTATGAGAGATGGGCCAGGAATGTTTCTTAATTTTTTATTCCACAATTTTATAAAATTATTTCAGCGTAGCATGGTAGAGAATTCAAAACCTCGTTGGTTATCTACACATATTTGGCATGCTAAACGATTTCATATGGAGTAAAATAAAAATTAATTTTTTCTAATTTTTTAAATTTTTAGAGCAATTTGGGGATTTAAATTAGCTGCTAAATGTTGTCAAAAAACTTTTAGACCAAACTATCGTTCTTCGCTTTCTTCTTCAATGTATTTTTTAATTTTCTTAAGTTATTCAAGGGCAATTTTGTTTGAAATTTATTTGGAAAGGGACTTTAAATTGGCATTTGGAGAAAATTTTTTTTGAATCGCTTTTAAATTTATTAGATTAAAAGGCCGTTAACCACCCTAGTCAGCTCTTATTTTTCCAGATTTACTGAAATTTTTTGTAATATTTCAATTTATTTTTAAAGTATAACAGATCGAAGTTATTTAACTTGTTTGCAATTCACTTTAACTAAAAATACTTCAATTACATTCATTTCAAATTTATTATCAAAATTTTGTCAAAAGGTTTATTTTTTAATACTTATCGGTTTTGGGTCTCCCAAAAAATTTTTTGGGACCCCTTAGGCCAAAAGTATAATTTTATTTTTATAATTTTAAAGAAATGTTCTCCAACTTTTAATAATTTATTTGCTATTTCTGGTAATTTTGAAATATCTCTGCTTCTTTTTAAACCTGGTGACGATTTTAATGGATTTATTGGTCCTTGTCGATTTTCTTGGTTTTTACCTAAGTTTGTTTTTTTATTTTCTTCATTTAAAAAAATTTTTGGACCAAGAAGGTTCGAATCCTCAAAAATTTTTTAGTTGTTATAGGGTTGCCAAAAAGGGGGTTTAAGCGGAGAAAGGATAAAAAACAAATTAAAAATTTTTTGTCGCAACTTGCGGTTTTTAGACTTCGGAAAAAAATTTTTAATAATTATTAATTTTAGTAAATTAAATTTATGGATTCACCCTTCAATTGAGCTTGATTTTTTAAAAGAAATTTCTTTATTAAATGAAATTAAAATTATTTCTCCTTCAAAATATTGTAACAATACAGCAGAGAAGATTGAGGCTTCTATTGAGGTTTTTTAATTTTTTTGAATTAAAAAATTTTTTTTTGAAGTTGAATGTTTTAAAAAATAAAATTAGTCGTTTTCAATTAATTGGGCCCAAATCTTTAATTTATTTAAACTTTGTTTTTAAACTTGTTTTGGATGAAGAATTGGATATTTTGGATTGTTCTGATTACAGGTTGGGGGTTTCCTTTTTCTTTTTTTTAAATTTCAGCCCTCTCACAGGGGAACCTTTTGAACTGTGAGTCGATTTACTCTTGAAAATTTTTGACTTTTTTGGATAGGAATATAAAACTAAAAAGTTATGGGGCTTCAAAGTTTGCTAAAATTAGGAGATCGCTTGAGACTCTCGTTATATACATAGTAAAATGTGAGTAATTTATCTCCTAAATTCCCTTCCTCTCTTCTTTTTTCCTCAAATTAAAAAAAATTTTTTTTGAAGAGATATTCACAATTGGTGGCGTTTATTTGCAACAAAAATAGTCTCAAATTCTTCTCTTCAATCTGGCACTTTAATTAATTTACTTGTAGAAGATCCACGTTTATTTCGTGCTCAACGTTCTTTAAATAATAAATTTATTGAAGAAAATAATGAAATTAATTATTCAAATATTCCTTTACCTCCTTCAAATAATTCAAAAAATTTAAAAATAAATTTATGGAATTGGAAAGAATTTGAAGATGAAATGCTTCCAAAGAGATTGACAAATTCTGATTTTGAAAAGATTTGTGTGGGAAAATTGGTTTTGCCTAGCCGGACAGATTTTAAGGTTTTTTTCTTTTTTATTCTTTTTATATATTTACGTGCCTTTTCCCCAGTTTGATTGTTAATTTTTTTAGGTTCCAATAGTCCTTATCCTTCATTTACCCCAAAAATGTAAAAATTATCTTGGAGGATTTCGAGTTGATTTTTTATGCCCAACACAAGTTAGCTATGATTTTTGGTTAGCTTTTCAATTTGCAAAATGTCGAGCAATTGGATTAAAAAATTGGGAACATTTAAATTTTGAAAATGGTTTGGTAAATTTCCCAAATGAATTTGTAGATTCTTTTGCTGGGAAAAGAAAATTGAAAGAAGAAGTTGAATTAATTGAGGTTTTTTTATTATATTTTTGTCCAAATCGAATATTATTTATTATTCCAAGTAATTTGGGGAAAATATTTTTTCCAAAATTCCGAAAGGGCAGGGACTGGGAAAATTTTTTTCATAATTTTTGAAAAGATTTCCTCAAAATTTTCGAAAAAAATTCTTAGTTAGTTAGCAGGTTATTTATTAACTTGTTAGTCCTATTTTTAAATTTATAGCTTTTAAGTAAGTTTATACATGTCCCTTAAAGATGGAAATTTGACTCTTTTTTTGGAAATTACCTATCCCTGGTTTCAGGGATTTTTTTAATTTTAAAAGGAAAATAATTTTTTAAATTTATCACAAAAATAAAATTTACAATTAAGCTTTAATTAACTTAAAACTTTTTGTTTGTAAAAAATAGATTAAACGATTTTTTAATTTCCCATGAGGTCTCTTCCCTCAGAGAGCAATCAACGTTCTAAGAGAAATACCAAATTTTATTTTTGTGTTAAATTAAAAAAAATTATTTTCTTTTTTTTTAAACAGAAAAATTCCAAAAAATCTCACAAATGTAGACTTGCTTTTATTAAATTACAAAAATGTTTAAAATTAATTAATTTAATGGACAATAATTTATTTGTATTAAAAGAAAGATTATTACTTAAACAAATTGATTATTGGCTAAAAAATAGAGAAAGAAGAAGAAGAAATGATGATGATAATGAATGGATAAATGTAGAAGGTTTTCTCTTTTTTTTTAAATTAATTTTGGGGTTGTGAACGTCGTTTGTTATTTGCAAGTTTTGTAATATCTTAAAAATGAGAGGTAGAGGGCAGTGTTGGATACCATTTGAAGTTTCGAGGTTTACCCCCCCCCCCCTTATAACTCAATTCGTTTTTAAAAGTTGGCCTTTAATTAATGACCGGTGCAGGGTTTCCCTTAACCTTTTTTCTGATTTTATTGATCATGATGGAATTACTCCCTCAAGGAGTGGTGATTGTGAATTTTGTAGTATACATAGAAGCTAAAAATAAATTTTAGAAAATTTAATCAACAATTCAAAACACTGTTTTGTAGCAATTTATCTAAAAATGTTGTCAAAAGGCATTCCAAAAAAATTTTCATTAATTTATACAACTGACAATTATATTTTGAAAAAAGAATCTGAAAATTTTAAAAAATTTAAAGAAATTGAAAATGAGGAGGAGAAAATTGAAGGAGAATTTTTAGTAGAACAGGTTTTTGAATTTTTTTGGAAAGGGAGGGGGGGGTCGGTAAAATTGAATTTATTTTTGGTTTTCAAAGTTGAGTTTTTTGGGTTCCATAAATGTGAGGTTTGGGATCATCCTTTAATTTAAGACTATCCGGTTTATAAATCCATTGAAGCTTTATTCATTCCGACAAAAGTTTATATAATTAAAAGTGGACTCATAAACTAGACCAAAGCTTTCTTTCTTTTTTAAAGAATGGATACAAAAATAAAAAGGAAATTGTTGGCGGTTTTTTACCACTTTTGGAAGAAAATTTGTCTAATGGAATTTTTAGTAATGAATTGGAAAATAAACCTTTTGATAAACAAATAAATTTAAAAAATTTATTTCCTCAAAATTTAAATAAAAAAGAATTAAAAACATTGAGAAATAAAAGAAAAAAAGAGAAGAAAAAGAGGAAAAAGAAAATTGAAGAAGAAAAAAATGGATTGAAGGAGGGATGTTTGATTATTGAGGAAGAAAAAGAAAAAATTGATGACACGAGGTTGGGAATTTTTTTAAATTATTTAGGCACTTTACTGCTCTAAAGGAAAAGTCCAGGAAAGTATGCAAGTATTGTCCGCAAAAGTTTATTAGGCTCTATCTTAGGACATGCGTCCCATGAACTTTTATGCGTCCCATAAACAAAAAATTAGATTTTTCTTGGTGTTGGAAAGTAGGGGTATGGGTCCAAAACATTTTTTCATGTTTGGGACCTACGCCCACTGGGTCTGGGACCGTTCCTTACCCGATCCCTCGAAATTTCTGAAAGTTAAAATCGTTTTTCTGAAATTTTTAAAAATTGGCTGTAACTTTTAGAAATTTCGAGGGATCGGGTAAGGAACGGTCCCAGACCCAGTGGGCGTAGGTCCCAAACATGAAAAAATGTTTTGGACCCATACCCCTACTTTCCAACACCAAGAAAAATCTAATTTTTTGTTTATGGGACGCATAAAAGTTCATGGGACGCATATCCTAAGATAGAGCCGTTTATTATCAACAATTTTTAACTTGCGGACTTTTTGGGAGCATAAAGGAAAAGAGGCCGTTTTAATTTATTTGAAAATAAATTTAAGACAATCACCAATTGGTTTTATTATTAATGGAAATTATTCTTTCATTGAAGCTAGAGGAATTGCTTTAGGTTTTTTTAATAAAAAATTTACCTCTTTAAATTATTTTAAGGATACGCTTTATTATCTTCCCTTAAATCAATCAACACAGACAGAATTGTTTTTGTACAAAACACTGAAGAAAACTTTTACAAAGCAATTATTGAAATTAATTTTTCGATTGCAGAAATTTAAAAAGTTATTGGAAGGAAGGGGGAAAGGGGAAGAAATATCCCCCCCTCCTCCCCCACACACACAGATTTTGTAGGGAAAAACTATTTTAAAATATATCCCTAGAATAACAATCAAAGCTTTTTTACCAAATTTTTATTTTTACAAGAAAAAATTTTAAGGTCAATCAAAATAAATATGTTTTGTTGTTGTTCACATTTTTTAGAGGAAACATTTTTTAAAAGGATATAGATAGATTATAGAATAATAAGGGTAAAATAAAATCCAAAAACAGTTTTTTTGTGTTTATAATTTTCGAAAAAAGGTAATCTGCTGGTGTAAAATTTCATTAAAAATAATAATTTTTTGAGACCCCCACTATAAGACTACCACTACAGATCTTATAATTGTTCCTCGATGAAAGGAGGAGGAAGGGGCGTATCTCAAATTAGGGTATATTAGACGGCCCTTTGACCCTTCGCCGCTGACTTAAATTTTTGAAATTTTTTCTTCGCAAAATCCACAAAGTTCGGTGCTCCCAACCGGTGACATCCCTGTGGTATCGCTGACAGCTCCCTTTTTCCCTATGGCCCACCAAATTTTAGAAAAACGTATCATAAACTATGGGAGTCTTATAGCAAGGTTTTTTTCAAAAAAATTCAGTTTGACTTAAAATTAAATTTAATACATGACGACCAGAAAATAATTTTGAAAGATTACCTTTATAGACATTTTAAAAAACAGTTGAAAAGTTTTGACCTTTTTTAAAAGAATATAATAATAATAGTCTCATCATTTTTTCCCATCACCTTTTTTAACAACCAAAAAATTTTTCTTTTTAACAGCTTTCCTCTCCCCTTAGCCTCGGTTCTTAAGTTGATTGCTAAGCCAGTCAAGTCCTTCATAGAGGCCATCCCCAGAAGTTGCACATGTTGCCTGGATGTACCAGTTACGATTACGAAGCTTGAAAAATTTGTTTACTTGGAAACAATTAAAAAATATTTTTACAGTGTGAAGTCCTAATTTGTCTGTCACTTCAGCAGCATTCATAGCATTTGGAAGATCCTTGAAAAAATTTAAATATACACCATCTCTTTGTCTTTAGATCAAGTTTTATCATTTGAATTAAGCCCTAAAGGTTCAATTTTTTTCATGGAAAGTGGAAAGGATGGGGGAATAACCCAAAGAGCAAGACTATCCTTTGAATCAAGGACACGGATCTATTTTTTAATATATTATTTAAAAACCTGTTTGTTAGCAAAAACCAAAAGGACAGCATCGCGAAGTTCATCCTCAGCCAACATTCGCATTAATTCTTCGCGTGCCTCCCCAGCTCTTTCACGGTCATTGCTATCAACAACAAATATAAGACCTTTAAAAATAAGTTTGGACAAAAAATAACTTAAAAAACCTTGAGTATTTTGGAAATAGTGCCTCCAAAGTGGACGAATTTTGTCTTGACCGCCAATGTCCCAAACAGTAAATGACTAAATAGAAACAAAAAATTTTTTATAAAGTCTTTATTTTTCAAACTTACAATATTTCTGTATTCGACAGTCTCGACGTTGAATCCTGTAAATGTTTAAATGAGGTTATTTCATAGATTTTATTATTTATTTCATTTCCAGACTAGACCAGTCTAGTAATGCGGAGGTAACAAAATCTCAGAACCGCGCTGGTTATGAACATCTCCCATGCGATTAAGGAAGATTTATATTTAGTTTAAAGGTTCTAGCTGACATATGAAATCGAATAGTCTGGGCTAGGACCCTGGTCTTCCCTGTCAATGAAGAAACTTAGAAACAAGACACAGGAGTCTTTTAACTCGAGCCTGGACGGGAAGTACTGCATATACCTTGTGGTCTGTGGGCCTTCCTGTACTCTGACCTAGACATTTGCTGAGCTCCTTGGGCCTTTCCTAGTCAATAAAAAGTGGAACATCTCTCAAGAAACGGTCCGGTTCTATCAGGTTTTTTTTCAAAAATCCCGGTCTCTGCTGACATTTTTACATATTCTCTTAAAAATTATGTAAAATAACCTATAGTCGGAATAGTAGTAACAATTTCTCCAAGTTTAAGCTTGTAAAGAATTGTCGTTTTACCAGCAGCGTCAAGTCCAACCATCAAAATACGCATTTCCTTTGGATCAGAAAGTAAGAATTTATTTAAATAAAAAATATAAACCTTTTTCCCAAACAATCCTTTAAACAAATTTGTAAAAACATTCCCCATTATTTTATTTGGTCAAAAATTTGAATTTTAAATAAAACAAAAATAATTAATCCTCTCGGAGAAAAGCTGCTGAAAATAAAAATTTAAAACAAAAAATGACTCATTCTCAAAGTTAAAGTTTTTACTGATAAAAAACCTCAAAAAATGTTCCAACAAAACTAACAAGAAAAATACACGTCCTTTTTTTTCATTTAACCAACTATGTAGAAGAAATAACTCGTTATAATTCGCAGTGACGAATTAAAATTTGGTTAAATGAAATTGACTTGGCTGACATTTTTCTTCATTGTTAGAGAAAAATAAAAATTAATAGTGCAAAAAGAAATTAGGTAAGACATCAATAATTTTTGACAGTTCAGTCTTGTTTAAGTGTAGTCGGGTTGCTTCGACTCTAATTACCTTAAATTCGTTTCAAAACTAATAAATTACAGTATACCTAATCTTTGTAAAATTTCGTTTGTCTTATTTCGTGAATTTTTTTCAAAAGTTTTTTACTTTTTTCTTATTTTTACGTTTTTTCGTTTTGAATTTTTTAAATTTTAGATGAAAAGACGAGTACAATTCGCAGAAGATTCAAAAGATCAAGAGTCAACACAACAACGAGTTAAAAGAAATAGGTTTGAGAGAGATGGTGATGAGAATGAGGATAACGACGAATTTGAATTACCTGGAACTTCCAAAGCTGATAAAAAGCATACTTTAGATTCAGATGAGGAAGACAATGTTAATGAATATGAGAGGTTGGACATGCAAAAAGTTAGTCAGAATTTGTTTTCCGATTCTTGATAGGCGCTCATATTGTTAAATAACCCCCCCCCCCCTAACTACATTGTTTCATTTTCTAAACAAATTTTCGAATTTTTAGGTAGAAGGCCAAGAAGATGCAACACAAGAATATGAAGGAGAAATAAAAATAATGCCCTTTAACATGAATGATGATTTAGAAGAAGGTCATTTTGACGCTTTTGGTACTTTTATTTACAATAAAAAAGAGGCAGCTATAAAAGATGCCTGGCTAGATAATATTGAATGGGATAAAGCAAAGGACGCTGCTGGGGAAAAATGGGGAAAGGTTTTTTTAATTTTTTTGTTTTATTTCAAAAAAAATTTTTTTAGTTAGACGATGAAGTAATAACAAATGAGAAGGAGGACGATTTGGAATTAAAAACAATTTATTCAAAATTACTTGAGTTACTTGGAGTTGGGGAAACTATTGATGGAGCTTTAAAGAAATTAAACAGTCAGAAAGGTTTTTCTTTCGTTTTTAACAATTACGGCTTGACTAAAGAGTTTGTGTACTGAAAACGGTAATGGTTAACTTGGAAAACTCCAGCCTTCTTCTCCCCTGGATATACTTTACAAAGGAAATTTATCCCTTAATTAAAATTTATTTTTTTAGGTCTCAGTGCTTCAGAGGAACGCAAAAGGCGTTGGGCAGCCAAAAAGACGGGGAATACCTCTTTACCTATTCAAAATGATTCAATTCAAAATAAAATTGCGGAATTAACATCCCTCGCAGATTCATTAATTTCTCTTGGCCATATGGAAGCTTATCAACTTTCTCCAGTAAAAATTCAAAAAATGATTGAAGAATTGGAACCTAAAGCTGATGAAAATAATACAGCAAAAGAAGCAACTGTTGATATGTTTGCTGAATAGAAAAAAGAATTTTTTAAATTTTATTTTTTAATATATTAAAGGGTTAATTAAAATATTTTTTTGTTTTTAAGATACCATTTGGTTATCTGGCCATATTTTTCTTCTTTTTCAGAAATTTTAAAATGCTCAAAATCAAATAATTTGGGTTAATTCTCATGTCGTCCACATGTCACGGATTGTGAAGGAAGTAGAAGTCGGGTATCGGATATGCCATCCCTGGCCCAAGGTTGACTTGTAATTCTCTCGAAAATTAAAAAATGCAAACCTTGACCATTTTTAAATTTTTTGAGCTTTTTTGGGACAGATAATCAAATTGTATTTTTTATTTTATTTGTTTTTTCAATTAAATTATTTAATTAATTTTATTTTTTGTTTAATCAAACTTTCAACAGATTTTTAATTTAAAAAAAGTAAAAGAAAAAATGGAATTTATGAGTGCTGATGTTTCCGAAAAGGATGTTAGTAAATGGGAATCTCCATCTTTAGCAAAACACTTGTTCACAATTTCTGCTCATGTTGTTACAAAATATTTGCAATGGGGATTTGTGCCGACTGTTATTTATTTGGGTTTGTTTTTTATTAAATTATTAAAATTTTCTTGGTCTTGTGGGGAGGGAAGGAGTTTTTTTTGTTTATGATGGGCTGTCTTACATTTATTGGGTGACCTTGGCCAGATTCTTGGTTTGAAGTCAGGTAAACCCGAAAAGCACCTTGATCGTAACTCGTACAAGAAAAATAAAGATAGGAATTCAGGTCCAAGCCTATCTTTAGAATTTTTATATATCGATCGCTCAACTTAAAAAAATTTTCTTAGGAATGCGAAATGGTGCTGATCCACTTCCAAATGGAGAAATTCCTCAATTGTCGCTTTTTAGCGTTCTTTGGTAATTAAAATTGACTAAAAAGATGATGATTATATTTATGCAATGTTTTTTCAATAAAGTTGTTTTTTCTATTTTAATTTTTATTAAAAAATAAAAGCTGTTAAAAGCAACTATTTATTTTTGCATTTTAAAGGGTTTTAAATAACATTAATTCTTTGAAATTGAAGGATTTGTTGTGTTATTGTTGGTTAAGTGGGGGTGTTTTTCTTCTTTCGGTTCAAATCGGTCCATTTTGGCAACCCTAATCACAAGGTAAAGTTTTGGAGTGTATTCCCTGCTAGTTTCGTTTATTTTTCTTTTTTATGAAGCTGTGATTTTAAATAATTAAAATTTATATTCTCTTTCAGATTAAAAATTATTTTTGTTTCTTTTCTAAAATTAATAACTTAGAAAATGTTGGAAGAATTGCGTAAGAGAAAAAACGAATTCTCAAGCATTTGCAACGTCTATCATTTGATCAATTTTATGCTTTCTATTGCTTTTCCATTTGCTAAACTGACTCCAAAAATTTCTGAAATGCTTTTTGGAATGGAAAACAGAAATATTGACACGGTTTATTCTTTTTATTTTTAAATTATTTATATTTTTAATGAGTTTTTGCGGGCATCTAGAAGATTTCGCACTTTCAGAAAATCTGCGGACTTTAAGGAGCCTCATTCAATTTTTACAAAATTTACCCCTATTTGATGTAAATTCCATTTTTCTACCACAGAATTTTTGCCTTTGTTTAAAAATCAAAAATTTGTTCTGTGGGTCTCCAAAATATAATTGTCTTGTTGTCTTTTAAATTTTTGACGCTAATTCAAGTCTTGTGTGATAGATCTTAGTTTTGAGTTTAGGAAAGTTTTCGGACTTGTATGTCTTTAGGCGGCAAATTTTGTCCTCAAAATTGTTTGTAAAAAATAAAAATCTTTTTTTTCTTTTCAGAGAGAAAATGAAATTTTAATTTTTCTTGTTGTTATCGTCATTTTCAAGTGCCGAAAATCTTCAAGTTATTTACATACTTTTTCAACAATTTATCTTTACTCTAAATTGGCAAATTCGTTATTATTCTTTCGTGTTAAACCAATTTATGGTCTTTTTTATTGTGTTTTGGTTATTACTTTGTATGTTTTGGTAGATGAACCTTTACCTCCTGATTCTGAAAAAGTTAGATTTTTTAATGGAGAAGAGCTTAAGGTTTGTTTTTTAAATATTTTCTATCCGCAAAAGACGTGCGGATGTCTGCAACTAACTTTTTAAGTTTTTTACGATCATAGTCTGACTCGATTTTTTCTGTCCATTTCTAGTAGTAGCTGTATCTAAAATGACTTTTTCCAAGAATAATTCTTTTGAGAAAATTAAAGATAGATTAAAGATAGACTCTTTTAAATTATTAGAATACACTTCAAGAAGACAAATCAATTGTTTGGATTATTGAATTCTTCTCAACGTGGAGTCCAGAATGTCGTTATGTTAGGCCTGTATTTAATGCTTTGAGTGAAAAGTTTAGTTGAAAAATTTTTTTATTTTAATTTTAAATATTTTTTAAAGGTTTACTTTGCCAAACCTACGATTTGGTAAGGAGGTTGAAAATTCTTTACGAATGTCCGCAATTTTTTTGCATGTCTGTAAGTTTTTTAGGTGTCCGTAAAGGATTTGCAGACATCAATTGTTGTGGCTGCAAAAAATTGTGGATGCTTTTTAATATAAAACAGTACTTTTAAAAATTTCTTTGAAGGTAAATTGGACGTGGGGAGATTTCCAAAGGAAGCAGAACATTTTAGAATTAATTGTAGCGCTACAAGTAGACAACTTCCTACATTTTCTTGTTTTAAAGGAGGAATACAAACAGAAAGAAGACCTTTAATTGGTACAAATGGAAAGGCTATTCCTTTTGTTTTTACGGAGGTTTTTTTAAATTTTTTTTGTGGTTATCCGTTTTCTTCTTTCTCATGTTAGAAAAGTTAATTGGGCAAAGTCACATAATAGTTAGTCAAAAAAGGGATTTTTAAGGCCCTAACACTTGACCTATTAAAGGAGAATCAGTGTCTCATTAAATTAATAAGGCTAAAAAAAAGCCAAAATTTTCTTTTATTTTTGATATTGAAAAAGTAGAAAAGGATAAAACGAAGGAAAAAAATATGGGCAGATAACCACATTATTTCGAAAAAATTAATTTAAGAATTTTAAATTTTTTAAGCAAAACATAGTTTTGGCACTCGATTTGACTAGTATTTATGCAGAATGTAAAAAGAGGTTAAAAAACAGTTGAAACTTTTCTGTTGTTTTTAAATCAATTTATTAGCTTTATCGAATATATTTTATGGATATAAAGAGTAATTAATATAAAATTCTTTTGGAAGAACTTTTGGGGGTGTGGTGGGTAAATTTTGTTTGTTTTTTTTGTAAATTTTTTTTTCAAGAAAATTTCCCATTATTTTTCTTCCATTTTTCTAGTCACCTTCAGGGTATGGTCCAGCCAACACTTTCTTGATAAACTCTGAAAAAGTTAAATTTAGTGAGAGAATGAGATACACCCTCCTTGAGTTGAGTTGAGGGATATCTTAAATAAAGGTTTTCTTCACTTTCTGCCGTTAAACCTCGCTTCTAAATACCCCACAACTGAAACGTACTTATCCTATAATGAGGTGTTCCTTAAATAGAAGGTGACTGAAAAGAGGTTATTAAATAGAGGGCATCACTTAGGCAGCACCCCATTCAATGGCCAACCAAAATATAAAAGGTGTCTTAAGTAGAACACTGGGTTATCTTTTAGTGAGGTTCGACTGTGTATTTTTGATTGGAAATTGGAAGACTTGATCAATACTCGATCAATTCGGATATATGTAGGTTTTGTTTTTTTCTTTTTAGTATTATCAGACATTTTTTTCAGACAATTCACTCAGACAATAACAATTTAAAGATAAGTAAATTGAAGCGACTTATTTTATTAAGTAATTTTGTGTCTAAAATACCCGATTAATTTTTAGTTCTCGAATTTATCCTCTAACCACCATATTAGGTGTAGGTTCCAAAAATTGGGCTAACATTTAGTTTTTCTTGACGATATTTGCGGGCACTACTAGAGTAAAGCAGAGCTGGATATTTCTCTCCTTTAGCTATTTTCCATTACACCACGCCGCCTATTGCATAGCCTTAGGAATAAAATAGAGTCACCGGGGCTGGATTCGAACCTGCGATAACGCTGACAGTGCTTGCTCGGCCTTGCTCACACAAATGCAGGTGCTCTACCACTGAGCGATCGGGGCGACGACTAATGCTTTCTTCGTTTTAGATGCTCTAGATGAATCATCCTTATAATAGCTATATGTTTTACACTAGTTGTCCGCAAATTTTATAAGCATGACTACAAGATTTTGAATACTTTTAATCCAATCAGAGCCAAAAAAATTTTTTTCTTTAAAGTTAAAGAAAAACTCACGATCATAATTAACCATTCCCTCTCCATCCTCAACTCCTTGTAAAAGTTCATCAACTTCTTCAGTATTGAGACGCTCTCCCAACGCCAATAATACATGCCTCAATTCAGCTGCCATAATTTTTCCACTTTCATCTTTATCAAAAACTTTAAGTCCTTCCATAAAATCTGCATAACTTCCAACTTCTTTTTCTTTAGAAAGTTGGTCAAAAATTGGCAGCCATTCTTCAAATGTTAAACGTTTTTCACCTTTTCGTTTGTATTCTTGCCCGGCAGCTTTCCAAACCATTGCATTTGTTGGTTTTAAGCCACAGGCGCGAACAACTTCCCCTATTTGAATACCGTCAATTTTGCCGTCCAATTCTTTTAAAAGGAAAAAAATATTTTAAATTTTATTTGAGAGGATTAGTAGAGATAGGAGGGAATTGAAGCCCTATAAACTCAATTTTTATCTGGGATTTCTGGGGGATCTTGGATAGGTCTTGGATAACAGGCAGGCATAAGGTGGAGAGGGGCTGTAGGCTATAATTGATTTATAATAAGTACCAGCTATAAATGTAGACTTAACTCTAAGGATGAGGGGATATACTACAAAGTGAAGTTTATTCTGACTTAATTCTGATTACAAGTTTTAATTTTATTGACTAAACTTAAGCTTAAATTAAGTTTAATTTTTATTTTTCAAGTTTGAAGTCCACAAGTTTTAAGACAGCGAGTCAGGTCAATTACAAACCTTAAGTATTCAAGTTTGTAATTTTCAAGCTTGTATTTGCTAGCTTAAGCTTAAAATTAAGTTTAATTCTGGTTTTAAGTTTGTAATCAAAGTTTTCAAGTTTTTGTCTGATTCTCTAACCTTTTATTATTATTTAACTCACCCTCATCGTAGAGATTGAAAATTTCCTTAATCTCTGAAAAAATAAAAAAGTTAATTTAAAAAACAAAAAAATAGTCATTTTTTACCAGTTTGCGATGGCATTTTTAAAGAAGATTTTTAAATAAAACAATTTTATTTAGAAACAAAACTGTGGTGATTAACGTTGTTGAGAGAGAGAGAGAGTATCTATGTATTTATGTATACAACAAACAACACAAATAAAAAGGTGGAAGCAAGAGAGGAAGACTTTTTATCTCTTTTTGAGCTCTAAGACAACTTTTCAAGTGGATGGGGATATATTATTGAGTAAAATGGCTAAGGAAGAAGATATAAAAATTAGTAAATAAGAATAAAAAAAAGTGAGTCAAAATCGTTAAATCTTTTAGCACTTTAGAAAGATTTTTGTTGGTAAGAGGAAGCTGATTGAAAGAATTTAAAAGAAAGAGCAAAAGAGAGCGCAAAGTGTGTCTAGTATATAAAAGCTAAAGAGTAGAAACTAGCATCCCGGAAATGAAACAAAGTTTTTAAAAGTTAGAGAGAAGAAATCAGAAAAGAAAATATTTCTCTTTTCTTTTTCATGTTCTGATCTCTCTTTAATTCTGAAAAATGCTTTGAAAAAAAAATTTCTAACCAAAATTATTAGCTGTGTGTTAACGCCAAAAACTTAAGTTTGTGGTTTTTGTGTGTTATAAATTTTTTGGCGCACACCCTGATCAGTATATATAATTTTCAGACTCTCCCCCTCTCTCTCTTAAACATTTATCTGTTTTATATCAAGCTCTCTTAAAAGAGGAAATGTTGGTAAAAATAGGCAGCTGTCCTTTCCTTTTTCTTCGCAAGAATGGAGTAGGCGGCTTTATAAACACAACACGGCTGCTCTTCTTTAAAAAAAATTAGTTGTTAGAGCATTTCAGATCAATTTTAAATTTGAAAGAAGAAGAAAAATAAATATGGAAGAGGATTTGGGTATAATTAAACATAAGGTGTATTTTTTAGGTAAGGGGGACAGATGTTCGTCTCTAAAAGTATAATTCAAATAATTCTCATGAAAGAGAAAAAAGTTAAGTTTTTTTCGTTGTTGAATAAAAATAATGAAAATGAATCATTGACAACAATGAGGAAAGAAAAGAATTCTGAAAAATAAACAAGCTTGAAATAAATAAAAAAATAAGAATAATTTAATATAAAACTTTGAACTTGAACTAGAGAACGAGAAAAAAATGAGAATTTATAGAAATTAAAAATAATTTTGAATATTAGACTATGGGGAGTTCAAGGGATTAGGAGGGTTCAAGGAATCGGGAATCTTCAGTTGGTCCTTTAAAATTCTCAAAAAAAACTCTCTCCTTATTTTATTCCCGCAATGGAGGAAATCTGGCTTTCTGGCCTTCCAAATTTTCTGAAAATTTTCGTCTGCGGCGCTAAAAAAGAAATCGAGCTTCTAGTCCTTTAAAAATTAAAATAAAAAATTGACCAAAAATCCGCCAATGGTGACAAATTTGACGCATAAATTATTAAAAAATTTTAACTCAAATTTTAGTTAAAATGTTATCTCAAATGATTAGGGGAAATGGACAAGATATCCGGAGTATAAAGGAATTGGTAGAATATCGGAGGATTAAGAGGATGTGAAGTGATATAGTGTGGATTAAAATGTTTTTGAGGGAAAAGGGGGATTACCCCTAATATCCCTCTCAATCCCTTCAAATCCTCAATAGCCTTCTAAATCACTGATATCCCTTGAAGCCACCCCTAATCCCTTCTTATATCCCTAGATATACTCTTTATCCCATGAATCCTTCCAAATCCGTTTAATCCGTCCAAAGTGTGACGATTTTCACCTTTTTGGACTATCATCTTTCGCCGTTCGCTGCTGAATAAAAAATTACAATTTGTACTACTTCTGATTTGAATATACTGTAGCAGTTTAAATAAAGTATAAAAGCGAAATGCCAAAATACTATTTCTCTTCTGTTTTTAGGTTTAGACGTTACAGACACGTTTTGTCAGGCGAGATTTTTATTTTCTTTATTTATTCATAGGTTAATTTCGGTTTTTCTTTTCTTTTTTTTTTCGTGAATAATTGGTAAAATGTTTTAATTTAATTTTTTTCCCTTTAAATTTTTGTGCTTTTTTAGATTCTTAACAAATATACTATTTCTTTTTTTCTCATTTAGCAGCAATACTACACTGTCCAAGGGATGATCGTCAATCCGATGGACAATATCGGTTCGTACATTACCACACAAGGCGCTTCAATCCTTTCTCGGGATGGAAATTATTCAACCGGATATAATGCTACAATTCCATTGGGCATAAATCCGCAGCCTCTCTACATTCAAAATCCAGCTTCGGTTACTACGGGTCATCATCAATTTGCCTCTCCACACAACTTTTCTTTGGTGCCGCAAAATTCGTTGCCTACTCCAATTCATATCAAAACGCGGGTATTTGTGCCGAATCAGATTGTTGGTATTCTTATTGGGACTAAGGTTATTTTTGTTTTGTAGTAAGGTTTTGAAAGGAAGGATGTAAAGTTTCGATACAAGACCTATACCATTTGATTTATCTCGTCGAGATGAGTCTAACGGTCCCACACTTTTTCAGGAGATGCCTGTGGACCGGGATATAGGTCCAGAAAATCGAAAAACCATAGGGTGGGGGGTCTATTCTTCATTTTTAAATTTTTCTTTTAAGGGTCAGACAATCAAGAGTGTTATAGCGGAATGCGGGTTTTTGTTTTTTAAGAATTTTGACGACGATTTTATTTTAGTGCCATTATAAGGATTGAAGGTGATCGTGATCCGACTCCATCTTCCTCTTCGGTTCATCAAAACACAAATAATTCTGTCGCTGCCAGCCAAGAAAATAGTTATAATAACAACACCAAGAGCACAACTACTTGTGTTGAAGATCCTTCTGTTATTACTAGTGATCATCATTCTCAAGAGGTTGGTGATAACGCTGGTGATAAAACTTCGAATGGTCCGATTGTGGCGCCTGCAGCTGTTGATTCTTTGGAAACTTGTGAAGAGGTCACTATTACTGGTCATGCCAATGGTGGGCACAAAAAGAATAATATCGTTGCTGGACATCCACCAGGTCCAGATCAACGAGGAGTGTTCATTTCTGGATATGACTTTCAAGTTTCTAGGGTTTGCTTTTCATTTAATTTACGATTTAATTTTTATCCTTATTAAGGCGCTCTTTTGGGTATTCAAGAAGTAAGTTGGTTTTTTTTAATTGCGGCTCTTTGAGGGGTTTCTTATCGATTTTTTAATTTGTAGGGTTGCAGACAGTCAGAATTTTCGTGTGGAGGATCTCGTTCTCACTTGTGAGGCAATTGTGCCAAGCAAGGTTGTTGGGCGAATTATTGGGAAGAATGGACAAAATGTATGCTGTTAGAATGTTTACAAAAATATTTTTAATTTTTAGGTTAAGCGACTTCAATTGAAAAGCGGTTTTTTATATTTATAATTTATCTTAAAAATTTTAAATTTTAGGAGCGAACATTAAAGTACCAGAAGATCTCAATCAACAGGACAAAAATTCCGTGGAAGCTGCTGTTCGCGTTGTTGGAAATTTTTATGCTGTTCAAATGGTTCAACATCATTTTGGCACGCTTATTTTGGATACTGAATGGCGTGAAAGTAGAGAATATGATGGTTAGTCTTCCTCAGTTTGTCGAACAATTATAAATTTTTTTCAGAGAAACGTTCCGGTTTTCGTCGCAGTATGGTTGCGTATGATCCACCATTATCCAACTTTGAGTATTCAGATAAGGTTTATTTTAAATATTTTAACAACTTTTAATTAATCTTATTCTTCAGCAATACTACGCCTCTCAAGGAATGCTTGTAAATCCGTTGGATAATTTTGGTCAATACATTACGGCTCAAGGCTTTCAGGCTTATTCAACTGCCTATAATACTGCAATTCCTTTGGGCCCGCAATCTCTCTACATTCAAAATCCAGCGTCGATTACTGGCTTTCAAAATACTACGGGTCATCAATATGCGACTCCGCATAACTTTTCTTTGGTGCCACAGAATTCAATGCCTACCCCCATTCATATCAAGACGCGTGTTTATGTGCCAAATCAAATTGTCGGTATTCTTATCGGAACTAAGGTTATTTTCGTTATCTTGAATAGTTATAGTTTTCTGTGACAATAAGGGGTCATGTTTATAGTACACAGTTTAATGATCATGGCAGACTGACATTATCATTTTAGCTAAAAAACCAGGGTTGGACACGACCGGTTATTAACCGGTACACTCGGTTTTCGGTTTTGGCTGGTTCGGTGAAGGCGTTATGAATTTTGTTGCTTAACGTCGAGGGTGAAAATAAGAACCCAGATTTCCTCCTTTTTCAGCACCGCAGGCAAAAATTTTGGAGGTCCATAAGGCAAATTTCTTCCATTTTTAGCGCGTAGTTCTTTTAAAAAAAACTTGTAAGTTGCGGATTTCGAGTTACGGATTTTTAAGATTTTCGAAATTTCCCACACAATTAATGAAAAAATCTGGTTTCTTGACACAAAATTTATAAAAATTTTCGCCTGCGGCGCTGTAAAAGGAACTTGAAACTTCAAAATTTTATTGACACTTCACCAGAATTTGCTCATATACATTTAACTAGTTTGAAGTGATTAAATTTCTTTATCTCCATTTTAAAAATTGCGGATTGTTTAGATTGTGGGGGTTTTGCAATTGCGGATTTTTAAAAAGAAATTGCGAGTTACGGATTGAGAGTTATTTTAAAATTTCCTACTGCGTACAAGCCTTTTTCTAAAAATAGGAATCAAACCAAAACTTAATCTCGTGCGTGCCTAACACATAACGTGCCTAACACACATAACCACTTAACCACCCGACTCTATAACGATGAGATAAATCGATTAAAAATATTTTTTTCACTGTTTGCTATGCTGAAAAGAAAATTTGGGGAAATATTTTTGTAGAATGTATTTTGAGAATTCATATTCCGAAGAACTCCAAAAAATTCCATCTTTAGGGTGTATTTTTTAAACCGAAACCTATCGGTTTAGGCCTCCGGTTTTCGGTTTTCGCCGGTTTTGACCCCCCGGTTTTTGGTTTATGTTTATTTGCAAAAAACACCGGTTTTCAGTTTCAGTTCGGTTAACCGTTTGTGTCCAACCTTACTAAAAACCATTATCGTTTTTCCTTATATGATTTTATCTTTTTAAGACAAGCTAGTGAACGACAATTTATATTTTTCATTTAAGGGTCAGACAATTAAGAGTGTTATAGCGGAATGCAGGTTTTTATTTTTTGTGAATTTTTATGCTTTATTTTTTTTCATTTTAGTGCCATTATAAGGATTGAAGGTGATCGTGATCCGACTCCATCTTCCTCTTCGGTTCATCAAAACACAAATAATTCTGTCGCTGCCAGCCAAGAAAATAGTTATAATAACAACACCAAGAGCACAACTACTTGTGTTGAAGATCCTTCTGTTATTACTAGTGATCATCATTCTCAAGAGGTTGGTGATAACGCTGGTGATAAAACTTCGAATGGTCCGATTGTGGCGCCTGCAGCTGTTGATTCTTTGGAAACTTGTGAAGAGGTCACTATTACTGGTCATGCCAATGGTGGGCACAAAAAGAATAATATCGTTGCTGGACATCCACCAGGTCCAGATCAACGAGGAGTGTTCATTTCTGGATATGACTTTCAAGTTTCTAGGGTTTGCTTTTCATTTAATTTACGATTTAATTTTTATCCTTATTAAGGCGCTCTTTTGGGTATTCAAGAAGTAAGTTGGTTTTTTTTAATTGCGGCTCTTTGAGGGGTTTCTTATCGATTTTTTAATTTGTAGGGTTGCAGACAGTCAGAATTTTCGTGTGGAGGATCTCGTTCTCACTTGTGAGGCAATTGTGCCAAGCAAGGTTGTTGGGCGAATTATTGGGAAGAATGGACAAAATGTATGCTGTTAGAATGTTTACAAAAATATTTTTAATTTTTAGGTTAAGCGACTTCAATTGAAAAGCGGTTTTTTATATTTATAATTTATCTTAAAAATTTTAAATTTTAGGAGCGAACATTAAAGTACCAGAAGATCTCAATCAACAGGACAAAAATTCCGTGGAAGCTGCTGTTCGCGTTGTTGGAAATTTTTATGCTGTTCAAATGGTTCAACATCATTTTGGCACGCTTATTTTGGATACTGAATGGCGTGAAAGTAGAGAATATGATGGTTAGTTTTTTAAATGTTGGGGGATTATTTTTAAGCTTTATGTATGTTGTCAAAGGTTACAAAAATTAAAGGGTCCGCATTAATTCTGACTAGATTGGTGGATCCGTGTCTTTAAAAAGACAGGTTATCCGGAAATTTTCGTTTCTAATCCAGATATCGAAGGGTCTCCGGGGATTCGCCAACCCCCTAATTCTGTCATCGAAAAAGTAAATATTTGCGGGCAAAATTTTGCGGACTTTTTGGGAGCATTTCACAACATTCCAACGCTTTCTTCTCCGCCTCTCACCCCTTCTCAATTATAATATTTCAAAAAAATTTAAGAGAAACGCTCCCGCTTTCGTGAGGGTGCTGGTAGTGGTGGTGATGCTGGTACTAGCCGTTAATTAATTTTGATCTCAACAACAAACAAAAAAATATAATTATATAGTATTTATTGGATTAAAAAGAAAAGGAAAAATGGGAGGAAAAAATTAATTTATTTATTAAAAAAACAGCAACAAAAAAACTCCTTAACCTTTTAAACAAAAAAAAAAAGAATTTTATTATTATTAATTGTATTTTTTTCCTCTTTTTCTCTCGTTAACAAACAAAAAATGCGAGTATATATATGTATAGAGTTGTTTTGAAGAAATTCTATTAGTATATATATATTATTATTATAATTATTACTACGTTTGCTTGTTTGTATTTTTTGTTGTTTGTTTTGGCTATACCAAAGATATAATTTATTTTTGAATTGTTTTTTGGGGGTTTTTGCTAAAGTTTGGGGTTGTGTTTCACAAAAGTCCACAAATCTCAATGTTTTTTTTTGCAAAAGGATGACTTTAGTCAAAAGGGATCATTTTAGTTAAAATAGGATCAAAGAGTCGCTTATCAATACAACAAAGCGTTTTTAGTATCTTAAAAGGAACTAGCACATTCCCCATGATTTTTTTGTGTTTTTTTGGAATTTCTATACATCCAATAATATTGAAATTTGTGGTCGAAGGTTCGAAGTCGATTGGAGAATTTAAAAAAGCAATTTTTTGTTGTATTGATAAGCAATAAACCTTACAATTAGATTAAATACCCTTAGAATAACCCGAAAAATTCATTTTTAAGCTTTTATTCCATCGCTAATACTAAAAAATAATTATGAGCCTAAGCAGTACTTCTTGCTCTTCCTCAATTGTGGTAGTCCAAAAGGAACAAAAAGACGATATTACAAAAGAAATGATTGGACAGGTGTTTGCTGATTGTGACAAGTCTGGAAATGGATTTATTAACATCAAAAAGTTGAAGGTTTGGTTTTTAAAGTTTTCAGTTTTTGATTGTTGACAATGAAAGTTAATTGATTTTGAATTTTCCTGGCAAATTAGAGCGAATTGCACAATTTATGAATAAGTTGTTTGTTTAGTTGTAACGCTTTCGATTTGTTTGAATGTTGTCTCGTATTCTACGCCTTGCCCTTGTTTTTAATTTTAAGCAGACATTTTTTAGCTCCAATGCTTATTTACATTTTTAATCCTTTTTAAAGTTCTGTTTTTACTTTTTTAGTGTGATGTGGTTTGTATTTTATGTGAATTCTTTCCTTTTTGCTTGTAAGTTTTGTGTACTCTCTTTTCTTTTATTTGTTTTTTTCAGATTGTAATGAGAGCACTTGGATTAGAACCAAGACAAGAAGAGGTTTTTTACTTTTTTGAGAATAAATACAAATTGTTTTTAAAGGTAAACAAATTAATGGATCGAATGTTGGAGGATTCTGTTGCTCGTTCTGTTAACCAAGGTTTTTTGAATTAATTTTTTGAATTAGCTAGCCAACAAACTACCGCCTACTTTATTCCACGGAATTTATTGTGGGAACCGACCCATTGTGAATATCCAGCGAAAATTTTTTTGCTAAAAGTCGTAGATTTCTAATCCGCTGGTCTATGTAGCAAATTGGGGGTCTGTGGTTCGAGCCCATTCCTTATTTTTTAAACATTTAAATTTGTAAAATGAACAAATATAACAAATTTTCGAGTTTCTAAATTTTTTATTCATCTAAAATTAAAATCCTGTGTATTCCTCTCGCTATTTTTACTCTCAAAAAATTTATTTTAGAAGCATTTACTGCCCAAGAATTAGCCAATATACTTTCTGATCGTTTAAAAATTGACAAAATTGGCGATGAAATTCAGACTGCTTTTCAACTTTTTGATTCTAATGAAAAAGGGTTTATTAATGTTGAGGATTTGAAGAGAGTTGCAAAAGAATTGGGGGAGGAATTGAATGAAGACGAATTTAAGGTTTTTAATTTTGTAGTTTAACCTCACTTTAAGTTAAACAATTGTGACTGAAAAATCGTCTCTTATAATGAGGACATCTTTAATAGAGTGCATCGCGTATGCAGTCCTCATTCCAGTTTTCGATCAAAATAAAAAAAACGACTTTAAAATGAGAATTTATAATGAGTTTGACCTAATACTAGACATACTAGACACACCTCTATTTAAGAAACGTTTTAAAATTTGGTCACTGGGTGTGGGAGCTGCCAGATCCTACCCCCAATATATTAGACTATTTTTCCAGTTTCAAAGGGTATATCTATTAATGAGTGTTGGTTTATTTTGGTTAAAATTTAATTTTAAGGAGATGATTTCATTAGCAGAATGTTCCATAAAAGGCCAGGTTACTCCGAACGAATTTAAAAATGTTATGAAAAAAATTTCGCTTTATTGAAGAAAATATTTTTAAAAAGTTTTTAAAGTTAATTGAAGTATTTTTTGAAGATTTATTCTTTTAAGATTACACATAAATTAAAGAAAAATAAAATTAAAAAGAAAAATAATAGAGATTAATTGCACACATAAATAAACTTTTTCTTCTTTTTTTTCTTCATTTCTCACAAAATCTAACAACTTTCTTTTCTTTTTTACTTTCCTTATTATTCCCCTCTTCTTTAGCAATAACAACTTTTCCAGCTTTAGCCTGAATAGACAATGAAGGTGGAAAATAATTATTTTCTTCTTCTTCTTCATTACTGTTAAATTTTGAATTTTTATTTAAAGGATTAGGGAACGAGAAAATTGTTGTTTTGTTTTTATTTGATGGAATTAATTGAACTGTATCTGACGATGAAAATTGTAAAAGAGGAATTAAACGATTTTCTTGAACATAAACATATCCAGCAATTATTAAAAAGAAAATTGCTGAAATAGCTAAAATACAAGCAATTAAACGTATCCAATAAATTAAATTGTTGTTTTCTTCTTCGTTTTTAATTATTTCTAAATTATTTTTATTGTCTTTTTGTTGTTGAGGAATATTTTCACATTTTCCAATTAAACAGCCTAAAGTGCCTGAAGGAGTATTTGCTTGTCCAATTGAAGAAAGCCAAGAACCAATCCATTCTTGTTCACAAATACATTCCCATTTATTCTGAAAATTTTTTTAAAAATAATCGCGGCAATTAAGGTAAGGTTATATTTCAATCAGAGGGGCATACAAAAATGTCGAAAAAACATTTTTCCTAGGGACCAATAAACTCGACCCAATAAATATAAAAATACCTCAGAAATATCCACAGAAATTAAATTGGAAATATCCAAATTGTCAAAAACTCCTTTAGGTAAATAATAAAGCAAATTATTATTTAAAAATAATTTTTTCAAATTTTTGACTTCCTCAAAACTTTTGCTTGAAATTTTAATTATTTTGTTGTGATCCAAATTTAATTCTTGTAATGAAAATAATCCATTTAAATCTCCTTCATTTATTGAATTAATTGAATTATACGAAAGAAATAATTTTTTGAGTGATGTTAATAATTCAAATACTGAACGGTCCAAATAAATATTTGATGCTAGAAAAAAAATTAAAAAATTTTTTTTAAAAATCTTTCCCAGGTAATCCAAAATATACCAAACTTAACTTTCTGGTTAAGTGGGAAAATTTTATGTAAAAAGGGGGAAGGTTTGAATATGCTATTTGTAACATAATTTTTTAATGAGAAAATCTTTTTTTTATAGTGAAAGATATTTAGTCGAAGAAAATGAAATTAAGAATTTTATTTTTTGTTAGGGGACGTTACTGCATATATGAGACAGGAATTTTATGTAAAAAGGGGAAGGTTCGAATTATTTAAATTGGACAAATTCCCTCCTTTTTCTATCTTTATTTTAAAATTAAAAAAACTTTTTGCTTACGTGAAGGATCGTTAGTTGAAGAACACGAAAATGAAGCAATTTTATTTTTTTGTAAAGACAAAACTGTCAAACTCATTTTTATTGGTTCAAAAGCAAAACAATCAATCCAAGAGATATTATTTCCATCCAAAATTAAAGAATATAGTTTTTGACTTTTTTTCAAAAATTTAAAATCTTCATTTGAAATTTTAAAAATTTTGTTGTTTTCCAAATGTAGAGTATTTAAATTAGACAAATTTTGTAAATTTATGTCTTTGATTTGTTCAAATAAATTATTTGAGAGAAAGAGAATTTCGAGTTTAGGAAGATGAGTAATTTTTAACTGAAAATAATTAAAAAGTGATTTTTAGTGTTAGAGTAAATAAATGGAAGGGAAAAAGTGTTTCTTTGTCAAGGATTGACTTCTGAACCGATTTAAATAATTTTTATACTTATTAATCGAAAGCTTTAATTATGGGGATTATTTTAACTAACGAGGTTATTTTGATCAAATATCTCAAGAAAAGTTACAGGTGTAAAATGAGTAAAATCATGATTTTGTCTTTTATTTTTCTGCAACTTGTCTATCAAATGCTGTTAGGCAAAATAATCAGCATATTCAAAGCTTTCGATTAATATGAAAATTATTTTAAAAGGACAAGAATTAAGAAAGTTTTGACCAAAAACAGAACCTCTGGACTCTTTCGGAAAAAACAATTTATTGGATGTTGCTTTTTCAAAAATAAGAGGTTCCCACCCGTTTTTAGACGTTTAGAAAATTAAAAAATAATTTTTGAAAACCTTTCCAATCCTGTTATTAGAAATATCCAAATGCTTGAGAGACAAAAGATAAGAAAAAGCTTCATCCTCGATAGACTCAATAAAGTTGTCTAAAAAATTAAATTTTTTTAAATTAAATAAATTAAAAAACAAACTTTGCAAACTTAAAGATTCCAAATTTTGCAAATTCTTAAAAACATCTCTAAAAATTTTAAAAAATTTCAAAAATTAAAAGGCAAATGGCAAACTTTGTAATCTTTGTCAATCGATTGTTGGAAATAGTTAGGGTTTTCAATTTGGTTAATGAATTGAAAATGCCGTCATCGAGACTATAAATTAAATTTAAATTAAAAATGCCCTCCTGGCTACGGGCCTGTCTGCCCGTGAAGCAATTAAAATTTTTAGAATACGCCAAAGGTGCCCCAAAACAAATTTAAAAAAAACACAAGAGGTAAAAAACAAACGAATTAATTTGATTATTATCCAACAAAAGAGTCTCCAAATTAACAAGTTTAGAAAAATGGCTGCGTTTAAGTTGACTCAATTTATTGCTGCTGAGATCCAAATATTTTAGAGAAGCCAAATTTAAAAATATTTTTTCGTCAATTGACTTCATTATATTATTACGAAGACTTAATTCTAAAAATTAAGAGTGAAATTTTGTGGAATTTATTTTTGCGAACATTATTACATTTGCGGACTTTTCCAGAAATTCTCTTATTGTTGGTAAGGGATAAAAAGAAAAAAAATTGCAGAGAGAATTGAAAAAACCTCCAAAGAAAGCGTTACAACAATACAAATACACCACTAATATTCTCGCCAAGCTCGTAGCCAGGAGGCATTAAATCACGGCAATACATTTCTAAACTTCTCGTTTTCGGCGCTAAAAAGATTGCCCCATCCCCGAAAATTTTTCCTGGCTACGGCCTCGATTTTCGATAATTATTCTTAAATAACAAATAAGAAATATCCCCAAAATTGGACGCCTTCTCAATTTGAAAGAACGGGAAAAGTTCTCAAGAAGTGCAACCCCTTATCTTCACAAAGCCAACAAAAATATAAAATCAAACAAAAAACCTTTAAGAGTATTCTCAACATTAGAAAAAGCTTCCTTTCGAATAATTCCAACACTAGAATCTTCAATCGTTAATTTATCCAATTTAATTTTAGAGAACATATCTTTCGGCAAAATGTTGATTAAAGCATTCCAAACATGTAAATGGTCAATTTTTGTATCGTTTAATGAAAAAAGAGCTCGAAAAATAGCAGGCATTTTTTGATTAGTACATCCAATCCAAATTTTGTTTGATAAATTTTGTGAAACATCGTTGGTCAGAGAACACTGACAGACCTGGAAAAAGGGTAAAAAATAGAGAAACTAGGTTAATTTTTTGCCCAATCCCTTACCCAAATTTTTTCCTCTTCCCCATTTCGGGGGGGGGCAAAATATCCCCCTGGCGGTACTTATGAAGATGGAGGTGCCCTTTCTGCGGACTTTTTTTGCGGACTTTTCCTTTCCTTTAAATTTTTCTTTTTTAATGTTTTGGTTGTCTTGCTTGCAGCAAGTTTTGCTTGTAGCAACAAACTGTCAAAGGCTAATTCTTATTTTTCTATGAATAAGACCAAGCTTTTTAGCCTCGCATCAAAATATTAGTCGTTTAAACGTAGATTTTCCAGAAGATGCTAATATTTGAAATTTTTCAGTTGTTCAATATTTTTAAATATGAATAGGAATGTAATGTTTTTACACAGAAATTTATAATGTTATACACCAAATCAATTTTTTCAATTATTTTTTTGTGTAACATTGTTTTCTAAGGCAAAATATAAGTGTATGACTATAAAATTAATCTTCTCTTTATCAATATGCCTTGTTTGAATATGTCACAGGGCAAATAGAAGGAAGGAGAGGAAGAAGAAAATCTGACCATTATGTACAAGCTTAGGTAAGAAAAATAATAGGGGAGGGCCATTGACAGTTAGTTGCTACAAGTAAAACATTTAAATAAGGGAAGAAAAGTCCGCAAAAAAAGTCCGCAGAAATGGCACCTCCATCTTCATAAGTACCCCCCTGGCTACGGGCCTGCCTGGGAATTTTGAGAATTTTAGAAGGCTGAAAAAATCAACAAATGCCAGGTCAGCCCAGTCAATATCAATATGTATATACCAACCCGAGTCCAAGACCAGAATTAAATTTAAAAAATTCTCCAAAAAACCAACCGGGCTAGCTCCATCCAACTCAGAAAATGACTTTTCAATAGGATGACAAGGATTTTGATTTGCCGAAATTAAAATAATGTTGATGATAAAAATAAATAAAATGCTTCGAAATAAGTTCAAAATTAGTTGAGTTATCATCTTTTTGAGATTACATTTAAAATTTATGTATTAAGAAACAAAAAATAATAAGAATGTTTTCAACAATCAAAGGTTTTGTTTGGCCGTGCCATCCAATACCATTCACCACAGAAAGAATAGTTTCATAATAACATTGTCTTCCTTATTTTACATTGTGAAATTTGTAAATGTTATAATTAGAGAATAAAAATGCGCAGAGAGAACGTGGATTAGAGAAAAAAGAAAATAGTGACTATAAAATATCAACAAAGAAAAGCTTACAAAACACCTAATTTCAGTCAAATTTCAAAACGTCCAATAGGGTTAAATTTTGGAAGATGTCTTTTGGTTTTCAAAAACGCCAAACCAAGGTAAATTCGCGAAACGCCCAGTTTGAAATTTTTTAAAAAAATCCCAATAAAGAAATCTATCAAAAATGTCTATCAGAGTAAATTCAAGAAATATCCAATAAGGATAATTTTTCAAAATGTCCAATCCAGTCGAAATTCAAAATAAACAATAAATATATTTATTTTGTAATAAAATGAATTAAACAAATGAATGAAAAAATGAGTGAAGCAATGAGATCTTAAAAAAAGTTGGACGGAGGACTAAATATATTTTATGATATAATTTTTTATATAAAAAGAGAAAGGATTTTGACATATTTTTGGCTTAAATTTGTTGATTTTTAAGTGTTTTTAGTGAAATAGGACGGAAAAAAATAAAAATTCTTTTAACTATTCAGTGGAATCATCTCTAAAATGTCACTCCTTCGAGACTGAATGACAGTAAAGGGAGACATAATAGAAACATTCCATTGTATAAATTGTGAGACAGTTCACAGTGGAATTTATTGAAGAATACTTTAGTAAAATATCCACCCTGCCATAAAAACATTTGAACTGTCTCCATCTCCAAAAAAACAAACAAACAAAAAAAATTTTTTCCTTCAAGTAAAAATCACTTCATAACGACATTCAAGATTTGCAACAGATTTTTGATCATAATTTGCACCCCAACCCGAACCTATACTTATTGTTAACATTGAAACAGGTAAAGAAGAAGAAGAAATTTGTGTTGTTGTTGTCTCTCCTACAAAATGTTGTGGAGAAGAAATATCATTGGCAATAATTGTTTTGTGAGGTGAACAACGAAGAGGAGGGGATGATGATGATAAATTTGTAGATGGAGATACTCGATGTACACGAATACAATAACCGGGTGATAGTCTACGAATGTTTGGAGCTTCACTAGTTGATGATGTTGCTCTGACTGCATTTTTGGAAATACAAACAAATAAGGGTTGATTACTGCTGAAAAAATATATTGTCAAAAATAAGATAAACCCAAAAAAACATTCCTTAAATATTTTAAATAGGTATGTACTCTGCTTTATGATCAGGGCTGTGCGCCAGAATTCTTTCATGGCGCGTCAAACGCAAAACGTTAAATTATTAAAACGTGCCAAACGCCTGAACACTAAAATCGGCTAAAACGCAACGCAAAAATTTAAGAAATTTAATCACTGGCTGGTTAATAAATTTAAAAAACAAATAAAGTTTAATCCTTTTTTAGCGCTGAGTTCGGAAGGACCTTGCCCGATGTTACATAATATTAACCGGCTGGGATCATTGAGCGCGGATGGATACAGAATATAATTAATTACCTATTATAAAGCCAAACTTCATCAAAAATTTCTGAAGATTCATCTGATGGTTGTCTAATTAAAGCAAAAGAAGTGAAATTGTCCAAATCCCAAGGACATTTTACATCTTGGCCGTCAAATACAGTACCGGCGAGTTGACCAATTAAAGCAAATTGACCAATAAGAGTAATTATATCTCCAACCCTTTCGTTAAATTGCCATCTTGCCATTCTACCCCAAGCTGTAAATCAAAAGTAAAAAATTATTTAGGGAGCTTTGTTAACCATAAAACTAAAGCTGCGGGTAAAAAGCTCGTATTAAAAAATGTGGGGTCCTTTCACTCATGATCTATTTTAAATAATAACTTTTTTTAATTCTTAATCGATTTGAATAATTTTTATAACAATCGAAAGCTCTCGATCTGCAGATTATTTTACTCAACAGGCTCAATTTGATAGGATCATGGCAAGAAAAGTTATAGGCTGATAAAGAGCGAACGATTGCGCGTACTTATCCGCTTTTAACTTTTTTGTGCGTATCTAATTAAATAAATTCTGTTAGGAAAATGATCAGTAGAACATATAGAGCTTTTGCTTGGTACAAAAAAGTCGTAATAAAAAATAAAACCTCCTCGGGAAGACTAAAATGGCGACTATTCCGCGGCTCCTATGTTGTTTATTTTACCATTTTTATAAGGAAAAAACTTTAAAAATCTAACAAAATAACAAAAAAACTAACACATTGCTTGATGATGTACACTATGCGAAATTCGCCTTTTAGCGCTCAAAGCTGGAGGCAAATGATTTCCCATTTGAATTTCATCTAATATTAGTTGATGTTGTTGTTGTGAAGGTTCTGGGGGAGGTTTAGAAGAAGAAGAATCATTTTGTTGTTGTTGTTTTAATAATATATTTTTTGCTTCTGATTTTAAGGAATGTTGAAATGCTGTACGTACATGACCGATTATGGCATCTGCTGCTTCATCTAAAACAAACTTTTTTTACTCAAATTTCCAGCAAATATTATAGGAAAAATTCTGTCATATGTCTCGGAAACCGATTCAGACAAAGATAGGCCATTCGAAAGAACACACCGAGCTGATTGTGAGTCGATCGAGATCAAACTTAGCTTCGGGACTCACCCATGTACTGAGATATAGGTCCCTGAATGTCAACAAAATCCGCTAATTTTGATGTCGATCGACTCAGCTCGGTGTGTTCTTTCGAATGGCCTAACGTTTGTCTGAAACAGTTTCCGGGTATTTGACGGAATTTTTCAAAATTAAATTCTTTTTTACTTGACAGTCTTGCAGTAGCACCACCACCCCCATTTGCTAGAACACCTGAACTAATACTTTGCTCGTCTGAAGATATTGTTTCAGCTTAAAAAAATTTTTTTCAATCGAGAAAAATAATCTCACTATAATATACCCCCTTAGGACTGAAAAATAGTCTCTTTAACTTAAATGTTTATACAACACCCCCTCCCCTCCCCTCCCCCCTCCCATCCAACCAAATTTCAAAAAATGTCTCTTAAATAGTTGTTGTTTTATCTATTTTGGTAATATTTTATGAGGTTTTCCTGTAATGAAATTAAATTTTTACGTCTTATCCACAGAGCATAATGGTAGGGATTACAACAAGAAACAGTTGCATTGTTTATAGTTACTTTAATTTTTGAAAAAAAATTTTATTTCAGAATTTTCAGAAAAAAACCTCTTCCAAATCTACACCAAGGGAGAGGGTCAAGTCTGTGTAAAGCAGCATCTACTTGCAAATCCTTCCAACGCCACATTTTACAACAAAGATAAGGCATAGACATTGGCCTGATTTTTAAATAAAAATTTATTTTTTTTTGAGAAAATTCCCTCTTTATGAAAATAGAAAGAAAGAAAGAGAAGGGAATAATAAAAATTTGCGGACATATGGAAGGGAGGGGGTGCCAAAAAAATTTTCTTACTTATCAATCTGAGGTATAAGGCCACTGTCAACACCTCCAAGAGTTTCTGGAGGCAAAGGAAGTAATTTTTGTGTTTCTGCATCTGTCGCTATTGAATCTGGAGGTGGAGGGGCGTTGACTGTTCTGCTACTAAATTGCTGTTTTTGTTGTTCTTGTTCATTTTTAATAGCGGAATTTTTTGTTTTTGAAGAAATGTTTAATTCTTCTTTCACATTTTCTTCGTTTAACGGGCTATTTAACATTGCACAACGCCTTAAAATTAAAAAAAAATTAAATTAAACTGTGAGATGAGGAGTTTACAAGAAAAATCCACAAAGGGGGCTCCAAAAAATCTTTCGAAAATTCCATTAGAAATCGTCAACAAAAAACCGAAAAATTTATTTTGGAAAAGTCCGCAACATGACATCCCATACCCAAAAATAATTAAATTAATTGACAAACCTTCCACTACTATAATTGCTAATTTTTCTATTATATCTACTATTTGTATTTGTTGAATATCTCCTTTGATAATTCCCCAATTGTTTATTATCTATTTGTTGTGTTGTTATTAATGTTCCTATTCCTCCTTGTGGTTGGATTTCTGCTACGGTGGACACTCTTTGACGTTGAAAAAGTATTCTATCCCTCTCCATTTGCCTTTAAAATTAAAACAAATATCTTTATAAATTAGATAGAGGCAGAAAGAAGTCCGCAAAGGAAATCCACAAACTATTATTTCGGTAAACTTCCGTCATATGTCCCAAGAAACGATTTGGACAAACAAAATGTTATTTGAAACAGCTTAATGAGCTGAATCAACATTAAATTAAAATAATTTTAGCTTACTTCCCCCTCCCATTTTCGGCTTACAATTGAGACCGGGGCTTAATTTTGGTATTTTCGATAGTGACTGAAATTATTTGAACAGGATTATGGGACATATGACAGAATTTTTTATTATTTTTAATATTTTTAAGTTAAGGGAAGGAAAGTGGAGGAGATAGAAGAAGAGTATTTTCTATCCCCCCTCCCTCCTAAAAATTAAAAAACCTCATTGAATGTCTAGGCCTCGTACTCAAAACCGTCGTTGAGCACCCTGGAACTGCCTCAGGTTCCAATTCCTCTTCATCCTCACTTGTGCTGCTTTCCCTTTCCTCAATAAGGTCCATTGGAGGGCCTGGGGCGCATTGTTTAATATCAATCCCAACAGACTCGACTGCCTTTAAGTTAAAAAAATCTCTAAAAAATTTTTTTAAAGAAAAAACCCTTCGAAGTATTTCCAAATCCTCTGTGTCAAATCCACGCATAAGTGTAAGGAATCGGCGCTTTGCCCGACGCTCGTCGTCTGTGACCTTTGAAAAATTCATTTAATTCTCTTCTAGTATATACTCAAGGTATTGAAGCAACCTGGGGAGCCCTTAAAATTAATCTCAGACATCTTCATGGCACCAATGAATATTAATTTTTTACTTATTTTATTTTTTATTTCATAAAATTTCATCTGGACTTATAAAATTTCATTGGACAAATAAACTTTCATTATGTGGACCGGAGAATTAAAAAAACATGAGTGGCTATATATAGTTTTGTTTGGAGCACTGTATAAATAAATAAATTTTCCATACCAATAATCGTTTACGCCAAAGGACTTCAATGTGCCTCCTTCTTTCTGTGAAAAGGCAGAAAAACCCGCAATCGCAGCTTTAAAAAATAAAAATTCTGAAAAATTTTTTTTCAAAGTCCGCAAGTTAAAAAAAATTTTTTGCGGACTTTTCAAATTTTTCAAAAATTTTTTAATTCTTACGGCATTCGGCGACTACCGCCTGCTCAAAAATCAAAGAGGCGTTTCCGAAATTGAGACAACAAAATGAAGGAATCCTTTTTTGTTTTGTTGTTTTATTTAATAAACAAACAATTTTAATTCTTTTCCGGCAAATTTTAAATAGAAAAATGTTGCAAAATAATGATAAAAAATGTAATGGTTTTAAGAGTCTGTACTTTTGGAGAAACAAAATAGTTGCCATCCACCTTTTAAAAAAAACTTTTAAAAAATTTTGAAAGAAATTGTGAAAAAATTTTTTAAAGTGACACAACGCCAAAAATTAATTTTATTAAATAGTTAAGCGAAAAAAAATATTTTGGTCAAGTGGATAAAAGTGCTGACTACAAAACCTCCTAAAATTTGGGAGTCGTAGGTTCGAATCCTTTCGCGGAAAGTTGACCTCTACCTCATATAAGATAAAAAACTCAGCTCTAAGGGGGCCCGACTGTCATTGACCTAACCTCTTTTGTATAGTTAATTATAACAAAAATAAGACCTACCATAGATATCCACAAAACAAGACTGCCTATTTATCACACTAATGCTCTATTAGCATAAAAGTTGTTTAAATAAAAATAAGGTGCCAAAACGAGATTATACTCTTTCTCCTCTCTAAAATTTATGAAAATTTGTTAGACAAACTCAATTAATTGAGTTCCAACCCCTATAACTTACTAAGGGGTGAATAATTTTAAATGTTTTTTGTACCAATGAATAAAAAATTAAATACACTATAAAATAACAAAAAATCAAAATTCTCGAATTATAGGTAAAAAAAGTGCCGAAGAATCACTTTTTTTAAATTTTTTTAGTCTAATCGATCATAACTTTTTTACCAACAGTCAAGAATTTTGATTATTTTTTGTAACGTGTAGTGTATTTATTTCACTATCCAGTTTAGCTGTACTAAGAACATTAAAAATTATCTGCTCCCTTATGAGTTATAGGACCGAAACTGAACTGCTCCGTAGAAAAATTTTAATTTTTAATTAAAATTTTTTCAAAAAAATTTTTTGCAGCAAATTAATTTTCTCTTTTCGCGGCCATTTTTACAAATAAAAAATTTTCTACCAAAAAATGTACATTCATTCACACAAAAAAATGTTTTTAAAAAGCTGTAAAAGGAGAGAAAAGTAGTGGAAGTCGCCTTTTTGAGTGTCTTGGCAGCTTTTCTTCTTTCCTTTTTTCTTCTCTTTTTTGGAAGCAACGGGGGCGGAAGCAATGGTCGAGAGATATATAAAATCGAAAAGTATTTTTCCCCTCTCCCAAAAAAATTTTTTTGGAAGCGCTGGGAGTTGTGTTTAAAAAACTTTTTTTGGAAGAGGAAAAAGGAAAAGCAGCTTTTTGAAAAGCGACGAATGAATGGGTCGATAACGAGGCCCTAAAAAGAGCCCCAGTCTTCCTTCTATTCAGACAATAGATAAAAGGCTTTTTTCAGGAAGAGAGAAGGGTGGTGGTTGAAGGGGGAAAAGGAAGGAGGAGAGGCTTATGTTCTTTTAAAAACTTTTCCCCTTAAAAACTTTCTCCAGTAGTTTTATTTTTTAGCACACAATTGAGTGGCAGCACACCACACCACATGCCTCATTTGCCATTTGCACAAAAAAGGGGGATAAAGAGATAGGATAAAAAAGAAAGGAAAGATAAAAGAGGCGAAAATGCGCCTCTCGAAAAAAAGTTTTTTTTTTGCCATTGTTGCCCTTAAACGAAAAATGGCGACAATTCAGTAAAATAATGTCCTTAATAGTAGTTTAGAAAATTGAAAAAATAAATTTTGAAAGAGAGAAATATTTTTAAAGGTTTTTATTTGTTAGTGAAATAAAATTAAAAGAGAAAGGAGTTTTCTTTTTTGGAAATGGACATTGGTCAATACCTCCCAGGATCTTTCACGTAACGAGAGTCTCCAGTGCCAACTTGCTGGGATAGTAACGAAGATTTTAAAAAAGTCTGGAGACACTGATACACTAATCCTTGGCTAAGACATTGGCCTCATTTGGATCATGGACCTGTAGTCCAGAAAATATTAGAAGCCCTGAAACATTTCTCGGCCTGGACTCTGCATAAAGTAAAAAGCCTGTCCTTAGAAAAAAAATTGGAAAATCCTCGGTGCCTGATAGGAAATCGTTGACCAAGGCCCATCTCGATTCTATCTTGGGGTAAACCTGGAACGCAGTGTACAACCCTACTATTAATTGTTAACAAACAATTTTTTTAACAATGAGGAGACAATCTTTTATTGATCTTTTAAAGAATTTAACAAATAAAACATCAACAATTGGTTTTATATGCTTTTTAAAAATAATGTACTTACTAACAATAAGTAATAAACAAAAAATTTATATAATAAAGATAAGTATATGCCAGAAAATTTGAACTGACTTTTAAAAAAAAAATTTCTAAAAAGAACACAATATTCCTTCATTTTATTCTTATTTTAATTTTTTTAAAAAAAGAGAGCACAATTTATTTTTAAAGGTACTTTGTTCGGTCAGTCCCGGCCCCTATAACTTATACTAGATAATTGTTGTTCTTGGTACCAATGGATAGAGCCAAATAATAAAAATTATTGACTGATCGATAAAGTGCCAAAAATAATCAAAAAATGAGAATTTTGAAGGTCCTTAAGTCAGATTTCTTCCTTTTTTTGCGCACCAAGCTAAAAGTTTGAGAATTTTGGAGGCTATAGGAGAAAAATATTTAGCTGTTTGCGCTGCGCCTTTGAAAAAATTTTGATAGTACATAAAGTTTAAATTCGTTCTGATGAAACTAAAAACGTAAAATAACTAGAAAACAAGTCTCTCAAATTCCCCGACTTTCGGGAACGGGGACCAAGCCTAGGAGAGAGTATAAACAAAGTACCAATTAATAATATTTTATATTGTTTAAATATATAGAAAAAACAGATTTTATATCAGAAAAACAAATTTTTATTTTTATTTTTATTTTTTTTATTAATTCCCTCCTCCATAATTCTCCTCCATTCTCTGCAAAATATAATTAACAGCTAAAGCCTCATTTTTGTCACAAGCCAAATAAGCTATTAAAAATTAGAGGTATATTAAAAAAAGAATTAAATGACTAGGAGTGTAAAGGGTAGGCAAATTAGTGTAGGCGTTCAGGGGTCAGTATGCATTTACTTTGTAGACAATATATGTATACCCTTTCTATATGCTCAAACAGACATAAAATACGCTTCTTGGGATTCTGAAATTTGATCGTACTCGTACAAGCTAAGGTTGGCGGATAGTTGGAAATCTTCGGATATCCGGATCCGGAACCGAAATTTTTATTGTAAAAATTTTCGCCTGCGGCGCAGTAAAGTTAAGTCCCAGTGGATTATATAGAGGGCCTTTTTTCGGATCCGCCAACCTTAGTACAAGCCTATTTTTGGTCTCGTACTTCGTACGTAAATATAAGCCTTCAAATCCCAGTAATCCTATGATATTTTACTAATTCCTTGATGCACGTGATATCCCTCCGCCGATATCCACTTTTTCTGACTCGGAATTTTCTTTCGATAGCTTTAAATGATGTAAAGAATGATGCTATTATCTCAATTAAAGTAAATTAAAGCATAAATGCACGAGGGATTAGCGCCGATTTTAGGAATTTAGGAGGGCAAATGAGCCAGAATTTTCTTTCATGGTGCTTAAATTGCGATAAATTGCATTAAAACTGCGTAAAAATCAAAAAACGCAGTCAAAAAAATCACGCAATTTACGCAACTTTTTTGAGCACAAAAGAAGATAAATAATTTAAAAAATATAAAAACCTTCAATAACTAATTGCTCAGGAAATCCCATTCCACAAAGTCGATCAATTGCTTCTCGATCATTTGCCGTTATAGGAATTGTAACCGCTTGAGGTCCTCCTCCTCCACCTGCTCCAGCAGCTCCCCCAAGAGCAGCAGCAATTGGATTAGCAGCCCCTCCGGCACCACCACCTTCCGCATTTAAGAGCGCCAAAAATTGGTCCTTAAAATTTTTCTAATGAACTTAAATTTACAAAAAAAAACTTGATTATCGCGTATCATTTGCATCAGCTCCGGTCTCGTTTCAGCAATTTCTTGCATAATTTGAGGCAAGGCCGATGGATCATTACGAATCTAAAAAATTAAACTTTTTGTTATTGATTTTTTAATGTTTTGCAAAATGCTTATAAACGAGATCAAATGACGACTAATATCTCCATGACTAATATAATCAAAAAAATTTAAAATTTCCAAGATATACCATTTCACGCAACATAGCAAATTGAGGGAGATTAGCCAAAAAATCAAGACCACCAGCACCCCCCTCACCAGCAACAACATTTGCTTCCCCGCCGCTTTCATCACCACTAGCTTCCCCTTTAAATTTTTTGAAGTTAAAAATAATCTTTTCACAAAAAACCTGCTGCCGCTCCTTGAACCAAATTAACTCCTTCAGGTATTCCATTGCACAAATATTCAACAGCACGATCAGCATTATAAAATGCTGCTTTAAGCGCGCGAATGACTTCATCACGTGGATAACCCATTGAAGTAATATTGTCGAGAGTTTTTTGATGCTCAGCGGGAACTAAAAAAGTGTAAAAAATTTAAAAAACCCCTTGTTTTTTTTATTTATATTTTACTTCCACCGTAATAGAATACCGAAATCCGATTTCCAAAACACGGAGTTAGAAAATCCCCCGTCGTTGAATATGACTAAATAACTTTTCTCGCCAGTTTGATATATTTTGGTGACTTTTGGGGAGGGGGTTTGGCACGCCCCAGAGCAGTATAGGGCGTTCCGATTTTACTCACAATCAACTTGTTTCTTGTTTATTTTACAAATTTAAATATTAAAAAAGAAAAATAATGCAATTATCACCAAGTGGACTTAATCCTTGGTGTTCAAGTAACTTAAAGGAAATAAAGATGTTACTCTGGCTATTTCCAAGTACTTCTTTGAATAAAATTGAGAAACGCCCAAAATTAAAAAATATCATTAACCTCCTTCCTCCTTTTTGTCCTTCGTTGGTGTCCCCTCTTTTTTTACTTCTGCTGTAGTAGATTTTTTCTCTTCCGAAGTAGTTGTTGCCTCAGTAACGCTAGCTTTTGGAGCCACCTTCTAAAAACCCAAAAGATTTTAAAAAATGATTTAAAGCTTAAACCTTCACAACCATCACAACAATAAATTTCCCAGCTACAACGTTGACATCTCCAATCGTCTTGTTGTCTTCCAACACCTTCCCGTTGTAAATAAGCTTTTGGCCATCAACTGGAAAATCTTTATCGCCTTTATTCTCAGCAATTTTCTGCTTCAATTGGAGGATCTAAAAAATTGTGATTTATAAAATTTAAATTCAGTTCTCAAAAATTGAAAGATAACATGGACATTCTAGTTTTTAGTGAATCCCTATTTTTGACACAACCAAAAAAGATTAAAGAAAAAAAACAAACCGTTTCAGAATTCTCAACTTCCAACTCAAAGCTTTGCTGAGTAATAGTCCTCAATTCAATAGTCGGCATATTTTTTATATAATCTCTTAACAATGTGTTAAAAATGTATTAGGACAATAAAAGTAAAGTTAAATGTGAATAAAAACGTGTTTAAAATATAAAAAATCAATCAAGTCTTTTAAAAACTTTATTCATAAAACCAAAATAATAAAAATTTAGGTCGTCGACCACCACCTGCTGAAGAATTTCACAAAAAGCCAGTTTTCCTCTAATTTCAAATGTAGATTCAGATTTATTTTGAATGTCCTAGTAAAGGCCCTGGGCCCTAAAAAGTCCGTAGTAAAAAAGGGGGAGGACAAAAAAGTCACCAAGTGGCAGAGGACTCACAAAACTAAAAAATAATAATGAACTCCCAATTTTTGAAAGTACAAAAAACTCAAAGAAGAAAAAAATTAATTAATCAGCCTTTGTCAAAACAATTCTTTTGATAACAACTTTCTGACCTGCAACCAGATTTAAGCCTTCAGTTAAACAAGCAGGGAGTGGAATTAATGTCGAGGATGCACTCAAACAATTTGGAAGCTAAAAAAAGCCTTACTTAAAACAAAAAAAAAGTTATTTTTAAAAACCTTGTCTTCCTCTTTTCGTTTCCGTTTTTGTAAAATTGAAGGCAACTTTATTTTTGATTGCAGGCCCAAATTTGCAGATTCGATCGAATCAAGAAATTCAAGTGAACTTTCACCGTTGTTTGAATTAATTAATAAGTTGGGCACATAGTCTAAGATAGCTAATTTTAAACGAAAATGATCAGGACGTGAAACTCGACCAAAACAAACCCAAACAAAAACCACGGTTATCGAGAATCAAGATTTTCTGAGATAAGCGCCCAAAAATAAAAAAATAATCTTACAAGGTTTAAAACATTCATCTGTCTATCCATAAATTTATTTTTTGAAACCCCTTTTGGCGGCTAAGAAGGAAGGCAAAAACTTCTCTGGGGGATAGCCATGGTTTTCTCCACCGCCGCTACACATTAAATCTCTAACAACCCCCGCAACACTTACAGATAAATCCGTAGCTTAGCCCTCACCTTCATGTGACGGATCATTAGATGGTTTTCCTTGTCGAAAATGAACGGCACAGACCTAAAAACAAAAAAGTAAATGCAAAAATAATTGTTTATAATTTACTCGATCTTTAGGGCCAACATCTCTATCTCCAAGAACATAAAGCCATTGAATTCGTTTTAGACCTATAAAATTGAAGAAAAGTCAAAAAAGGTTAGAAACCAGGTTCTCGAGGAATTCCAAAAAATCGACGATTTGGAGCCGTTTTACGGGTTGAACCTAAAATAAATAATGAAAAAATGAGAAGGTAAAGTTTTTAAAGAACCTACCACAAAAAATACAACGCTCCATTCCACAAACCAACAAACAAAACAAAAATTAAAAAAAAACAAAAGCAACAAAACTCGCTAATATTCTGCCAACAATGCCTAAACCCCACATTTTGCCAACAAAGTCAGTATGGCAAAATGTGGTGTTTTAGCCTTATTGGCAAAATATGCGGCTCCCGGAGATTTGGGGAGTGGACACTTGGGGAGTGGACATTAGGGGAGTAGATAAATGGGGAGTGAGCGGACAATTGGGGAGTGGACATTTGGGAAGTAGCATAACGATAAAAATACAAGGAATATTAAATAGTTTTTCTTGCTTTTGTATTTAAAAAATGGTTACGTATAAGTTCACCGGAGATAAAAGTTTGGGAATATGTCATTCGATTCGTCTCGGCGAGCTGAGTCGAACTCCAATTTTCGAAAAAAAAACTCAAACTCCAATTTCGGAAAAAAATCCAACTCCCTATTTCAGGAAATGATTCTGAACCGAGTTCTAGGTAAATTGAAAAACAATAGTGGGAGGGGGTAAGCTCGATTTTGGAGTAAAAAATTCGAATATGCAAGTAATAGCTCATTCGAAAGAGCTTTCGATCTGAGTCGAATGACACTAAAATTAGCTTGATTAACCAAGTTTGAGTCGAGATATAGGGCTCGAAATGGTCAAATACCAATGGTGGGATTTTAGAGTCAAAAATTCGAAAAAACATATAATAGCTCATTCGAGAGATTCCTAATTTATTTTTTTAAATACAAAAGCAATAAAAACTATTTAATATTTTATTGTATTTTTATCGTTAGGCTACTCCCCAAATGTCCACTCCCCAATTGTCCGCTCACTCCCCATTTATCCACTCCCCATTTATCCACTCCCCAAGTGTCCACTCCCCAAATTTCCGGACACGAAATATGCGTTGGCAGAATTTAGAGACATTAAGTAAAAGTTTAGAAACTAAATGCAGTCTCTCGTTTCTCTCCTTCTCTAATTCACTCTCGCACTTTTTGATGATTTTTTAAAATAGTCCGTTTTGTCGCCAATTTTATTATGAAAGGTTTATCGCAGCTTTAGATACTGTATTATAAAAGTACCCACATTTTTCACACTTCACCTATCACTAAACTCAATTGTTGTTGTCGTCCAAAGCCATGGGGCTGTTTGTTTTTCAAGGTATAATTATTCCTTAAGCTTTGGAAGTCCTTCTTTCACTTAATCCCTCAAATTTCAGCCCATCAACTCCAAATGCTGCATCTTTTCATCTTCTTAATAATCTTGATGGTCATTCCACTTATTTCATCAACTTGTTGTGGGTCAAAGAAGGAAGAAGGCGGTGGTGGTGGCGGTGCTTCAAAAAAGTCTGCTCTTCGTAAAACTCCAAAGAAGCAACGCTCCAAAGAAGCATTTTCCGGATCAAAGAAGAAAAGCGATGAAAAGGTCGAAGAAAAAGGGAAGAAGAAGTCTTCAAAGGAAGCTCCAAGTAATACTAAAAAATCGGTATTCAAGTCTAGCTTTGATGGAGTGCATACTGCTGTTACAATGGAGGAAGGAAAAAATGTTGGAGGAGGAGGGAAAAAATCCATTTTCCCAAAGATGAAGCTTCGAAAGAGTTCTGGAAAAGAAGAGGATGCCACTGCTAAAAGTATGGTTTCTAAACCAACAACGAGTACTACTGGCGCTAGTTTCGCAAGAAGGTGATACGTGTTGAGCCTCACTTTTAGATACCCTCAAAATTAGATAAACCTCTATTTAAGATAACCTCATTATAAAATAGATCCTTTTCAACCCCAAGGGGGTATCTAAAATTGAGGTCCGAAAATTTTTCTAAATTTTTCTCTTAAAAAAATTTTTTTATTTCCAGTATTATGGTTGGGGCACCAAACGACATGCAAAGTCAATCAACGGAAAAGACCAAGATGAAAGTAGGAATAGCTCAAAAGAGATTTAAGACGATTGAAGAGAAAATTGCTGCCACCAAAAAGATGCTTGCTTATACAGGAAGGAAAGGACCACCGCCAGGGAATCCAATGGGGAATGTGGACAACCATATTGAAAAGAGGGCAGAAGGACATTTGGCTGTTGCATTCTCACCGATTCATATCTTCGACACGCCTGCATACAGATATACTACTCGAAATCCTAAAGCTGGACACGGTAAAGTTTTTTCCTTTTTTTGTGGGCAGATTTATGATTTTTCGTGGAAGACTTGACTGGGATTGCTTTTCTTAGTAAGGACTTTTCTGACTGGGGATTAGGCCTGTACCTTGAGGATTGTCCGGGGCTTTCTCGGGTCGAACTTAAGCGGCAGTCCGCAACGGACAGCTACTGGTCGGGGTTTTCTGGTTCGACCTAAACCCAAGGAATACTCTGAATTGGGGAATAAATTAATATTCTCCTGCCAAATTCTTCCATCGTCTCAATTTTTTAGTTGCCAAAATAAACGAGGCAGGCAATTTGCTCTACTTATGTGATGATGTGAGTAAAACAAAGTCTGCAAGTTCCTCAACGAGTTCCAAGATGAAAGAAGCCGAAGGAACAAAATCAGATATGAGCAGCAGTGTAATGGAAGAAGTGTATGGCATCAAAAAAGATGACCCTGATACGCCTGATACTAAAGATGATGAAGAAGATGAAAGCTCAGGTGGGGATTAGAGGAAGGAAAAATATTAGAAAGAGAAAATATATATAATTAATAATTGTGTGATCTTTTCTTATTCGATCACTTGTATATATGTGTTGTTGTATATATTTTGAGGAATATTATTATGTAGTAGGAGGCTTATAATAGAAAAAAATATGGGGCTGTAGTGTAGTAAAAATTTTTTAAATAAAAAATCAGCCAAAAATCGATAACATACTTTTTCGATCTTGATCTTGGGGTGAAGTCTTGGTCTCGACATTTTTGGCCTTTCCAAACAAACACCCCTAAGAATTGAGCTTTTTTAAATTCGTTATTTTATTTCCAAAATAAAAAAAAATATTTTCGCCCACGTCATCTACGCAAAATTTTTTTTTACTTTTTCAAAGTACCTTAACAGCTTAATACGACGTAACTCTTTCAACTTAACTAACGCCTTTACAAATCTTCTTGTTCATCTCCAGCTCTTTTACCAACCCGAGTAACAACTTTTTTAGTTCTAAAAAATAAGATAAAAGATTCAAATTCCTTATAGATCAATCATTTATAAATTTTTTTATTTAAACGAAAAAATGTAATGTAAGACAAATCCACAAATTTCTGACATTTGATGAAGTATTTTTTATTTTTTATGTGCGTGATTGGTTCGGTGTTTGTGTACTTATTTTTAAAAAAAGGAGCCAAAGCAAAAAATAAAAGGTCGATCATACATTGGAACAAAAAAAATGTTGAACATATAGAAGAAAAAATAATATTTTTGAAGGTAGGGAGGGAAACAAAACACATGGAGAGATAAAGAGATTGAGAAAACTATAGTTTTTCTGGTACTTGTGTAGTTTGCATCCCATAAGCACTGCACCCTTTTATTCTCTTATAAAATGGCATTTTGGTCAATATTTTTATTTACTTTACACTATAGACTGACCTAAGCTGTTTAGACCCAACGGTACGGTATTGTGCGAAGTACCTAACTCTGGGTGAGTATAACTATTCCGACAAAAGATATGGGCATAAAATGAAACGTGGCCGGACATTTGAGGAGTGGACAAATGGGTAGTGGATTAAAAAAATAATCTCTCTATAAGAATATAACCATCTCTCTATAAGGATATACATAACAGAAAAAGAGGTGCAGGGGACGTATACTACAAAAGTACCGCTTTCTCTCAAGTACTTGTTTTTTAATTAATTAATATTGTCTAAACAATTACAGCCCAAAAACGAAAAAATGACGTGGCGCCGCTCATGGTGGAGCCGGTGTGGCTACAGGTATCAGTGAAAATGTTTATTTACAAACAATGCTGACACAGTGTCAGGTCAGCTCCGCCAGGAGCTGGCGCCAGGGCCGTTTGGGCGAAAACTGACGCCAATCATGGTAAAGCTGAAGCAAACCTAACCCCATTTAAACAACCCCATTCTTAATTCTTTTTAAAAATTAAAAAAAACCAAGTACTTTTAGCTCTTTTACAATTCTTCAAGGATATATTTTTGTGGTTGTATATTTATATAAAAAATGATTGGTGTGATTTGTTGCCAACAAGCCTTATATATCCAAAACAGAGAGAGATATTATTCACACAAGTCTTTTTTAAGCCAAGAAACCGAGAGAATCCAAAAGCACAAAGATACAGCCATTTCAGATTGGTTGAATCTTTTCGGACACTACCTTCAAAGAAAAAATTTTTTTGAAAAATTTGTTTAAAAAATTTTTTAAAAACCTGTGGGTTGCTTTTACGCAACTGCTCCCTGCCGACAGTTTTATAGTCGTACGTACACGAGTGAGCGTTGTCATAGCTATTTTAAAAATAGGATTAGTAGAGTTGAGGTACTTGTATAGTAAAAGACGCTTAACCCGACTCGAAAATTTCCGAAAACCCGAGTTTTCCCCTACGAGAAACCCTTCCAAAAATGAGTGGAATGAACCCCCTACCAATTATACTAATCATTTATGTAAAATTTAATACCGATGAGTAGCACAGAACAATCCACCGCATCGGCAGTCGAATCCTTAAAAATATTTTTAGAAATTTAATTGAGAATAAACTAAACAACCTGTGAGTCCAACCCGTTTACTACAGACTTGGCATCTATTTTTAGTCTTCTTTTGTTGGCTAGGATTATCGGGAGTTTCGTCAGATGTCAATGTAGCTTGTGAAGCGGTCTCCAGATCCACAGGTCTCTTACTGAAAGGAAATGAGAAAATAAAGGGTAATTATTTGGCCCCCCCTCCCCCAGTCAATTTTTTTAATGTTAATTGTAAAAATAGTAGTCTGTTAATAGATTATAGAACTCGTCGAGCTGTGTCGAATGACAAAAAAAGGCAATCCCCACAAGCTTCCCGCCACTTTGTCAAAACATCTCCAATTACGTGATTTTGATGTCATTCTCAACGAGCTCTTTCGAATGAGTATAATCGAATTTTTGACTACAAAAATCAGCCTTACCGACCCTGTGATTTTTCAATTTTCGGGTGTATCTCATCAGTTTAAAGTTAAGATCAGGGTTGATTCTGTTGTGATACGACACCGACGAATTCTGTAAACTGTTAGCAGACTGACCAGGGGAGGGGCGAAAAAAAGTTTTGAGCAAGTTTCATTGCTTTTTGAAATTCAATGAAGAAAACCCCATCCCAAAGAAAATCCAATCCATAGAAAACTTATGAGACGCATATAGTACTCCAACGGACACATGACACAGACAAGACCCAATTACCCAATGATTTACTAATAAACCAAAAATTAAAAAATACCCAGACTCGTCAGTGTGTTTGGCATCATCTTTAGTCCCAGTACAACTGTCATCATTGTATTCAGCCTCAACCTTATCAGTCGACGCATCAGCTGCTCCACTTTCTGATTCTTCAGGGATTGAAGTAGAAGCGTCAGAAGCGCCCATATTATTACCTGAAAAATTTAAATTTCAACATTTTTTCCTTGGAAAATAGGGGAAATACCCTAACTATTAGTGTTTCACCGGAACCGAAATTTTGACCGGAACCGGAACCGGATCCAATTTAAGTTCCGGTTCCCGGAACCGGAACTTTTCTAAGTTCCGGCCCGGAACCGGAACCGGAACTTTAAAAAATTTTTTGCTAGCAAATTTTAAAAAATTTGTATTTTGATTTGGGTTGTAGGTTTCACTAAATTTTTCGGTTAACCGAAACCAAACCGTCTAACCGAATAGAAACTTGGTTAACCAAAACCGAGCCGAAAATTTGTCGTCGTTAAGTGATATATGTGGATTAGAGAGTGGTGTATAAACGGATTTGTCGGATATAACTGTTTGATATCGGGCGCTAAAAAGGTTCTGAATTGCAAGAAAATCTCATATCTACCTACTCAATTTCTCGATATCACACCGAAATCCACGATATTACCTATAACCGTTTGAAATCATGATATAACTCAAAATCCAAATTAATCCATCCAAATCCTCCGATATAACATTCAACTTCTTTTTAAGCGACGCAGGCGAAAAATTTTGAGAGTCTGTGAGGACAAGAAGCCAAATTTCTTCCCTTTTCAGCGCCGCAGGCGAAATTTTTGAAAATTTATGAAGGCAATAAGCAAAAAAATTCACTATTTATAAGTCAAACTAAAAATTTTAAGAAATTTAGAGGGCCAAAAAACCACAATTACTCCATTTAAAAATAAAATAATTTTTAAAACAAAATTATAAACTTATAAAATAAGTTTTTATGGAAAGAAAAACATGCAAATTAATTGTCCTATGCCTCGGAAGCGAACCAATCTTTAAATCATTCACGCCAAGGTTGAAGTCTAACACCTTAACCACTCGGCCACCCGCTTATATTAGGTCAGTTAACAGAAAATAAACATATTTCTTTCGTTTTTTTAATACACAAGCATGAGAGTACTAGTAGTTTATTAATTTTTCTAAAAAAATCAATCTTTAGGGGTGTAAAAAAGTTCCGGTTTGCCCGGAACCGATTTGAAAACCGGAGCCGGAACCGGAACCAATTTGAGTTCCGGTTCCCGGAACCGGAACCAAAAAAACACCGGAACTTTCCGGAACCGGAACTTCCGGTGAAACTCTACTAACTATGTATTAAGAACGACCAATAATGGAGGAAGAACAAATGTTCAGAGTCTAGGAGATCCCGATTCAATATCCAACTAGATTCAAAAAGTTCATAATCGGACTCCGCACGGCCTAGTGATAAACCTCAAAAATACCAAAAGATATCACTCGTTTTTTAGGGACCAATGATCTTCACTATTACCAAAAAAACATTATCCAACAAGCAAACCCAAAAAATCATAAACCCATGGAAGACCCCTATCCTTGAGGTAAAATATCAAACAAAGAACCTGAGACAGAAGAAGCAAGCCGCTGAGCAGAATTATTAGCACTATTATTACTTGTTGTAGTCGTCGTTCCGGTCTCCTGTTTCCTTTGGATCATGTCTTTGAAGCACTTTGAACACAAATCCTCTGTTGCCGAAGACCCATAGAATCCACAATTGCCACGACACAAAGGAGTGTTTTGAGGTGGTTGCTGTTGATTCTCCATATTTTGCACACCGAGACGAATCACAAAAAAAAATTTGGAAAGAAAATGAGTTGAAGTTGAATTAGAGAACTAAAAAAAAGAAAAATTAGGGAGTCGTTTAGGCACAATCCCATCTCGTCGCAGACTCATCTTTTGAAAGGAAGGTTTTTTGGATATTCTGTTTGATCTGTTCGGAATACTTGTTATGAAGAAACATGCACATCCTAGTCAAAACGAAATAAATTTCTTAATAGGGGAGGGATATACGTTCGTGACAGATTGGCCTAGCGACAAAATGGGCAAAAATTGATGATAAATAAATGTCAAGGACGTTTCGTAGAAACCGTCTCAGTGCAAGAAAATTTATTGGGGAGGGTACAAAAAATTTTTGAACGTTCCAGAACACATCTTTACCTCGAGAAAGTTGGGAAATTTACTCTTATGCCGAAACGGTAACAAAAACCAAACGAAAATTGATGAGAATAAAGAAAAGGTATTCTCTCAAAAATGAACTTTTCTCTCTAAAATGACACGCAAAATGTTTACAAAAATAAATTTTTGATACGAAAAAATGTGTACAGAAAAATTATCACAAAAAAATCTAAAAGACTAACAACCTCCCCCAAAAAAGATGATGACAAATAAAATAAAAGAAATACCTACTAAAATGGGTTGTTGGCGAGAATAAGCAATAAATTGGGAAAGAGAAAAAAGATAACGATTTGTGTTTAAATAGTACAGAAAAATATTACAAAATATCAAAACTTTAAAACTACGAAATTCGGCCCAATGGGTGTCGTTACATATATAGAGATTACACTGTAGCTACAAGTAACCGGTTCTGTAAGATGGAGGAACGGAATACAGATAACCGGAAAAACTAACGCGGCCTTTGCATTGTTTGATGACTAATTCTTACACAACACAAATTTCTTAGCTCTAATGATAAAAGAAAATTGACAGCTTATGCAAATTTTTCATTTTCTTAAAATAGCACCTATGCATGTATACATAACAAATAAAATGCTTGCGTCAAACACATAGCACAATAATCCCCAAATTGCAAAAAAAAGTCCAACAAAAAACGTCAAAATGCCAAAATTTCAAAAATACCTAAATTTTTGGCTTACCTTCGGAAAATTTCACAAAAGTTTTCAGAATTTTCGATTTCACTCGGTAGAAATGATTTTTTAAAATAAATTTATTCTCACAAGTTTAGTCAAGATTATGTTAGAGGGAGAAAAATAATGATAGCAAAAATATATAAATGGAAAATTTTCCCGCAACAGAGACTGGGCCGGCTCTCTTTCTCCGTACTAGTAGTCGATGACTGCTGAACGAGGAGAAAAATTCATTCAACCAACCCCCATGTCAGTCAGAGTCAGTGTACGTGCGTACCAACCCCTCGCCCACTTCTCTTTCTTTCCCTACACCTTTTTATTTATGTATTCTTTTGCTTCAAAATTCTTCGAAGACAAAATGCCCATGAGATAATCTGACAAGATGCCAACTCAAAATGCCTGTGAGGGGGAGAAATCTAGTAAAGGCAAATCGGACAAAATGCGAACAAAAGGAAAATCGAACAAAGGCAAATCAGACAAAATTCCAAGGGATATGGGTTCTTTCCGAACAATCTGGCATTTTGTCCTTCGGCATTTTGTCCTTATTATTTCTAACTACTTTTTACTCTTTTTCCTCTTTATTCAGAGAGCTAGTTCCCAAAAAATAGAAAAAATTATATTCTTTTTTCGCTCTTTTCATTTTCCCTCCGGTTTTTATCTCTTTCTGTCTACGAAACAAGCAAAGTTGTGTAAATGAGATACAGAATCTCCTGACAGACGTATTTTCTTTATTAACATAGATAAATCAATAATTTGTAAGCAAAAAAGAATGACAGCCGAATGACAGTCGATATTTGCTGTTTGCTCTCTAAAACACATTTTTTCTTTCTCTTCTTTTTTATTTCATCCTCTAATTCTCTAACATCTACATACATTATTCTGGGTGTTGGGACAAAACACCGTCCGACCAGAAAAACAAATCAAAATGGAAGTTATGTATAAAGAGTGTGTGGATGAATGTGACCACAAGCAAATTTTTTAAACTTAATTAAGGAAAAAATGACTGACCATTTCGTACTTCAACTAAATCGCGGGCTGGGGGGGGGGGTAGGTTATAGGCCCTTAAAGTTTTAGGATCACCCAAAGATCCCCCAGTTTTTTACTCCGTCCAGATTTGTCGGAGATAAATTCTGTCGGAGGGTGACTTGCTCCTTATTCTGCCCAGCATCTTTTGTCTCTTGCAGAACTGATAGTGAGTAATGTCTTACTTTGATAAATTAAGCTAGACTCAATTGCCAGATAAGCGTTCTTTACTCTTTTTTCTTTTATCTCTTCCATGTTTGTCAAATAGTCTTTCTTTAAAACAAGTTGAGAGAGAATAGAAAAATACATTCAAACTTTCCTTTTTATTTCTCTAATTACTTAACAATTTTTCTTTTTTTTTTACAATTTGAACACGTGTATATCATAAGTCAAATAAAAAATACACCCGTGATCAATAATCATAAAAAATGTATTCACGTCATTTTTTGTTAACAAATTTTTTGCTGAATTTTATCAGGTACAGCTTTATCGATTATTAGAGCTTCGTCGGAGTTAAAATTCTGACAGACAGAACCTCAGTAAGGGAGCAAGAGTGAAATTGGGAAAGGAAAAATGAGGGTGGAGGGTACAAGAACTATGACCTCGAGAGACCTATTTATCAATATTTCATCATTCTTTTTCATTTTTTAGAAAATTAACGAAAAAGATTACACAAGCTATTTATAGAGATTGTTTACCAAATAATATTTATTGGGAGGGGGTGGACAATGTCTATTAATTCAAAGTATTTTTTAAATTTATTTACAATTCTTACTAATAAAAAATTTTTTTTAAGAAAATATCAAAAATTCAATTGTCAGGGGGGGAGCTGAGAGGCCATAGGGTTAAAATACAAGTTTAGTTAGTTAGACATATATTGACGAACATTATGAACAAAATCAACAATTAACGGCATTTTTGCAGAAAGACTAGATTCTATAAGACGTACAACTAATTGGCATACAGCTTCGTCTGATAGTTGTAAATGAAAACGTTCCAAAACCTTTAAAAATTTTGAGAGAAAATTTTATTTTTTAAGGAAAATCTGATCGAGAATCCGGCCGGATCCGGAATTTGGATTTTCTGTAATCTATGAATAAGAGTTACCCTCTGAATACCCTGGCTACACCCTTGCAGGATTCTAAATTCGGAATTAATTCAAAATCCAAAAATTGATTTCACGCTCCAAAATATATCAAAATGTTTCTGTTCAATGCTGTCCTGGTTCCAAAAAATTAAACGGTTTCCCAATAGAAAAATAAAAAAATAATTTAAAAATTGCAAACCTTCATAACAGCCTTATCTCGTTCAATAGAAATGTCAGGAATTCCAGCATCCAACATTAACGAAAATAAATTTGTTATTAAATTTGCATGCCGTCTTAGAATGCAAAAAGCAATTGTACAATAATTAACAAAAGCGCGAAAATGTTCACTTGAAAAAAAATTTTTTCAACTTTAAAAAAAAATAAAAAGAAAACCTATTTTGACCTCCCATTGCATTAATCATTTCAGACGTCAACTTCATTGGGGGAGGCATTGGTTTTGGATCTCTTCCCAAAATAAATCCAAAATCTACGTGAAACATTTTACCTGAAAATAAATAAAAATTAATTTTTCCTCCCAAAAAAGTCCGCAAGTTTTATTAGAATATTTTTTTATCGAAGAGGAATACTTGGGAAGTTTCCTCCATTTTCCTTCCAATCTCCCTGACCATTTTTGAGCTTTTTTCTTCCTTCTTTTCCCTTATTCTAACAAAGACAAACTCCGTCCGCATCCGTAAATTCAAAAAAACTTTCGGAGATTTCGATATTTGGCTGAATGGCTTGGACTTCTTCAACGGAAACAAACATGTGAAGCTAATCGGTTTTATGAAACCAAAATAATTTTAAGATGGAGTTTGCGGACCTTTTTGTGAGCATGGAGGAAAAAAAGACACTCATTGAATAGTTGGAGAGAGAAAGAAAAAAAATTTTAAAAAACCGTTTTCACAAAGCAACAAATTATGTAAATGTCGATCACCAATTCCAAGAATATAGCAAATTATAGAATAACCAGCACATGATTTAACATAATTATTAAGAACGTCTGCTTCAATACCTAAAAATAAAATTATTGAAAAAATTTTTTTCAAATTAAAAAAAACCATATGGGGCAGATGATGAAGGTCTAAATGTACGAAGTGTGTCCTTTAAAAAATAATAAATTTAAGAAAAAAATAAAAAAAAACCTGTATGCTTTTTATATCAGCCAAAGGTGTAGCGCCTCTTACAAATTGGACAAAACCTTCGGAACAAGAAGTTGCGAGAACAGCATATGGAGTTAAACATAAATCAAGTCTGTAAAAAATTCAAGTTTAAAAAATAAAATAATTTTTGATGGGATTATTTAATTTTGATTATTTAAGAAAATTTTTATCGTCTTTTATAAAGATAAATTATTTTATTTTAATTTATTGTAAAAATGATTAAATTAAAATATGGTCAATTTTGTATTTCTAGAATTCCCCCTTCAATTAAAAAGCCTAATATCGACCTGAGAATTTCCCAAAAAATCTCCCAATTAAAAAATCAACTGACTTGTCCTCCTTCAACAAAGAATCCATTAATCTAATCATTTGCAACACAAGTTGATCTTGTCTCAAATCATCTCCACGTTTAAATATTGTTGTATAAGCTTCAGCACATTCATAAGGTGTAATATTTCCTCTAACAGTAGAAAACGTTAACCTCATTGGCATCAAATTACTCGAAAATAAAGTTGTCGATTCTGGCTGAACAGATTTTACATGAACTGAAGGATCCAAAGGAAGGCTCATTCCCTTTAGAAAATTGTTTAAAAAATTTTTTTTAAGTTAGAAAAAACCTTCAAATCAATCAAATCATTATTTTCAATCAATTTTTTCTTTAACAATTCCAATTTTTTTGAACGACTTCCGCTTGAATCAGCAACAGCTTTTGCTATATCAACTAAAGTGTCTACAAATTTCTTAAAAAAAGAAAGGTTATTTTGTAGTAAAAAATAAAAATTAGGGCTCTAGTACAGTTTAGAAGTCCAATGAAAGTTTATGAGTTCAAAGAAAAGATAAATATTTTTAAAAAATTTTGTTGTTATAAAGGAAAAGGTGAAATTTATTTGGAAAATCCTTTAATGGTACTATGAGGAATCCTTTAATAGTACCCGTTTTAACATTCCAAAACGTTTACTGACCCGATTCTCTAAGCGGAACATAAAATTTTATCGGGAATTCCCGATTCCCCAAAAGGGAGTTTATTTATATGTCAACGAAACCTTGCCAAAAACGCAATCATATTGGCAACAAAGTTTTTTTTAACAGAGAACCTGTTACTTACTACCTACTCTAAAAATTTCAAAACTTAAGAAACCTTTTGAGAAGAAATTGTAGCCAATGTTTGTTTACATGCACTATTACCAGTTGAAAGTGCTTGTTGAAGTTTTAAAATAACAGACGAATAAAATTCAGATATTTGTTTATTTCCAAAATTTGCTTCAACTTCAACTTTTAAATACCTTTTAAAAATAATTTTAAAAAATGAAAATTAAAAAAAACCAATAAAGAAAAATAGCAATAGGACTATTTTGACAAGCAATTTTAATAAGAAAAGTAGCCAAATCCATAGACTCATGGCCTTCAAAATAATCGAGAGGAATGTCTGAATTTGTTGATTGTCGACTTGAGGCCATTCTTGGATGAACAGAATCTTTAAAAATTAATATAAAAAATTTGGATAAAAAAATAGGCTTAAAAGGATCTCTAGAGGAAAATTTTGGAAGGCCTAGAATCCGAAATCTTGATAATTTTGGAAGGCTATATGCCCTGTCTCAATATGTTTCCTTCTTTTCGTTTCGAGCGTTGAGGAATGGAAAAGTGTAATGGAAATAGAGAAAAGTGTCACTTATGTAACTTGTACCCAAGTTCTACGGACTCTGGATGTCACGGGATGAGAGAAAAGCCGGATCGGGGTTTCAAAAAATTTTTGGATCATATTTATTGTTAAGGTCGGAAAAAGTCCGTGCTTTAATTATCGGATAACCCGTAACATCCCTGGTAGGACAATAAGGATTTGTCATACTCACATGTAAATATTTTTTAAATTTTATCTAATAGTTCTAAAAATAGAGGGATTCTCTTACTAAAAAATTTATTAAAAAAACAAACTTGAAGATGTTGCAACAATAGTAGAAGTCCCACTAACATTTTCATTTTGTGTAACAACCAACAAATCTTCTTCTACACTCGCAAGTAAATCTTGTTGTGAAGGTTCGTAACGAAGTGCTTGGACTAATTGAGGCAAAAATAAAAGAATATTTGCATTTGTAGTGTTTTGTAGACGTGAAACGGCATAACGACGTACAAAAGGATGAGAAAAATTTGGAGAAAGAAGTTCTAAAGCATCACAGGCGTCGATTGGTTCCCACTCACTTTTTAATTAAAAAATTTTTTTTGTATATTGTCCGCAAAAAGTCTGCAGAAAATGTTTGTTTGCAAGTTTTAAGTTTTGGATTACAAATTATTATTATATTTTAAAAGACAAACTTAACAGGAAAATTTTGAACTTTGTAGATCCTATTTTTATTTCCTCCCTAGTTTCCCTTATTAAAATGACCCCCAAAATCCCCACAAAAAATCACTTACAGAATGACTTGAATTGCTTGACGAACTTCCAACTTTTCTTGCCAATTAACAGAACGAATAAATTTTGTTAAAGCTTTAGGGTTTGATTTTAACCAAAAACGAAATTTCCATATTAAATCACGCTCTTCCATTAACATTGCCTGACAACTTGCTGACTAGAAAAAAATTTTTAATTTAAACAGAAAAATTTTTTTGGTTTATTTTTTCAGTTATGTTCCTTCCTCTTTTCGGGGCCCGTAGAATAAATTCGGGGTTGGATAACCCGGTTAAATAACCCGGTTAAACAACCCAGGGGCAAATAACCCTTAGCTACGGGTTAAAATCGGTAGAATAAATTCAACCCCGAGTTAAGGGTTATTTAACACCGAGCTAGAGGTTATTTAACTAGTTGAGTTACTGGGTTATTTGACCCTTTATATTTTATTGCCAAATCCATTTCGCAATAATTGTTTACGCAATAATTGTTATTATTAAAAAGAGATATAGTCAAATGAAAAAGTTTAAAAAACTTATAAAATTTTTAATTGTTGGATAAATTTTGCTTCAAAAATTTTTGTAAAAGTTTTTGTTAAAAAATTTTTGTTAAAAAATTTTAAAAAATTTTTGTTAAAAATTTTTTTATGTGTTTTGAATAGAAATTAAAATTTTTAAAAATTTTGCAATTTAATAAATGTTTTAATTTTTTGGAAATTATGCATAATTCGCATGTTACCCTGCCCCCTAGTAGGGTTGCAATTTGCCCCTTACCTGCGGGTTATTTAACCCGGGTAATTAATTTATTCTACCGGTAATGTTACGCGGGTAAGATAACCGGGTTATCTGACCCGGTCATTTAACCCGAAGCTAGGGGTTTGAATTTATTCTACGGGTTACGGGTTATTTAACCCCAAGGTAGGGGTTGAATAACCCTTACCCCGAATTTATTCTACGGGCCCGGGAGGGGAGGGGCTTCAGCTCCCCGGCTACGCCCTTGTACGATGGTGCAAAAAAGTTCAAAATTTTTGGTGACCCCCATGTAGGTTAAAGAACCAATTAAAAAGCCATATTTCAAAGTTAAAGGCAAAAAAATTTTTAATTTAAACAAAAGAGAACCTTAATAATAGCCTCAAGTGTGTCTCTAATTGTTGGATTTGGTTGTAGACGTCTATCAATATCCATAGCTCTCGCATTTCTAGTCATCATATGGTGCTTTATTTCACTCAAATTTTCCATATCCAATTCTGGGTCAGCTTGTCTTTCATTTCGAGGTTTGGGCAATAAAGGATCTACATCCAAATCATTTTCAAATTGTTGAGAATGGTGGTGGTCAGTAGAAGAAGGAGCTTCTCCAGCAAAATAAATTATCGAATAAATTGTTAGATCGTCTGAATCTTGAACAATTGGAAATTCAATTGTTAGAAAGAGAGAACGATCGTCAGATTTCGCCTTTAAAAAATATTTCTGTGACTCAAATTGATGAAACAAATTGGTTGAAAATTTTAATTTTTTTAAATTGACAGCTAAGTTCAACCCCTATTCCTTACAAATATCAACAGAAAAAAACCTCTTGTTTAATTTCCTCCAATTTCGCAAAAGTAATTTTATCCAGCCAATCAACTCTATCAATAAATTTTTGATTATAAAGTTTTTCTTTTTTTAACAAATCATTTAAAGGAATCCCACATTTCAATTGTCGATTATTATTTAAATTTTCATCATTATTTTTAAGTAAAGGTGTTGAATCTCTGGCATCTTCTGACGATTCTGCTTGTTTTGCAGGTGTTGGAATATTCATCAAATCCAAATTTGGATTTTCAGTTATCAGTTTAGTCTTGTCAGATTTCCCAATTACTTGTTCTAATTTTAAATCTAAAATACCCGAACGAAATATTGAATGTTTTGAAAACAATTTTTTGGCACATTGAGCGATTAAAACCTGAAAATAAAGTAAAATTAGTGTATAAATTAGTGTATCCGCAAATCTATTCGGGTTAAAATTGGACTCAATTCCCTCTAATCTTGGCTTGTATATAAGTAAAGACCAATTTTTAAAGAAAATACCCAAAATTCTCTTAAAATATTTAAAAAATAAAGACCGGTTCAACAGTCGTTCCAACATCCCATAAAGTTACATGAAGCAAAGCATCCCTGTTTAAGTCAGAATAATTTACAGGAAGGTTTATCCATTCATCAAATTTTTGAATATCTCGAATAGAAGATGTGCCAGTTGGTAAATATTGTCGAAAAGAACTTTGAACACTTCTTCCAATAATTCTTCCATTACAATAAATCTTTAGAAGAAAAATATGTTTAAATGAAGGATATTAGAGTAAAGCTGTCCCAGACATTCCAAAAAAATGCAAAAAAGATTGGATAGGATTTGATCGTGAGAGCTCTCCAATTCAGAGTTGTTAACCGCCAAAACATCCCACTACCGGTTGCTTATTTTCATTTTTGATTTAGCTGCTAGGCTGGGAGGAAGTTTCAGAGGCCTATTCCACTAGGAGCCTATTCCACTAAACGACGTATCGCCAAAATCACTGATCCGCTCCGAAAAATACCCCTAAAATGACAATGAGTATAAACTACAAGGAGCGGAAATTTTTGGAAAAATTTTAAGAAATTTTCCATATTTGTCGGGCGTTTAGATAGCTACCCCCCTCCCACACCCATTTTCAAAATTTTGTTTAAAAACTAAACAAACCGTCAAACGAACAAACATACAACCAGAAGGTGTTGCATATCTTTGCATATCTCCATGACTTGTTAAATAACCAGAAAGTGAGACCAGTCGGATTCTTAAAGGCACATTAATTTCTGAGCTAAATACATAATTGAAATTTTTTCTCATTTTTTAAAGAGAAATAATGCTAAAATTGAGAAAATAATTAAAACGAGATTCTATTCCGCAATTTTATTGAGAAAGGAATATTTAGGTCTAGAAGTCCCTGGGAAGTCTTCGGGCGGAACTAATATTCGAACTGAAAATTTCCGGATACACAGACTTTTTTCGGTTCCAGATATCCGGAACCGCCACCGCTAGGGATACCTTCAGCATAAGAGAAAAAAGAGGATTAATTTTGGAGGTAAAAATGCGGACAAAATTTGCGGAAAACCCCAAACCTATGGATAAAAATTGCGGACGAATCCTTATACCCAACTTTTGCAAACTCTAAATGCATTAAAGGAAAAGAATAAAAAATAAAAGAGAAAATAAATTAAAGGTACTTCCACCAACAAAGTTAAAATAAAAATCCTCAAAATTTTTTTACTAGAAATTGAGTTAAAAAAAGTAACGGTAAAAACAGTTTTGTGTGTATAGTAGATGTAGCAATAAAATAAAATATTTTTTTAAAGTCAAAACCATCCATCAAAACAAAACAAAATTCATTCATTAACACGGCGAGCCCGTTTAAGTGTCGATGTCGAAACCAACCCTCCCCCTCCCCCACCAACATTCTGCTGTTCGGCATCTGCAGATTTTGCAATATTGTCACAATTTTGATCGTGTGATCGAGTATTTGGATTGTTTTTGGTAAATTGTTTATCTCCGTTTGTAAGAATATTCTAAAATTTAAAAAATTCACGGGAAATGGAAAAATACAAGAGAATTTATTTTGTTAAAAGACCAAAGAATTTTAAAAATTTGGTTCGCTTTATGATATTATGAAAAGAATTTCAAGAATAAAAAGCGAAAAACGAAAAAAAATCGGCGAATTTTTTGAAGTCGAAAAAATCGACTTTGTCATTTTACTAAGTTTTTTAAAATTTATTTGTGATTGGCAATCAAATAAATAGATTAATCCAAGTTAACCCAAAAAAACGATTAACAAAAAAATACCGTTTTTTGAACCAAAAGTTTTGTCTATATACTTCCACCTAATTTAAACCCCCAAAATCAATAAAAATAAAAAAACCTTTTGTAAAATTCCATTTTGAGAAGACTCATTAACCAAACCATCAGCAGAAGCATTTAAATTTAAACTAAGCGAAACAGGCGAAGTAACCGAAGACAAAGAAAAAAATCTGTCAGTTTCCTCAAAATGTCTCTTTGGAGGCCGTCGGCCCTTAGAATGCCCAGAAACTAAATTTAATGCTGCGCCTGAAGATATTCCAGCAACTGCAGATTCCAATAATTTGTTGAAACCTAAAAGAAAATATTTTTTTGAAAATTTTGTTTAAAAATTAAAGAAAAAACCTTTAATAATATTCCCATTTTCAGAAGATTCTTCAAGATAAGTAGTCTCAAAATTGTATATTTGTTTTTCCAAATTGGACAATTTTTGCTTAAAATGATAAATTTTTTGATGAATTGATGTTAAAAATTTAGACATTTAATTTATATTAGAAAAGTCAACAAAAAATAAATCCCCAAAAGTAGCCCCCACAAAAGTAACAACTACATAACTTCCCCCCAGTTTTCCAGCCGAAAATTAAAAAAACGAAATAAACAAACCAAAACTTCAGAACGTCGTCTAATCAATTCAGACATTTCTTGCTTTGGATCGACATCTTTTGAATGAGCCATTTTCAAAAAAAAATTGAAAAAAATAAGATTTAAGAAAAATCAAAGAATTCTAAAAGTTTAAATAAAAAAAATTTAGAAAAATTGGAATTGTGTCGAATTGTGGGCCCGTTAAAAAATAAATTTAAAAATCATGGAAACACATTTTCTAGGGCTGATTTTATCGAACATTTGGCTTTATCTACGATTTTTAATCAAATACTTGATTTTTAAAAAATTTCATTCAAATAAATTCTCGATTTGAAAGGCCAAAATAAATTAAATCTGACATACTATATTTGACAAAATTAGAAGAACAATTTGTTTTAACCTTTCTAGTAACTTCACGGAAAGGAGTGGACGAATTGTGGGCGCTTCAGATTGGACACAGCCCGAATAGTCGCGGGCCGAATTGTCGCTCTCGACATTTGATTGACAAATTTTTCCCTTTTAAGCGACATATGAATTTAATTTTTTAGATAAATCTTCAAACAATTAGGGGACCATTTTTATTTTTGAATATTTAAATTAAAAGTTTGTTTTTATTAAATATGTCTCTTAGAAGACTAAATAGGATTGCTTTTCAAGTTGTTTTGGAGGTTTTATTTTTTAAAAACTTTTTTTATTTAATTTTTTTAGATGATTCAAAGATTTAAAACTGCAAATACTTTAAACAATTTTGGAAAAGTTGGATTGAAAATTTTGAAGCACAATCGATTTACTTTACGTCGAACTGTTCTTAGAGGAGTAAGTTTTCCTTCTTTTTTGTTTTATCATAGAAAAAGCTTGCATTTCCCTAAGATCCTCAAAAATTCCTGAAAATCTAACAAATTAATTTTGGAATTCCGTAACTGAATGGTGATAATAGTTCGGCTTACCCTCCTTTCATGTTTTACTGACCATTTCGGGCTTTCTTGTTTGATATATAATTTACATATGTATTATTCGAAAGAGCTCTTCTTGCTATGTTAAATGATGCCAAGATTGCTAAATTAGATTATTCGGCCCTATCCCAATATAAGGGCGGAATCGTTTTTTCCATTACTTTTCATTATTTTATAAAAAAGGTCAATTTTCCTTAAAGTTGATGTATGTTGATGTTTGCCTTAAGGAAGAATGGAGGACAGACAATGACAGAAACACGGACGGATACGTCCGTTTTTGTCTGTCCGAGTCTGCCCGTGTTTTTCAGTCCGTGCTCGTCCGTGTTTTGGACAGACAAAACACAGACGGACTCGGACAGACAAACACGGACGAACACGGACTGAAAAACACGGGCAGACAAAAACGGACGTACACGTCCGTGTTTCTGTCATTGCTGTCCTCCATTCTTCCTTAAGGCAAACATCAACATACATCAACTTTAAGGAAAATTGACCTTTTTTATAAAATAATGAAAAGTAATGGAAAAAAACGATTCCGCCCTTATATTGGGATAGGGTCGATTATTCTTAATAAAATTATGAAGCTTAGAAATTCGCTGTAAGAGGTTAAAATAAATGGTTATAACTTTGTTCATTCAAGTTGGATCTCGTTAATTTTGGGTGCTTTCTATTCAGTTCGAAGAGCTTTTCCGAATAATAGTATATAATTTACCATAAATAAGTCATTTTTTATTGAAAATGCTAGAGGGAAATAAGTGAAATTGAGGAAGGAAAAAAGTCTGACCATTCTGTACATAATGAAAAAACAGGGAGGAAAAAGGAGAACCCAAACGTTGGTTTGGGGAACCCCAAAAACTCAGGCCCTGACCAGATCCAGCTAGATCGCCTCCACCTCGATCTTTAAATTTTTCTGTCTCTTGATAAATTTTTCATTTCATTAGTTTCGAGTTATAGCCAGACAACCAGCTCAACTTTGGAGGCCATTTGCTTCCCTACATTTCCGGCATCAACAACAATTAAATCAAAGATTGAATGGTTTCAATTTCATTAAAGACAATAAACCTAAAAGAGACATCCTCCATCTTGTTAGGGTATTTCTTTAATTTTTGGATAAATATTAAGGAGAATTTAAGAATTTATTTGGTACAAATGCTCGTTATAATCGTGGCCTTTCTTCAACTGAAATGCCCAACAATTTGGATGCCTATGAAATTGGTTAAAATTTAAATATAATTTTTGTGTAAATAATAATCATAAAGGGTGCTCTTCCTCTTTTTTAATTATTGAAAAAAATAAACTTTCCCAACGGGATCGAACCCAAGACCCCAAACCCACGGAGTATGTTCGAACCAGTATGAGAAAATTAATTTTTTTTAATAGCTAAAAAAGGTGAAAAGACCGTTTTGATCACTTTATAGCGTTATTTATACCATTTCTCTATTACATTAAACATAATTTCAAAAATATTTTAGGCAAGTACATTGCCTCTGGCTGTAATGGCGCTGTCTTTCAACTCCGTCTTAAACAAGAGTTAGCTAGTAATAATAATATTGATGAATCTCAATTTGATCATCCCTACAAAGCAAGTTATATTCTAACCTATATATCTGTGTTTGCGGACTTTTTTGAGGAATTTTTACGAACTTTCTTTTGCGGATTTAGCGGATATATGAGGAATTTATTACCTAATTTTTAAACATTTAACTCAATTTTAGTTGTATCCATTGGCACTCAAAGTTTTATTTATTGATGGATTAACACAGGAGCGGTTTATTTGGAAAGAAATGGCTTCAGAACTTATTCCACTTGTTAGGCTTCCAAAGACAGTTTTTGATGGAAAATTTGCAAGGTTATTTTAATTATTTGTTGTTTACAGATTAAAATTTTCGGTAATTGTGAACCTTACAGACTCCTTTTTTCTTCCGACTCTTCTCGATAATCTAACCCTATTATGTCCGAAAGTTGTCCGATGTTGGCGTGCACAAGAGTAACATTTATCCAGTTTTCTTACTAACTTTCTTAAGGGCCTTTTCTTGGCGACTTTTTACTGAATTTTTAAAAGATTAAAATCAGTAAATGGTACTTCTTTCTTCGATAATGTCCCTTTTCTTGTCCACTTTTTAAACTTCATTTCAATATCCGTTCTTTTTTTTTGCAGACCCCTTTTAATATTTTTAATTTTAAGAATAAAAACAATTTCTCGTTCCCATCCAAATATAATCAAAATGTATACAGCTTTTACTGATAAATTTTCTGCATTACCTGAGGCTGAAAAAATTTTGATAAATAAACTACAAAATCGTCGTTTTAATTTACAAAATTGTTTAGAGGATTTTAATGAAGCAAAAACACTTTATGTTGTTATGAAAAGGTTTGCTATTTATTTTTTATTTGAAAAAACCCAACCACAAGTTTCGTTGAATTTTTGTTTTTCGACTTCTCTCGTCCCCCGACTTTCCAAATTTCTTTTTGGTCTTTCGAAGTTGTGTCATTTTTTACTTTTGACGCAGCTTTGGATAAGAGCTTCCAAACACTGATCCTGATATTTTGTTAGCTTACCCGAGAGAGAAAAACTTTAGTGAAAAGAGTACATCCACCGTCTCCAAACTGATCGCTTCTAAATTTTTTAAAATTTTTGCGGACGTCCGCAAAATGTTTTTTTGCGGACTTTTCTTTATTTTTAATCTAAACAAAATTATTTTTAAGATATCGAATGACTCTACAAACTTATCTAAAATCTCATAAAAGAAATTATTTGCAAGCAAGAATTATGTTTGGTCAATTAATGGAAGCAATTGTTTTTCTTCACAAAAATACAATTTGTCATCGAGTAAACTTAAAAAAAGATTTTGGCCTAAAATTTATTTTTAGGATATGAAGTCTGATAATATTCTTTTGGATTTTGATTTTGAAGGTTTTTTTTCAATTTTTATAAACTTATAGGGCTTTTATTCGCACTTTTACGCGTCCAACCAAATTTTTATGCAAGCGATCTACGACGATAAATTCGGTTCTGTTTAAAAGCTGTGGTCCTATATCACGCGTGTGTACCATAACCAATTAGTACTAAAGTAAAAAACCGGGTACTTATGACCATTGATTGGGCGCATAAAAATTTGATTGGACGCGTTAACTGTACAAGAGCCAAAATTTTTTTAAAGATGAAGTGCCACATTTGGTTCTTAGTGATTTCGGCTCAGCATTGTCGAATGGTGAATGGATTTTGCACAGTTCTAGTGATGGGGAATTCAGCGACTTGGGTGGAAATTTAGCTTTGAGAGCACCAGAAATACGTAGAATACGTCCAGGGTTAAATTCATGGGTTGATTATGAAATGGCAGATACTTGGGCTGCTGGAACACTTGCTTTTGAGATTTTTACAAGGTTTGTTAAAATATGAGAAAAATGGGGGAAGGGGGAGGGGGAAGTAATTAGGAGGTTTAGAAAAAAGGTGAAAGTCTGTAGGGTTAAGAGTTCCTTCCCTCCCACTTAACAACTCGACTCATTTAGGCTTATTAATTTTTCCTAAAGTATAATTTTGTAGGAGAAATCCATTTTATGCAGTTTTGAGTAGTGCAACATACAAAGAATCAGATTTGCCTCCTTTACCCACTCGTTTAATTAACCCAATAAAACAAGTTATTCATCAAATGCTTTGTATTGATCCAAAGAAAAGACCGAAACCAGAAATTGGTGCAAATATTGTGGCTATTTCACTTTTTGGGATGAAAATTGGAAAAATTTTGGATGAATTTTCGGTACAAATTTTTTAATTTTTGGGGTTTTCGGAATATATTCCCAAAAGTCCTCAAATTTTGTCCGCATTTTTTGTCTGCAAGTCTTATTTAATTTTTTCAAAAAAGGTTTTTTGAAGGCATAAAGGATATTATGTATTGTGACTTCGTAATGAAATAGAGAAAGTAGTTCTAGCGACGAGGTTTTATAATATATTTTAGTAATAACGTTTATTTTATGCCCTTAAAAATCTTGGAAAGTAAAATGTTCAACTTGCGGATAAAAAGTTGCGGATTTTTGGAAAATTATCGAAAATTTAAGTAAATAAAAAAATTTTTAGAATAAAATAGAAAGTGCAATTAATTCTATTGTTCAACTTTATGCTAGCGAAACAATTTTAGCTCGTTTTCTTAATCCAAAAACTATTAGTAATGCTGAACTTCAGGTTTTTTTTAATTATTTTTAAAATTGTGTTCTAAAGCAATTTTTTGTTTTACGGATCACCATTAGCTATTGGGAAAATTTTTATAAAAAAATCCCCAATAACCGACATTTATGGACTTTTGGTCTAAAATTTTTTGACAAGTTTGACCAAAAGTCCGTAAATTTTTTGTCCGCAAATTTTAAATATGACTCCAAAAATATTTTTAAGCTAGAGTTCCACTCATTTAACGTCCATGAGACGTCATATCTCCATAAAACTTGGGCCAAACTTGTCGAAAAAAAATTTTTTAAATTAATTTTTTAAAGCTTCGGGCAACTTTTCTTTCTCGTATGGATTTTGAAGAATTACACACAGCATTAAATTATTATATTGAAAATAGAGAAGGAGGAATTCAAGGAGAGGAAATTCCTTCAAAATTAATTTCTAATGAAGTTTATTCTTCTTTTATTAATCAAGAGGCCTTCTCATCAGCTATAACAAAATAAGTAATAAATAGACTATAATTTACCTCATAATCTTTCAATTTTTCAAATGTAAATTTAAAAATAAAATTCAAAAAAATTTTCTAATAAAAAACCGTCATAAAAACTACCATTTGACAAAAGCATGAACATAACACAAACTCAACCCTCAAAAAATGGAACGACTACTAAAAGGCTTCGCCTTTTATACTTTTTTTCAAAGAAATTTTTATTCATTTATTTAGTAAAATTAGAAATTACACAAAAATACAAAAAAAATTTTTTTCAATTAAAAAAACCTTTTATTTCCCATAATTTTCAAACAATTTTGGATATTTATTCTTCACTTCATCAAAAGGCAAAAGCACAGCATAGCTTTTATCTTCCAGTTTTAACAAAAAATAAATTGTTTCACAACAAGAGGTTTCTCCAATAATTTGAATTGGTTTTTGGCCAAAACAATCTCTCTCTAATTTTGATAAACTGAAAATAAAAAAGTTTTTAGATTTTAATTTTTGGAGTTGGATCTGCCTGAATTTAAAAATATATTTATTTGTGGTTTTTCGCTGATAAATTTTGCAGATTTTTACGAAAATTATATTTTTCTTAGGATGTCTAGCCCTAATCCACTCCCCACTCAAAGCAGAATTAAAACTTTCTTGCTCTGAACCCCCCTCTTCCTTTTTCCAAAAAATTAGTTTATTATTTACCTTGGAGTTTCCACATCGACTCTAACGGTCAAAGGCGAATTCGGATCGACATTTTCCAATTGAACCATTTTTCTAAAATTAAAATGTCTAAAATAATAATTTAAAAATAGGTAACAACTGGTTAAAAACCATTTGTGACAAAAAAATTTTCGGACAAAACTTGCAGACAAAAACTTTTTTTCAGACAAAAAATTCAAAAAAAAATTTTATAAAAATCAATTAATTTCTTCTTCTTCCTCCTCTTTAATTTCAATATCAGTATCTTCCACCCCTGATGAAATAGCTCCCACGTCTGTTTCTTCTTCTTCTTTTTTTGCCTCTAATTTAACTTTTGCCTTCTTTAAAGATTTATTTAATGAATTATTAAAATTATATTCCTTCAATTCTTCCAAAATTCTTTTTCTTTCCTTCATCGGTTTTCCAGCCATTTCTTCAAGTTTTTCCTTACAAAACGCTTGGCGTTCAGTTACTGCATTGAATAATTGAGTTACACCTCTAAAATTATTTTTTTGTGGACAAAAATTTTCAGAAATTTAAGAAAAAACCACCTATCCAACCTAAATTTGTAAAGATAAAGCCAACTAACCCGAACACAGAAAATTTTGGCCCTATCTCAAAAGAACCAGTTTCCAAACCCGTAACCACATTGACTTAAAAATCCAAACCTTGTAGCAACGTGTGTCAATTTCCTCTCCCTTTCTTTATCCAATCCATAATCTGGTTTAACATAACCCTGACGTTTAGCATCCATTTAGAAAAAAAATTAAATTTTTCTGTCAAAATAATTTTAAATTAATTTAAAAATAAATTGAATTTTTAAACAAATATAAAATTTTTTAAAAATTTCTAATAATTTTTTCATTCATTTATCACAGTAAATATATTTAATTAAATTCAAAAAATTATTTTCTTTATGCATAAGAAATTACAAGCCAAGCAAAAACAAAATAAAAAAGCATAAGAGGGTAATATGAAAGAATTTTTCTCTTTGGTGGTTGGGATCCAGACATAAATTTTGTTGAAGCTTTTAAAGAAAAAAGGAATATTAAAAATTAGTTAATTAACAGGTAACAGGGATTTCTCAAATAAAATTTAAAATATTTGGTTAAAAATCATTTGCGAACAAAATATTCCCAACAGCTATTCTCGTTAATTTTTCATTAAACGATTCTGTGATTTGTGATCCAAAAATTGTTAGGAATCGTGATTTTCGTAAATCGAATCAGTAGGATAGAATGGGACCCGAATTTACTTTTATTATGATTCTTAGTTTTTGGCATTTGTAAAGAGTTTTTGCAGTTTCTAGAAATACATACTATATTTTGAGTTAAGCACAGGCCTAATCGCCTTAATTAAAAAAGTCCGCAAAAATTTTGCGGACTCCAATTCAACCTAACCTTAACTTTAAATAAATCCACAACAAAACCAAAAAAACCCTTCCCCCCCTTCTCCCAAAAATTAAAGATATATTTACCAACCATAATAAGCCCATCCAAGTCCAATAACAGTTAAAACAAGCCTTACAATTAAATTAATTTTCATCTTCTTTATAAGTAATAATTGAACAGATTTAATTCCAATAGAAGAAAAAACAAATGGAAGTAGACAATATCCAATAACACAGAGGGATTGGAAGAATGAACTGAAAAAATAGTTTAAAAATTTTGGTTAGTTTTTTATGTTCCCAAAAAGTCCGTAAATTTTGTCCGCAAGCTATATTATTTTCTATAATTGGAGGTATCTTAAATTGGAGGTGTTGTGACGTCATTTCAAATGGTTGGCATTTCGGCGCGGCCCGCTTATGAAGTCTACTTAAATCGAGGGGTTAGCAACCTACTCCCTCTCCGGTATAACAGACAAAATTAACGGATTTTTGTGAGAAATTTACATTTTTCCTCCAAGCAATTTAGCATTAAGCGTAACCACAAGAGAACCAAAAAATGCCAAAGAAAATATTTGGGTAAATTGTGCTCCCTTCTCAGCTCCTTGCAATAAACTAAAATTTTGAAGAAACTTTAAAAAAAATATTTTTTTCCAAATTTACAGTGAAAGAAGCACACAAATAAATAGAGGACCCCAAAGATCCCAATCAGCAAGTACATTCATTTCATTCTTCTGAGGAAATAAAACTTGCGAAAATTTTTCATAAAGGATTTTCAAGTCTCGATTCTAAAATTTAAAAAAATAATTAAAAGTGAACGCTTTATGCGAGTATTTGAATTCAGAAAAAAATTCTTTTTCTTAAAAAAAATTGCCTAGCCTATCCGAAATAAAAAGTCAGGAGTTCTTGTGACAAACGAAAATGTATCCATAAGTTAATGGAAGCCCAAAAAGTTCAAAAAATTAAAAACGACATCCGGTAATTGGTTCTAGAAAACCTTAAACGATCTTTTTTTGGTTCAGAAATGTTTTTATCTAAACAGCCCTATCCAAAAATAATTGAAAAAAAGAGTAAAAAATACCAAAGTGTCTTTAATGCTTTCATCTAAAGTATCAAACTCGCAATCAAACTGAACAGTGTTTCCCAAAACTTTTTTCGAATCATTTCTCCCACCAATATTTCCACTCAAGTCTGTAGATTTTAATTGTTTGTTTCCTTCTAATTGTTCGCTTTGTTGAATTTCTTTTTCCAACTTGAATTGAATTTAATTTTAAAATTTTATCATTAAAGAAACCTGTTCTAAATCAATTGCAAATGACAAATTTGAAGTCATAGGAAAAAATAATTTTTAATCAAAAATATTTTCTAAAAAATTTAAAATATTTTTGTAAATAACAGATAGCTTTTAATGGATAGCCAGGACCTGGTAGTCCTTCTAGCTGTGATAAATGACCAGCGATTCCAAAAGATCACTGGTTGCAAAAATGGATTTAAGTGATAGCCCCATAGACTCCGAAAACCATAAATGTGGGGGAAACAAAGCTCTACAAATAAAAAACACCGAGATGCGCCTACATACCGTATTTGCTCTAGTAATCCCCCAGGGGGATTATTGTTTCAACCCATCTCTAGGGTGGGGGATTAATAGAGCCTGGGGGATTATTAGAGTGGGGTAGAAAGAGGGGGATTATTGTTTCAACCCATCTCCAGGGTGGGGGATTAATAGAGCCTGGGGGATTAATAAAGGACTGGGGGATTAATAGAGCAAATACGGTACATATATTTTTATAGGTATCAGGGATTGGTCAGGTTGAGAAAAAATAGAATCTAGTTTCGTTCTAAATTTTTTGGGTTGGTCCCCAGGCAAGGGCATTCTGAACGTAAAGCACAAAGCAAGTCCCATTTATATTCGGGTTCAAAAGGGTCAAAAACTGCGGAACGATTTCTGGTTCTTTGGAACTGGGAAAACAATTAGGAATTTACCACGCATTTTTGAGGAGATTAAACTAACCTCTAACATAATCTTGTAATAAATGAAAATATATTAATATACAAAAAAATATTATTTCATGGAACATTCCAAAATTAAAAAAACAAGAAAAATTTTCTTTCATTAAATTTTAACATAACAAAAAGCAACAAATTATTTCCAATATAATCCAAAACCTTTTTTCTTCTCTAACAATTTCCACCTCAATTTCGATAACCACGCGATGCACGACGACCACGAGCGCGTTCAAATTTACGACCTACAAAAAATAAAATTAAAAAAATTGATTTTTAGCGTTGGATGAAGACAAGGAGAAATACAGGGGGAAAAGTCCGCAAAAGTTTGTCTGCGAGAAAAAAAGTCGACAGGAATTGCATCCAAATATTTACAAGTAGGATTGTTGGTTTGAACCAAACCGGTAGCCCAGAGGATTTTAAGTCCGATTCCTCATTTCGGTTTCGGATATCCTAAGATTTTCTAAGAGGCGACAGACCTAGTTATAAACCGATAACCTTCTAATGTCAGACTAGTTTTTGATAATCCTCCTATTTTTGATGCTTAAATCCTGCAAGTCTTGTAATCGTCCCACGACTTCACAGGCAGCTTAAAGGGAAGAAAAGGGAAGAAACGTGACTCATCAGTTTGAAAAAGACTAACGATAAGCATAAAAGAACTCTTATTGTCAAAAAACTTAACAAACCTTTAGAACGAACCAACGGTTTTGCATGGCTCCCGGGAACACCAGGAGGAGGTCCAAAGTGCTTCTCAGCCTCTCGCGACTTTCTCGGTCCTTGCAAAAGCATCGTATTTTCCCCTTTTGGAGCTCTCAAAGCCAATTGATCGAAAGTTATAGTCTCTCCACCAGCTTTAATAATCCGAGCCCGAGCTGCTGTAGTAAAACGCAAAGCACAAACAGTCATTGCTGGAACTTTATAAATTCGTTTGTCATCCGTCACAGTTCCAACACAAACAACTATTTTCTTCTCATTCCCTAAAAAATTTTTTTTGAAGAAAAAGGGAAGGCCTTGGACAAACTAAAATGTGTATATACCCTAATTTGCCATAAGCCCTACCGACAGCAAGAACCCTATCGACCCTCTAACCGAGCAAAACCCCCCACCCCTAATTAAATTTATAAATACAAACCTGGACGTTTAAAGTTACGGACAATACGAGAAATCGAAAGAGGTGGCCGATTACGTTTTGACATATAAAGACGTTTAAGCACAACGGCATTGAAACGCTTTTTAGTATCCACACGTTTAGTCAAATAACGATAAAGCTTGACCAATACACGCAAATAAGGGTCATCACTTTTTGGCGCTGTGCGTCGAACTTTTCGATCATATTTGTGGTCAATATCGATTCCCATTTTGTTTTTAAATTAAATTTGCTTCACTAAAAAAAAAATAAAATATAGTAGAAGCCTAAACCGAAAAAAATCTCAACGTAACCTAACAAAAAAATTTTTTCAAGTTGGGTAGGGGACGATTCAGTATCGCCGATTCAGTATTGGCCGATTCAGTATTTGGGCTTTTTGGCCATAACTTTTTGCTCGATCAATATTGTAGGAATTATTATATATGATTTGATAGGTCTCGGGGTGCTGCATCTTTTTCATAATTGGACTGACCTGATCTTATACTCTACAAAAAGTTATCACTGATAAACAACGTCAATAAAAGATCGGTTTTCACGCTGTAACTTTTTTTGTGATCATCAGATCAGATCGGGCCAATTATGAAAAAGATGTCGAATCACGAGAGCTTTCGAATGATATGAGAATTATTCGAATCGGTCGAATATCAGGAAAGTTATGGCCATATACTGAATCGGCGATACTGAATCGTCCTTAACCGTTCAAGTTTGTTTAGTTTTTGGCATAAAACATTTTGCAAAAATCATATTTTGCCAATAAGGGTAAATTCCCAAATTTTGCCAATGAGTTGGTTGGCAAAATGTGGATAAATTACCCTTATTGGCAAAATATGATTCTGACAGAATATTAATTGCCTAAATTTGAGAAGCCAAGTCGATTGATTGCCGATGAATGAGAGCTAAGAGAAAGTAGCGCTGCATTCGGATTCGTCCCATAGATTTATAAAAAGTCAATTTTGTTTAATCTTCTTCTTAATTAAGCCTAAAAATGTCATCCTCCTTTGTTGAAATTTCAAAAGATTTGATTGGTGGCCAATTTTTGTTGCGTTTATTCTCTTTTCTTTGCAATTTTGCCCTTTTAAGATTTACAGATCCTTCAATTTTGGGATTTTTTAATGTCAGGTTTGTTTTTTTTAAATAACTTTTTTGTATTTTTTATTTTTTAAAGGATTAATCTAATTTACAATACTATTGGATTCCTTTCTCGAGAACCTGTGAGAAAATTATGTTTAAATTCTGATGTTTCTTTGACTGAGGTTGGCATATATTCTTTTTTCAGGTTTTGCTTAGTTTTGGTTTAGTTGTATAATTCTGAGTTTGTAGGCAGTTTGGGTTTTTTTCGAGTCCATTCTCCCAGTATTTTTCTTTTTTCTGAACCTTTTAGGTATTTTTTTTGATATTAAAGGAAGGCGTTTTGGTGTAGTGGTATAGTTCTGGGGGCGTGGATAGTTTGGCCTTGGTTCGAGTCCAAAGTTTTTGTTCAGTTGGTCTAGCTAAATTTATTTTTTTCTCTTTGGGATCACATATTATTTTTGAGACTCGAAAATTTTTATACGACGCAGAAATTTTTATCAAGGAATGCCCCCTCTTTTTTATAATTTCTATCCAATTTAGTTCATTAATCGCCATTTTTGTCTCTACTTTTTGTTGTACTATTTGGTTTTTATTTTGGACTGGATTTGATGAACTTTCAATTAGTAGCAAATCATATCTTTTTATACTTTTGGTGTTTAGTTTTTCTGTTTGTATAGAACTTTTTGCCGAACCAATTATTATAGAACAACTTAAATCTGGAAGGTTTTTTTACTTTAAATTTTTTATTTTGCAGACTTTTGCTTACGAATTTTTATTTTTCAGAACAAGGAATTATGTATTTAATGGCGCAATTTTGTTATTGCTTCAAAAATTTTTGACGATTGTTATGCTTTTGTTTAAAGTTAATCCTTTGGTCGCTTTTAGCCTTTCTCAGGTTTTTTTTCTTATGCCTGGGAAAAGTTGGGTCTGTCTTTGGTTCCCACCCAGTCAGTTTTTGGGCTTCCTCATTTTTTTCAGGGCCTTGTTTTGGTTTTTGTTAAAATTGAGGTTCTCGCTTTTGTCGACTTTTGTTTTGGTTTTTTGGTACAAATCCTGGGGTTTACCTGGGCCTAGATTTTTATAGACTCCAGGCCCGGGATCTTACCCACTTCAAGATTTGAGGACGTCCGCAAATTTTTTGCGGATTTGAATACTGATTTTTCTTTTTTAGTTAATCGCCTCTCTCGTCTATTTTTACCTTTTTATCCGTGATAACAAAAAAAATATATTCAAAATTTACAAAACCTCAATTTTGCAATTTTTCAATTTGAAAAGATTTGATAAAGGACGTTTAAAATTACTTAAAGTTTATCTTTTTCATTCAATTTTGAAACAATTTCTGACGGATGGAGCTAATTTTTTGATGGTTTTCTCAGGCTCTGTTCCTCTTAAAATACAAGGTTTTTCAATTTTATTTTAAAAATGCCGTAAAAAATTGCTGATAAATCCGCAACTTTTTGCGGATTTTATTTTATATCATAGTTATGGTTAGACTTAATTTAAGAATTTGCGGATTTGTCCGCAATTTTTTGCGGATTTTTAAATTTATTTTTAGCTGTTTATGATGCAGTTGATCGTTTAGCAAGTTTATTTGTTCGTTTAATTTTGCAGCCATTTGAAGAATCTGCATTAATTTATTTTTCAATAAATTTAAAAAGAGAAGGAGAAAACGAGGAAAATAAAAAATTGCCTAAAAATGTTTTGGAAACATTTTTAATTTTTACAAAATTAATTTTTATTTTTGGATTGATAATTTTTCCTTTTGGGGTTTCTTATGCTAGATTGGCTGCTTTTTTGTATGGAGGGAAATTATTTATGGAAAATAATGGTATTTTTTAATTTTAAAAAATTCTATGTCCGCAAAAAAGTTGCGGACATCCGCAACTTTTTGTTAAAAAATTTTAGTCACATTCTGAAAGGTTCCTTTGATAGGCAGAAAAACCAAATAAAAAATTTTTTAAAAATTTTTCCAAACAAAAAATATTTTTTTAGCTGACCAACTACTTTCTCTATATTCAATTTATTTGCCTATAATAGCTGTAAATGGTCTTTTTGAATGTTTTGTTTTTGCTCAATTAAATGCTGAAAAGGTATTGCCCTCCAACCCTAACTATAAGATACCCAAAATCCTTGAAATTTGGTTTTTAAATTTTTATGCCCACAAAAAAAGTTGCGGACATCTGCAACTCTTTTACGGACATAAAAGTCTACAAAGTTTCTGCACAAAGCCCTTTCAAACCCCTCGTCAACCCGAGACAGGAAAAGTTTTCATGGGGGAATGTTTTTTGGTGCCTAATGGGTATCCTTATAATGCTGTTTAATTAATTAAAATTAATTTTTTAAGGTTTTACTTCATGCAAAATTTTTCTCATTTTCTGTTTTTGTTCATCTTTTTTTAAATTATTTTCTTTCAAATTATTTGGGTGTTAAAGGCTTTATAATTGCAAATATATTGAATTATTTGGCTAGAATTTGGTTTAATTGGAGATTTATTTGTGTTGCTGTACAAAAGGGGGAAAGGTGGAGGAAAATGTTGCCTAGCAAAAATTTGTAAGAAAATTTTTTTATTCTATTACAGTAACCTAATCATACGATAAACCCTTTGAGACTGAAAAAACATAATAATGAGAGATGAGTAAACTAATAACGAGAGGTGTATCTTAAAGGTTTGAATGTTTAGGTAAGCTAGAAATCAAACTGATATCGATCTCGGATTTATTAGCGGCAGAACAGCAGGTTAGAAAGAATAAAGTTTTGGTCAAGTGGATAAGAGCGCTGACCACTCTTAAACCTATGGGTCGGTGGTTCGAATCCTTTCAGGGAATTTAATTTTTTCTAATTAAATAAAGATTTAAAAAAATTTTTCTTAGATTATTGGCACTTCTTACAGCGTGGATTGTTCTTTTTACTTCTTCATTTATATTCTACTGGCAAATGACCTTTCTTTCACAATTTACCCATGTTTTTGTCGGATGTTTAATGCTTTTATTGATTGGATTTGTTTATGTGAAGAACGATTTTGTTGAGTTTAAAATGTTTAATTTAAAAGATAAATAGGGTTAATTTTGTGGAGGACTAGCGAATTTTTGTAGATTTGAAGAGAGCTTTTTAAATTTTTATTAAAATAAATTTTTATGCTTTAAAAAAGAGAAAAGGGAATACATTTCTATTTAAGTAGTTGATAATTTGGGCAGGCAATAAATTTTTTATAGTGATCGGAATTTTGTACCGGAAGTACCGATGAACTTCAAAGATTTTTTTTATTTTTATGTCCGCAAGTTTAAAAAGATCCGTAAATACCTTAATCCGCAAATAGCTATAAATACCTAAAAAAATACCGTCGGTAGTACATACAGTCCGATCACTAAAATTTTTATGACTAATTACAACAAAAATGGCGAAAAACATTTTTAGTTTGTTATTTTTCTCCTTCAATAAATTTATTATTATTTTCATTAATTTCTCTATTATTACTTTGTTTTGAACGTTTTTGTTGTTCTTTATTTAATTCAATTGGGGCAATTAAATTACTGCTATGGCATATTCTTGTTTTATTTTGGTGATTTCGATCGAGTGAACCCGTTGAAGAATTTTGAAGTTTTCCTTTTTGGGAAAAAAAACTTTTTTTTAATTTAAAAAATGCTTAAAAACCTTTAATACGTCGTTGTCTAGGTGGGGATGCTTTGAAAAAAAATTAAATATTTTTGAGATTTATTTAGGATATATTAGGGGAATAATGAAAAAGTCTGTCAAAAATTGAGAAAATGTAAATCCGTAAAGATAACGGTCATTTGAAAATTCATCAAGAATTAATAATAACTTTCAGACTTTTGGGAAAATGGAGGAAATTTTTGGAATATCGCTTACTTATCATTATCAATTTCAAAAAATTAATTCTGAAAAAATCCGGCGAGTTTTGTCCGAAAAAAATTTTGTTGTCTAACTTACAAGGGCAAGAAGCAACACCTCCTCCACCATCACTAGAACGTCCTCCCTCTTCTTCCACCACAATTTTTTGTCTTCCTTTCCTTTCATTTGTTGTTCCGTAATTTTGTTGTTGACGTTTTAATGCCATTCTATCAAGTATTTCTGAGTTTACAAGAATACTTGGGCCTTCCTCCGGTGGTAAATAACCTCTCAAATTGAGTAGACTGGAAAAGAAAAAAATTTTTGGATTTAAAAAAAGTTTATTTGGGGATTATTTAGACTTTTGGAAATAACTTGGAGGGATTAAAAAATAATATGGGATGCATAACGGATCTAAACGACAATACATTACCCACCGAAATAATTTATAAAAAACCTTGGATATTCAGGAACACAAATAGCATTCAAAATATTTTTAAAACAATTTCCAGAATTATAAGGATTTTTAACTTGAGGATGTAATTTTTGACTAAAAGTTCCTTTAATATCTTCGTTTGTAGTTTGTCCAAGAGCTAATAAATAAATGTGAAAACCAGAAAGACCCAACACAGACCAAATTGAAATTATGTTAATTACACCTAAAAATTGTTGGAAAAACATTTTGTGGACAAAGTTTTGAAAACCTGTTAATAATGAAGGTGGTGTTTCCTTCAAAGCATCCATAAATGTGCCTTTTTCAATACTCACTGTGTATATAAAAAAATTAAAAAAGAAATGTTTGATATTTGCGGACCTTTTTTGCGGATTTTTTTGTTTGTGAAAATATGGGGAGTGGTGACTAGTTTTTTTTGGTTTGGGGGCTAATTCTCTTATTTTATAAAAAATATAAATTTTATACTCAAAAAACACCTCTTGAAAAAAAACGATTTTACAATCATGGAGAAAGATGAAAAAAAAGCCCATAAGAATTGTCCGCAAAAATATGTCATGCAGGCATTTCTTGCGGACTTTTTTGTTTTTTTGAAAATTAATTAAAAACTAATTCCTCTTACACAAATAAAAATGTAATCCAACACAAACACCCATAAAAGCATCTAATATCCAAAGAGATGTAACAAACATAAAGAAATGTCTATAATTGCGTAAACCAATGCAATTTCCTAGCCAAGGGCAATGATGATCGAAATTTAAAACACAATTATCACAAATTGAACAATGCCTGGAGGGGAAATAAAGGTTAATTATAAAATTGTTGAAGTCTTTCCTCTTTCTTAAGAAAAGTTTTTAAGTTTTGTCCGCAAGTTTCGAGGCCTAATTATTGGAATTTAAAAAGGAAAACAATAAAAGATTATAAAAAAATTTTAAAAATTAAAAAAACTTTTTTGATTCTTAACCGATTTAATTATTACATCTATCGAATTTATGAAACAGGCTTTTATAGTCAAATGAATCCTTTTAGGTAAAATAATCTCTACATTCAGAGCCTTCAATTGGCATAATAATTCTTTAAATCGGTTAAGAATCAAAAAAGGTGTAGGCAAAAATTTGCCACGAAACTTTCGGTAAAAGTTGCGGGCAGGAAAAATTAAAAATTAATTTAAAATAAAACTAACGAAGATCTAGGAGGCCTAAAAATACAACAAGTAAAGCAATATTTTAATTTAACTTGCTGGCCACGAATATTAACTATTCGAGTTCTAGGTTGAAGCCATTCATCACGTTGGAAGAATGGATCTTTTTTTAAATTAAAAAATTTAAAAAAATGAAAAAATTTTCTGTCCGCAATCTTTATCCGCAAAAATAAAAAAATTTTTATTTAATTTTTTGCAGACAAAAATTGCAAACAACAAATTTAAAATTAAAAAAAACCAGATTCTTGGCATTGTTTCTCCAATTCAAGAACTTCTCTAGGAGTAGCACGAGGTATAATACCTGGATCGGTAAAAGCTGCACGTAAAAGAGAAGAAATAACCAAAAGAAAAAGTAAACTAGAAACTATTGGAATTGCAATTGATACTTTTTGAGTTAAAAATGGTAAACTAGAAAAAAAGGGGAAAATTTTAATTTTTTTAAATTTAATTTTTGGCGATTTTCGTTTAATTCCCCATAAAAATCCCCAACTTTTTGTCCGCAAGTAAAATTTTCTGAAAAGACTTTTTGGATGCATTAAATACTGTTAAAATTAAATACGCGAAGTATTCTCAATTTTGCGACATAAAGTTTGTAGTGACAACAATGTCTTTTGTGTGTGTCTTTTGTGACCTTTTTAGAAAATATTAAAAAATTTGACTTGCGGATAAAAATCATTTTTTAAATTAAAAAATAAAAAACAAACTCAAAAATACAAAACAGGGTCATAGTAAAAATTATAAGTAGAAATGTTAACACGAAAACTGAACTTTGTCGAGCCATAATAAACCTTTAAAAAAAAGAAAATTTTTTAGTTCTTTTTAATTATGCGGCAAAAAAAGTTTTCAAGTTTCGTCCGCGGGAGCTGTCTCCAATTAAGTCAGAAACAGTCCTGTTTCCTCCTCTTGACTGATTAAAAATCACAAAATACCCATGCATAATTGCAACTTTTGTGCCAAATATTTAAAAATAACCAAAAAATTAAAAAAAACCTTCCATCACAAAATACTCTATTTCTTCCTTGATGTCCTCTCCATTTTCTTCCATTTTTACCAATTTTTTCTTCTTTTTGTAAAATCAAATTAGGAGATATTTTATTATTATTTAATTGAACTTTATTTGTATTTAATTGTTTTCCTTTAATAATTACAGCAAATTGGGAAGAAGAGGAGGAAGGGGTTGTTACTTGTCTTTGGTCATTATTTATATTTACTGAAATAAAAAAAATAATTTTTATTTTGTGTCTATAAAAATAATTTTTGCAGACTTTTTGGACCAATATTGGACTAAAAAGTAACCCAAAAACTTAAAAATATAGATCTAAAACTTAAAAAGAGGAGTGTCAGTTATTTATTCACAAAAAGTCCGCAACTTTTTGAAGCAAATTACAATTTTTTCAATAACCGGCATCCCTAGTAATAAAAAAATGTGCCGACAAAAGTTGCAGACTTTATTTATAGAAAATTTTACCCTTATCTTAACCCAAAAAATATTCAAAAAATAACCTCCTCCTCCTCCTATTTCCCTTCCATTAATTTGAACTTCTCCCTTTTCTACATCTTTATCAGAAAATGTTGTAGATTTCATCTGCCCGTCTTTTCCAATAATTACTAATTGAGAATGTTTTTGAGGTAAATATAAATTCTTATTGTAATTTTCTAATGTTGTTAAATGTTCAAATGGAACAAGTTTTGGTTTTGCTTAAGAAAAAATAAAAAAAAATTTTTTTTACTTTATGCGGACACTCTTAGAGGTCATGTTTACGGCTTATTCTTTTTAATAAATACTACATATCAGCAATAAATTCATTAACCCGCTGTTAGTCTTTCTTTTCAAGCAAATAAAGGTAAAATAATTATTTAAAAAAATAAGGTATAGTAATTTAACTCCACACTAATCTATGAGTCTTATGAAACTTTACCACTCTTAAAAATATTTTTGAGATCATAACTTTTCATTTAACCGATAACAAATTAATTTAACTCATAAACTAGACTAGAGCCAGTAATTTTGCGGAGCTGAAAATTTCTTATTCTATCAAAAATTGAAACCAAAAAACAGAAAGCTTTTTTTGAATAGTCCTTCCCTCTAAAAATATTTTAAAAAACCTTTAAATTCCTCAAATTCAGTTTGCCATTCTTTATTGGTCTTATGACTTTGATGTTTATTATATCGATGGATACGAGGGGTCTTTTGATAAGGATAATGGGTTGAAGCCCGACGACGATGATGAGCACTTAGACTGCTGCCTTTAAATAAAAAAATTTTAATTAAAAAAATTTTTTTTTAAAAAGATGGCATTTAATCCAATAATATGCAAATTTTTGCGGGAAATGAGATCAAATGTCATCTTTTAAATTTTAATAACAGAAATCGAAGAGAGAAACCTGTACTGCTACCACAAAGTGATTGACCCCCTGAATCTGTGTCCAAAAGTAAATCACAGAGAGATGATTCGTCCTACAAAAAGAAAAATTGAAATTATTAATTTCAGAGACGTCTCACATGTTTTTAACGTTCGAGATAAAAATTTAAATTCTGAGGGTTTTGAGGGAATGAAAAAATACTGTAAAATTAAAATTATGGCTTCCAATTTCTGATCGAAAAAAATGGATATCTTGTACCCGGCCCATTCTAGAGCTGGATTTGGTGTTTCCCTGAAATCCTGCACTAATAGTAAGTCTGTGGATTTAGAAATCGGTTCCGGCCTTGAATTAGAGGTATGGGAATTAAGTAAAAATCGTTAAGCAAAAAGCAAGCAGCAAAAAAACAAGCCAAAAAAGGCCCACAACAAACCCCTTTGTTAACGTCGTAAAGTCGCCGGCTAAATAAATGTCCACCCCCTCCACCACCACTCGCCGAGCGATGCGAGGTACCTCCACCAACTCTCTTCAAGTAGGCATGACTAAATCATTTATTTTTAAAAAAATTTTATATTTTTTTGAATTTAACCTGAATTCGTTATTACGCTCAACGTAAGAGAAGATAATTTTGAATAGAAAGAAAGGAGAAGTTAACTTAAAAAATTGCAAAGCAAAGTTAATTTATATGAAGAAATTTGGTTTGGTTTTGAATGTGTTGAATAACACTACACTTACATAAAAATCACCGAGTGTCTTGAGACAGATGCTCCACGACAAAACGCTTCTATGTGATTTATGTATTGCGATTTGTCGCAGCAGCAACCCCTTGTCTTGTCGCAAAGCAATTTTTATGTAAGTGTAGCATAAATGGAAAAATTAATTAAAGGTGTCAAACCAAAAAGAAAGCAGGTTAGTTTAAAAAGAGGAAAACGCAAATATTAAAAACAAGGTTAGAGCCAAAGATGAATAAATTAAAAAATCAAAACAAACCTAATTAATTGGCAATTCCAAAAAATATATTTTGTAACCAAAACAAAATTTAACAAAAAAGAATTGATTTACGTCCTTCAAAAGTCAAAGAAAAAATCATTTTCAAAAAAATTTCGCTCTTTGTTGTTTAACACTAAAAAAGAATTTCCGCTCTATTTGACTAATTTTAATCAAAACCTAATGAGAAGAAAATTAAATTAATTAATTGGAAAATAAAGGCAGCAGCAATTAAACAAAACAAAAATGCAGAAAAAGCTTAACTTGAATATTTCTAAAAATTAAATTCTGAAAATTGAAAAAAATTACAAAAAAACCGGAAATGATGAAAGCAAATTTACAAAAAAGATAATGTTAATAAATTAGATATTTTAAAAATTCAACATTTTGAAATTTTTCTTTCGAAATTTCAAAATATCAAATCGATAAAGAAGGGACGGTTGGTCAAAAACACTTGGGTAATGAACAATTGGTTAAGTTAATATTTTTTTGTTTTTAAGGGCAGTTTAATCCGGTCGGGATTAAACATTTTATCTGTGCCTGGAGGGATTTGTTTTTTAGCAGTGATTATTTAAACACTCTCTCCGGGAGAGTGTTTAAAAATTTTCAGTATTTCTCAATGCTTAGATTCTGTGACTTTGTGGTTAAGTGGATAATCTTCAAGTTCTGAGGGCAGAGTTCGCTTTCTGTTCGAACCTAAACACTTTTTATACCCAAAATTTGTTTCCATCATTGTTCATTGCCTGCCCGCGATTTTAATTTCTTTTTTATTATACACTTTACTATAAACAAAAAAGAAAACGAATAAATCGAGAAAAAGGAAAAGACTTAAAAACATAAAAATAACAAAAATACTTGGCTTCAAAACGGAAAATTTTTTTTCTTTTCTTTCTTAGCATGTCAAAAAAAAGAAAAAAAGTCTTTGAGGGAAGTGTCATTATCCGGTTGCTTCTTTTTCTTTGGATTTTCAACAAAAAAAAATAAATCAATGGGGATAAACAAATACATATATACACAAACACACATTAATCTCTCTTGGGGATTCTCTTTGCGTGCAAACATTCCATGGGAAAAATTTTTAGAAAAAATCTTTTTAAGGGGTTCAGAGAATTTAGGCAAAAAGTATATGTATATTTTATTTTTATGTTAAATAATATTGTTGTTTACTTTTGATTTTATTGACCATAAAATTTTTATCACAAAAAAATTGTAAGGTGAATAAATGGACTGTTTTATCTAAAAAAGGGACTTTGGGAGGGGAATAAACTGCGATCCAAAAACAACCTCTCCCTTTTTACTATAACTATTATACTATATATTTATTTATTTAAAACCCCCAAAAATTAATTTTTAATTAAAAAAACTTTTTTTAATTAATAAGAAGAATAAAAAAAAAGATAAACCTTCAAAATTAGTAAACAGAAAAAATATATCCACAAATTTTCCACACAAAAACTAATTTCTTTCCTTCTTCTAATCACTTTCTTCTCCTTCCTCTTCACTTTCTTCACTTGAACTACTTTCACTTAATTCCAAATCTTCGTGTAAAATACTTTTTTTATTATTTTTTGAAGGCGATTTTTTGATATTTTCTGTTAAATTTTGTCCATTATTTGCCATTTTTTGTGGTGAAATTGCTTCTATTTTTATTGATGATTGTTCGACTTTTATTGAATTTAATAATGGTTGTTGTTCAGCTACAGAAATATGCGAATTGGACTGTTTTGGAGCCTAAAAATTGTTTAGAAGATCATTATAAGGTTACCCCCTTGTATCTTACTTAAATAGAGAGAAGAGGAGGGGGGAGGGTAATTCCATTTTCCCAATAGCAAAACAAATTAAAAATATGAGGAATCAAAAGGAGGCTAGATTTGAAATATTAAGATCAGAGGGCTGGGGGGGGGGGGGCTAAAGCCCCCCCCCCGCTTAAAAATAAATGTACAAAAAATTTTGCTGTCGGAATGCCAAAGTAAAATGCCCCCTCCCCTAAAATCTCCCCTGTCTATGCCCCTAGCTTCCACTTATGCTAGTCTTCCTAAAATAGAATTTTAAAAAGAAAACCATCATCTGTTCCAAAGCTGAAGCTTCTTCATCAACGTCAAACATATCTTCATCATCCTCCTCCTCCTCTTCATTCATTGAATTTGAAGATGTTGAAAATAATCTTTCTTTTTTTATTTCTTCTTTAATTTTAATTGGAGAGGGCGGAGGCGCTTTTAATTTCATCATTTTTTCAATTTGTTCTTCTACATCAGTTGACAATTTTGCGTCTCTTAAATTTAAATCTTTAAGTATTACATAATTTTTCGGACTTTTCTTACGTAATTACACTATTTTGTAGCCAAGGCGTCCCATAACTTATATTCAGGGATGAAATGAGTATTCGACGGTTCTGGCTACCCGAATCCAATCCCAGGACTTGTTCGACACAAAATCCGAAGAAAATTTTGAAAATCCGATCCGAAACCAGACCCGACTTTTTTCTCATCCCTGAAATCTAAACAATAAAAGAATGGTGCTTCACATATTTCGTTAATTGAAAGGCTAAAGGATGAACAAGTGAAACAGAAAGGGAAGTCCTCAAAAAATCCTCCGCAAATCCACAAGTCCGAAAACCCCAAAAATAATAACACTCCCTTCAAGTGCCCATATTTAAAAATAAAATATAAAAAAACCTGCTCTTTTTAACATTAATATTAGCCGAAAGTTTCTCCAAACGAAGTTGACAAGTATTTTGATCAAAAATTAATAAACATTCCTTGTCTCCTTTCAAAGGTTTTTTTGATCCGTGGAAAATTGTTGACTTTTTTGTTTCTCCGGGAACAATAACCTTTTTTTAAAAGAAAAATTCCCTGTTGTTAAAAAAATTAAAAAAAAACCTGAACTCCGTTATTTTCCCCTGAAGAAATTGCAAGAAAAGCTTCTGACCCATCAGTGATAGAAGCAGGTTTAAAATCAACTTAAAAATAAAAAAAATCCATGTGAGTCCACAAAAAACAGGTTTTCCCTCTGACTAAGGCAAAATCTAAAGGATTTCATCCCAAAATATTTTTAACACAAAATTGGCCGTTTTTAAACTTTATAGATGTTGACCCTTTTACAACTTTTCAAGTTAACGACCATTTCTGTCCAGGGGGTTGATTTCTCCTAAAACTACAATTCCATACGAGCAATTTAGTCAACATTGAGAAGATTTTTAAAGATCTCTCATCTCCAACAACCTCTCATTTTATCACGTTATTTCTATCAAATTAAAAATTAACTTACATCTCAAAGTGTTGAACTCAGCCTTGGAAGATTTATTATTTTTATCGCCTCTAAGAAAAGTTTCACCAATTTTTATTTCATAAGTTCCATCAGGAATAGAACACATTATTTTTTTAAAGTCTAAAATTTAAGTTTAAACAAATAAAAAAACAAAGAGAAAATCCAGTAGAAAATAAAATTTTAGAATAGATGAAATAAAAGTGCTATGGGTACACGGCGGGTTAAACAGGAAATCTTAACCGTCTCGCAACAATTTATAATCAATTAGAATGGTCCCAACGATCATCAAATGGGACCATACTGAATTATAAAACAAAAATTTTACAAAAATAATTTCCAAATAAAAATTTTCCAAAATTAAAAAACCGGCCTAACTACAGTTTCCGTACCAGACTCAAAATAAGCTCGATTAGATGATTATTAACAAAGTTATGACAAACGGAATCTTCGCTGGAAAAACTGTTTTTGAGCTGCTACGGAGGGTAGGCCGGGCATGGTCTTCGCTACACGATGGCCGTGCTTCGCTGCGGTCGTGCTCGCTTCGCTCGCGGCGACCGTAGCGAAGCGGCGGCCGTCGTTCCTCTCGACATGCCCGGCTTCCTCCGCAGCGGCAAAAACTTTTTTCCGCGAAAGCCTTATGTGAGGGGGGTGTATTTGTCCGGGATTATCATAATCTATCTATTTTCAGGATTTGGAGAGGCATTTTGTTCAATATTTAATTAAAAAGATTGGCGCCTAATCGGCCGGCGCCTAATCGGCCGCGCGCCTAATCGGCCGGCGCCTAATCGGCCCGCGCCTAATCGGGCGTGTCCCAGTAAAAATGGCTCTGGTACAAAATATCGAATAATTAAAATCTCGCTGGTTAAAGTCTCGACGCGGGTAATAAAGGGTTAAAACATCGAATTGATAAAATATCGACACGGCCAAAATGGGTTAAAATATCGACTTCTCTTAAAGAAGTCAGATAAGTACCATCCGTTGAGTTTCAAGTACGGGAATCCCCAATTTCTTCAAACGGCTTCATGAATTAGTAAGAATTTTATTTTTATTCTCCAATCTTTGTTTTTATTCTTCAATCCAGCGTAGTCTTTTATGCATAAGTTTCTGCAAAAATTGAGTGAGCTAATACAAAATTAGTGGAGCCATTCCCGAATACTTAAGAAGTAAATCAAAATAACACATGAAAACTCTCACAGTTTTGTTTGTTTTTATCATTGATCGTATAAAACAAAAATTAGGAGAAAGGGCAACTTTGGAGCGAGTTACCGTAATATCTCCAATAAAAAATATAGGCTTTATCAAAATATAGAGATCAAATATAATAAAAAAATATTAATAGCTGTGCCGACATTTGCAAATTAAATTCAAAAAGTGAAACTTGGTTGAAAGGCAGCCTAAATGGACATAAAGTAGATTAACCCCAGAAGTGTATAACTATTTCCACCGGGTTTTTTTAGAGTAACGGGGAAATGCTTGGTTGGATTCCCCTATAGAAAAAGAGTGGAGGATCGAACCTCGTTACCGAAAAACAATTTTCTTATTAATTTCCTGTGTTCCTTTCACGAATGTCACAGAGCTAATTAATTAATTAAAATTATTTTTAAAATAAACATAATTGCAAAATAAATGACCAACAAATTTTTAAATTCTTCCCTCTTTGCAAAATTACAAAAATCACCCGAACAAAAACAAGTATGTTCTTCAACACTTGTTTTATCCAAACAATCTAATTTTTGAATGGAATGTTTACATTGTGTGGTATAATTTGGAATTGAAGTTGATGGGGTTGGACGACTGCTTGTTTGGTCAAAAAGCTAAAAAATTAAAAAAGATTGTGTAATTTAAAATCCTGTAATGTGTTAATTTGGTGTAATAAAGGCTTTTTATGCACTTAAATGTGGAGGGGGAGTGTAAGGATTTTATTAGGTAATTGTTAGTAGTAAATAGTGTTGCACTCCGATGACTCCGTGCCCATTCCCGAAAGATTTTTTCCCATTTATCCCAACTCGAAACCCCGTTCTCCGACCGTTAAAAGTTTTGGGGTTTATGGAGGGTATACAAACCATAAAATGCCATTTTTAGAGGAATTTTAAGGAAAAAAATTCGAAAGTTCCTCCCACTCTTTAGTATTTTTAAAAGGAAAGTGAATGAATTTTAATCCACATATTTCAGTCCTAATAGGGACCCTGAGCGGGCAGTTATTTTTAAATAGTTCCCATTGAGTGGCTTTCAATATTGAATAAGTTTCTATTAGAGACGGGCTTCTATTGAGACATTTAAGTTACATTATTTTCTTTCTCCCTCACCCTTTCATAACAATCACGTATTGTAGAATACGATAAAACTCCAGAATTATTTAAAATTTGTTGCCATTTAAAACAAGGTCCATTACAATCAACCGAACTTTTATCTCTTATTAACCACGAATCTAAATCACACATCTAAAAAGAGAATTATTTCTTTAAAAAATTTAAAATATTTAACCGAATCATAAAGTTTAGGTTCTTTAACACGTCCAGGCGGACCTCGATCACGTGAAAGGAAATCCTTTGAATTAAAAAAATAAATTCAGGTCTTTACTTTCTTGGGTGTACACAAAATACCCAATACCCGGGACTGATAGTGAGGTTATACTGTATAAATTTTTTAAATTTCATTTTCTGATTTACTTCTTTCATATTTTCTGATGCACAACTGTAACAACGGTCTAAAAACAATAAAATAAAAATTATTTTAGAGTAATTAAACAAAAAAAACTTTTGAGGGCAGAATCAGCCAATGTAAAAGTAATTAAAGAGAATAATAATAAAGTAGGGAATATTAGGGACATCAATATTTTTTAGAGCCTGGTACTTAAATAAAAAAAATCAAACAACAATAAAAATATCCACGCAAATCCATCCCATAGGCATCAAACCCATGTCACTTGATAAAGCTAACACAGTATATGTCTTCATCTTTTACTCAAATGAATGTACAAAAATATGTATATAAGGGACAATTTTGAAGTTCAACACGGCAGATGTTTTTGGTTAAATTAAAATAAACAAAGGAAAACTCCGTTTTTTCTTAATGTTTTAATCAATAGGGGGCCATAAACGAAAAAAAATATTTTTTAGGGCAAAGTAATATGATCCTCCTTTTCTCATTTTCAACAAAGATACTATTCTCTCCTCTTTTCACTAAGATTTTAAGTAAATAAAATATAAAAAGTTCCTCCTCTTTTCACCTTTTTACTTTACCTATTAAACAACAAACACACACTTTTACACCCCCAAAAAGTCCCAAATGATCTTCTTCTTCTTCCTTTTTTTTCTTGCAACAAAAAATTTTTTGGGGCTTTTTCTAATCAATAATATTGGACAGAAATTGGACAGGTTTTTTGTTGTTTATTTTGAGAGAAAATTTTTTTTTGAGAAATTAGAAAGATAAGACGTTTTGTACACACATTAAATTTGCAACAGAAAATTCCAATAATACTACTATTTTATTGGAATACTCAAAAAAGTACGGGGGTATTATCATTATCACTATTAAGAGCGTAGCTATGGGTATATTTCAGGAGGGGGCTATTATTATTTTACACCAGAAAAAACTTTAAAAAATTTTATTGGAGCAATTTTTCAAAATTTGGATTATTTAAAAAGTCAAATATTTTGATTAAAATATTTTTTAAAAAATACATGTATTCCAATAACTCTCCTTTCTTTATTATTGAACATTTTCAAATAACAAAGCAATTCCCTGACCACCTCCAATACATGCAGAACCAATTCCATAACGGACATTTCTTCTTCTACAAAAAAAATTTATAAAAGTTAAAATCTTAAGGAATTATGGAGATCCAGCTATCAAGCAAAGGAGTCGATTTCGGGGGAGGGGGAAAGCTAACCCCCTTGGATACGCCTTTGCTATCAAGTATTCAAAACGCTTTTTAATCAAAGGTTTGTGATCTATACTAAAAAAGGAAGGTAGGAAAGCACTAAAGGCCATAGCAATAACAGCTAGGAGAGGTTGGAGAGTCGATGTCTGCCCGTGGCTAAACTAAACTTTCACCCCTCTCTTTCTTACAATTGAACCAAAAATAATTTAAAAAACCAACTTCAATTCATAAGCTAAATGAGCAGTTATACGAGCACCACTTGCTGCCAATGGATGTCCTAAAGCAATTGCACCACCATTAACATTTAGACGATCCAAATCAATTCCTAATTCGCGTTGAACAGATAAAACTTGCGGAGCAAATGCTTCGTTTACCTTTAAAAGGAAATTCTTTTTCGTATTAAGCCTTCTATTCGGATTCAAAAAAGGTTCGGATATCCAAGAATTTTCCAGGAACCACTAACCACCTACTTTTCTTCTCAATTCATTCATTCACATTTTTGATAATAAAAAAAATTTTTCAAAAAATGTTTTGCAAGGATAATGTTTCTAAAACCCGCAACTTTTATCCGCAAGTCTTTTTTAGAGTTTATAAAATCAACACACTATAAAAATTTATTTGAACGTATAAAAGTGATTCTGAACGCTTAAACTGGACAAGTGCCAAAATTGCGGATTTTAGAAAGATTAAAGAAAAACAACAAAAATTGATAGAACACCTAATGAAGAGAGAAAACATCTAAAAATTCCCCATTAGTTCATAAAAAATTTTCAAGAAAACCTCAATTAAATCAATTTTATTCAATTCAACTCCAGACTTTTTGCAAAGAATACGAATTGCTTCGACAGGTCCAATCCCCATAATTGTTGGATCACATCCAACACTTTGCCAACCCAAAATACGAACAAGTGGAGTTAAATGATGTTTCTCGACAGATTCTTCATCGGCCACAATAACAGCAGATGCACCATCACAAACACCCTTTTTTAATAAAATCGATTAAAAAATACAAAAATATAAACCGAAGCATTTCCTGCATTGACAAGTCCATTTTTCTAAAAAAAATTTTTAAGAGGTTTTTGTAATATTCAATTTTGCCCCCTCCCTTTTTTTCTTCAAAGTAGAGTTGCAAGAGATTTTTTTAGCTTCGGATGGCCAAGAAACAAGATTTCTTTTATTTCTTACGAAAAAGTCAATTCATAGGGGGTGTATATTTAGTCACGGTCCTCGGCGAGGTGTTTATGTTAGCGAGGACTGGGACCGGATCGAACCAAAATTTATAATGGAAAATGGGTGAGGATCTCGTCTCGTGCAATTATACCTAAAAAAGAATAATTGTCAGATAAACTCTTTTTATTGTCTGCTTGAATGCCATAAAGAAATAGAGTGAAGTTGAGGAAGGAAATCTGACCGTGTTTAGTAGTTAAAGCAAAAAAAGGGGGGTATTACTCAAGACTCTTGAGTAATATGTATGTATTACCGCTCTTTTTCTCTCTCTCTTGGGCCAAGAGTTCTAATTTTTGAATAAAAAATTGAAAAACATAAACCTTAAAAACAGGTGGCAACTTGGCAAGTTGTTCAGCAGAAACCTCCCGTGGATGTTCGTCAACTTCAAATAATGTCTCAGTTCCCTTTTTCCCTTTGATTTTAATTGGCTCAATTTCTGATTTGAAATAGCCTGCATTATTTGCTAAAAATTGAAAAACAAAATAATTATGAGTAAGTAAAGAAGTCAATTCCTGGCTTGAATTACTATAAAAAGTCGCCTCTAGAATCGAAAAAAAATAATTTCAGACATTTTCGATTTCTGAAATCGAAAGATGCCTTCTTGCAATCATTTGGTTATCGGATTCTGGGAAATCCCCGGACATTGAAAAGTTTCGGATTTCCAGACCTTTTGGATACGGATATTCTGATACGCCAACTCTAATCCTGATCTCTGATTAAGACCCTCCATTCCAGAAACAAAAACTCTCAAACCTAGTCGCCATCTCTGTTGTGACTTGGCAGCATATTCATCAGCCTCCTGACGTGTAATTTTATACTTTTCACCCAAATTTTCAGCAGTAATTCCCATTGGCATTTTTATTTGTTGATCAACCAATCCTTGCCAAAGAACGTCTTCAAACTAAAAAAAAAAGAATTTAGCATAAATTAGCAAAAAAAGATAACCTCATAATTAACTCCAAGTTGTGATCCAAATCTTATATTTCGAACAGCAAAAGGAGCTTGACTCATAGATTCTGTCCCGCCAGCCAAAACAACTTTAGAATCGCCAGAAATAATTTGCTAAAATTTAAAATAAATTTTTTTCAACTTACAATTTTTGAGTGACAAGATACAAGGTATTATATGATGGCCATCAGGGCCCCAATATACTATGGATATATTCAAACATAAAAACGAGGTCTATTAGCAAAGAATTAATCTTAAACATGTAGGACCAAAGTTATAGCCACAAAAGTTGTGGGCTAACCCTTCTCATTCATTTCCTTTTCTCCGTACAAAATTGTGCTAAAATCTGGCTAGTTCAACAAACCGGAAATAAACCTTTGCCCGCCCCAACAATTTAATTATTAATCAAAAAACCTGAGCGGCCTGCACAATCGCTTCAAATCCAGAACCGCAAAGTCGATTAACTGTCACGGCAGGAACATGAACTGGAATTTCCACACGAAGACCGACATGTCGAGCAAGATAAGCAGCATCTTTGGATGATTGTATAACATTACCTTTAAAAAAGAATAATTTAAAGACAAAATTTTTGACAAAAAAATAAACCAAAAATAACGTGGTCAATATTTTCTGGAGAAATTGAAGAAGCTTTCAACGCTGCTTTTGATACAATTTCTGCCAAGTCTGTCGCCGTATAATCTTTTAATGTTTTGCCAAAAGCGCCAAATGCACAACGCTTTGCACTGACAATAAAAATACCTGCAGATTTGTGTAAAATTGTCATTTTAACTCTAAAAAATTTAAAATTACAAAAAGTTAAAAATGATAAAAAAAGATGTCAGCTGAGGAAACAAAAAAAGTATTTAGGATGTAACTTTTGTAGAGTACAGCCCAACTAGGCGCGACCGACTAGGCACGAGGCCAACTAGGACCATTCTAATTGATTATTTATAATCAGAATATTTAATTAAAAAGGTTGGCGCCTAGTTGGAAGGCGCCTAGTCGGTCGCGCCTAGTTGGACGTGTCCCACTTTTGTAATATCAGCCCAATTATGAAAAAGATCACGCAGCCGAGGCGGCGATGAAACGAGAATTTTTTTTAAAACCGTAGAAATCGTCACGACTTATATCGGTCGCGCCGTTTCGGCCCTCGCCGTTTCGGGCGTGTCCCTTTTTAAGAGCCTAACTTCGTTCATAACTTCAGAAACTTCGTTTTCCTTCCTCAAAAAGAAAATAAAATGCTTACGTCAGCACGCTTACATAAATTTGCTCTTAACAAACTTACTAATTCTGTTTCGTGGAATTTAAATTTCATTTCAATTCTTTATTTTCTTTTCAATTTTCTTTTCAAATTTTTAGAGTCTTTTTAAAAGTATGATACAATTATTTACAATATTCGGCAAAGGAGGTTTTGTTTTGTGGTGTTTTAATGAAGGACAGGAAGTATTAAATTCAACTGTAAACGAGTTTATACAAAATGTGGTTGTTCAACAGAGAATTGTTAATAATTATTCTCGTGGTGGTCAAACGATTAAATACAAAATGGATAATGAATTTGATTTGATACTTTTGGTAGGCTACATATTTTTATTTGTTTTTTAGAGGTTGTTTTAGTTGGAGGGAAGGAAATTGTGTAGAGTTTTTTAATTTTTTTTGTAAGATGTTTAGGGATGTAGATTTATTGTTAGAAATTAATAGATGGGCTTAATGGCCTTCATTAGTCGGTAGAGCACCTGTCTGAACAGACTGAGCTAATCTCTCTGGTAATAGTT